TTTGGCACACGCCAATGCCCCATTCCAGTCTATGATAATCTGGGTTCAGAGATCAACTTTTTCATAGAAGAAGCTCTATACGGCATTTTCTCCTGGCACCCGGCGCCTTGGAGTATGCCAAAGGATGACGAGGTGAAAAATCTGGAAGCCCTCATCTGTCGGCCAGAACACACTGACGACGGGCTACCCATCAAAGACGAAAGTGACCGCTGCTTCCGGAACATAGCGCTTCATATCAAGGCAGCTAAAGAGCGATGGTTTTTCTCTGCTGCATCCATCGCCATTGACTTTTGTAAGTAACAAGTCCTAATATCAACTGCCGGTTACAAGCAACTAGTCGCGTTTCAACGGTATCACTATGAACACTGCTGATTTTATTAGTACAACGACTGCCAGTCGAAAGACGGCACAATATGCGCAAAATGGTACTTTACGAAGACTTCAAAGCTGTGTGTCGTCCCGAATGCCATGCACGAGGTCTCATACCGTTTTGCCTTGAAAACCTAGAGCTCCGTATCGAAAGGCATATCAGCTTATTTGGTAACCTTCTCCCGGAAGGCTTCTATTCGCGTAATACTGTACGTCACGATTCGGCATGGCTGTTGAGCTCAGTGTGCTTTTGCGTGATTATTCCCTGGTTTGAAGAAGCTTTGTGTCTCTCAATTCATGGCATGCCCACCGGTTCCTTCACACTCGTTCTTGATGGGACGACTAGGGAGTCCTTTGAGATCTGGAAGCTTCTCAAATATGCCGCCGCTACTCAAGAGGCGCGAATGCGGCAACTACAGCTCACCGGGGCTTCTCCGCCGATTAGATACCTGCCTCCATCATACCGAGATTGCTGGGATCTACCGATAAGCTTTGCAGACACGATCCGCGATATTGTTGAAGGCAATTCGATCATCAAATTCGACGGCGACGTGTGTGATGTATGGGACTCGGAATCGTTCTTCTTTGAACGTAAAGATTGGACAAATGATAAATGGTATAAGGATTGGGTGGAGAGCGTTTTGCACTACGGAATAGGAACAACATTTTTCCAGAGAGAAAGTCGACGGTACTACATCCAGCCCGTAGCACTCAGGACAACATACACGGTGGTTCGAAATAAAAGGAGAGCTACCAGGTCACCAGATCTTTCGGGGTGAAGCATGGACTCACTTCACGGTTCCGAGGTAGAAAAGTAGTATGAAAGACTCTATCAATGGACATATTCGTAGAAACAACAAAACAACAAGCAGTTTGCCGAATGCCCATGATTTTTTACGGACTGTTACCGAAAAATAACCATATTATCAGACATGAACTGGGGAGGAGTATGAGCAGGACTTCAATGCTTAGGCAGTCTTTCAGCTATTGTTGGTATTCTAGGGTCAAATTTTAGACAGATATGTTTACCATACAAGATTCTTTGCATTTGTCCTGTGCTCTTGATGGTATATAAGAGGGTGAAGAAGGTGTTATGCAGATACTTCACGCGAATTTTGGCTGCATTGGATGAATGTGGGCTATGTAGTCCTAGGTGCACTGCATAGAGATGTTCCTACTTCTACTGCGTCGATTTCACCGCGAATTGATCTCAAATTGAGCACGGCTATCATTCTTTTCCACTGGAGGGACAGACCTGTCATCGTAAATCGGTCGCCGGTGAGCAAGGTCCGACTGTTGCCGTCGTTCCGCACATTGATTGATTCCTACGACCGCTTCGTAGTTGAGGTGAGCTTCACAAGGGCCAAGTCTGGACCCAGAGCAAAAGCTGCGAGCCCTACCTGAGTAAGCCGAAACGGGATCTTGCCCAGGTGGGCTGGACCCTTCAGTGGTGCATGATCGATCGCGGCTTGACTGACCCGCAACATTGACCCTCGGCATGCGCATCGTACTCCACTGGCTTGTTCATTTGGTATATGCACCCAGGTGTCATGAAATACTGGACATACTAGTGTAAAAAAGCCACTGTAGTCGCCAGACAAGTCTATTGGGTGCTTGCCCACACTGTCCAGTATTTTATGTCACCCAGGTGTATGATATATCCAACCCATGTGTTGGTATGGGAAAGGCGCTCAGTCATTGTTCCTTGTGAGTCATAGCCATGAGTCTAAACCGGAGGCGCAGCGGACGTGTCAGCCAATGCGCGCGTCAACCATGGGGCTTCCGCGCACTATGAACCACAGTACCGCTATCTTGGTGCAACTCCGCGAGGAGTCATCGATAATGAGCCGCCAAAATTCTGGAGTACTCACCATCACATATATATCTCATTTAGTCGTCGTTGTACTGTTGTGCCTTGCACAAAATTCACGATGGCTTCTAACAAGGTCGGATACAAGAAGTTCGCTCACTGGAATATGTTTCCATTCATGACGACCCCACGGACAAACTCCTATCTCAGACAAACGCAATCACCGTTTTTTCGTCTTCCACGAGAGATCCGCGATGCCATCTATGATTATTATAGTCAAGGCCGAGAAGAGTATGTCTACAATAAGGATACCAACAAACTGCATTATCGAGACGCGGCTGCTCAGCACGAGGGTCTTGGTCTCATGATCACATGCAGGATCGCGGCAGACGAGATTTTGAAGGGTCTCTACATGATGTCTTCTCCTGGAGACCAGATCCATGGATAATCCCCGCTGATAGCGAGCTTGCCAGGATGGAAGCGTTGGCGTGCCAACCCGATGAAGAGGGTCTCATGCATAAATGGTAGATGGTGGGAGATCCTCGTCGGCAACGGAATATCAGATATTTCTTCTCTGCTACTGCTGTAGCTGTTGACTTCTGTAAGTTATTCACTCATCCATTCCTCTCACAATCGCTCATTCATCTATCATGACACGCATGCTTTGCTATTGCTTTTTTCCCCACACGATCACCTCACTGATACCATTTGTAGTACAACAGATTCCTTCCAAACAATGGAGCAACCTGCGAAAAATTGTTCTGTGGGAGGACTTTAAGTCATCGCCGCGCTCAGTATGCCATGTTCGAGGCCTCATTGCCATTTGTCAAGCGAGCTCGAAGCTGCAGGTCGAGAGACACATAGGTCTCCTTGCCAATCTCATGCGTCTTAGATATTCTGATGGCTGTAAGGGAAACCAATTACGCATCATAGGTTCAGGGGTTTTATCCGCGATAGTTCCCTGGATAGCCGAGACACTACTACTCCATGAATACGGCATGCCTGCAGATGCATTTCAACTCATCATCGATGGAAGCTTATGAGAGTCGCTTGAAGCTTGGGATCTTCTCGAGTATGTAGCGGCCATGCAAGAGGCCATGGTCGAGCAATGCAAGATCAGTAATACACGTCCGATATTTTCATACCTTATCCGCCCTGGTCATCACGAGCAGTTGTCTTTGCTCTGGCAGTTACCATCAGCTTTCTCAAAAGCAATCCGAGAACCCGTTGAGGGGATATCGAATATTCAATTTACAGGAGAGGTGGGATCGAGACGTCTTCTGCTATGAGAGACGTGACTGGACGTTGGATCAGTGGCGAAAAGAGTGTTACGACCAGTGTTGTAGAGAGATCAAGACGGATTTCTCGAAGAGAATGAACGCTCGATATCGAATAGAGCCTCAAGGGCTCGGCAAAGTTTACAAGACGGTGCAGAATGGGGTGGTCATCCGTGGGGGCGACCGTACGTGATATACTTACCCAGCTTCAACATACCATTCAGATATGGTTCACAGATACACGCGTGTTTTAGAGAGACCATTTCCGCTGGTATTTCCATGCCTCCCATCATAGACAAGTCTCTTAATGTGCAAATACGCAATTGCTATCCTTGAACGTTCTTGTCGCGCCTGTTCTGCTCGCTTACTTATCCCCATCCCACCTGCGCGCCCCGCCACCAAACACTGCAGCCGCTGCTTCTTCCAAAACCGCAATTAATGACTGCACCCACACATCTCGATCCCTCGGAGCTAGGCACAAAATCCTACTGGGACGCTGCCTATAGCACCGAACGCCAGAATTTTGCCGCCAACGCCTCTGACGAGGGAACAATATGGTTCAGCGACGCGGGCGCGGAGGAGCGCATGCTCTCTTTCCTCGAAGATCTCAGCGATGAAGGGCACATACTCAAGGAGGATGCGGGAGAAGAAAAAGGTGCGCGATTTCTCGATCTCGGCACGGGAAACGGGCATCTACTATTTGCGCTGCGCGAAGATGAGTGGTGCGGGGACATGGTGGGCGTAGATTATTCGGCACAGAGCGTCACGCTTGCGACTTCGATTCGCGACGCAAAGGATGATTCCTACAGCGACATTTGTTTTCACGAGTGGGATATCTTGTCGCAGCCACCCGGCACATGGCTGGGTACTGGCTTCGACGTTGTGTTGGACAAGGGCACATTCGACGCCATTTGCTTGTCGCAAGAGGAAGATGCACAAGGGCGTAGGATATGTGAGGGATATAGGGAGAAGGTCGAGCCGCTGATGAAGAAGGGCGGCAGGTTTCTCATCACGAGTTGCAATTGGACGGAGGAGGAACTGAGGGGCTGGTTTGACGGCGGAGAGTTGGAGTTTGAGGGCAAGGTCAAGTATCCGAGCTTTACATTTGGGGGCAAGACGGGCAGTAGTGTTGTTACGCTGTGCTTCAAGAGGGCATGATTTGGCCCTATTTCCCCAGGGGGATATCCGCCATCACGATTGCATTACTTGTCGTGTCCGCGCGAGACCAAACACTTTCTCTGCCTACCCTCAAGTTCCCCCCGTACGGTTTAGACGTTCAAACCACGCTGCGCGCCTTCTCTCACGACCACCGCCCATACCCGCCTCCGTCTCGTATACGTCCAGCTTAAAGTCTTGCCCCGGCACGACTTCTTGCACGATGGGCGCGACGTAAGGCCTTATGGTTCCAGTGGCACTCATCCGCCAGGATGCGTGTAGCTGCGCGAGTGTGATTACAGGAAGTGAGACCATGTGAAAGCTCACTGCGATAATCTGAGGATTAGGAGATAATATATACCATTTGCGACGAGTGCATCGAGGGCAGAGGGAGAGGATCGTCGGTAACGGTAGCCTAGCAGCATCTCTATTGGTGCACGCGCGCGACTCAACCCAGCATACTTCCTTCGCCCCGGCCAATATACTTATAATGCCATGCAGTGCTCGTCCTGCGAGCCATACATGCTATCAGCCATTTTACCATAGTGCACCTATCCGACTATCCCGTCTATTTCCAGTTCCAGTCTCTCTCTGTCCTCAGCAATACACCATCTGTCTTCTTCTTCTGCTGCTTCTTCGGTCACTACTTCTCAATCTTCACGCCCGAAAGATCTGACCCCAAGCACCTTCCACACGCCAAGGCATGTCCACCTTTGACTTGCGCCCTAAGCAGTTCAGCTATCAACCACTCAGCATTCCTCGGACGATGCCTCAACTGCTTTCTTCGGTCCGCACCTTCTTAATCCGCCGTGCTCAAATTTCACCTTCACACTACCAAGATCATTGCCTGACTACCCACTGTATTCGCATCATACGTCATATGTGAAGACGTTGTCGAAGGGCTAGCTGGGGCTGTTACGAGAGCTGACGACGTGTAGAGGGTGCGGCGGAGGTTGTTGAGCGAAGGAGATATCTTCGATGCTACAGTGGCTCATAGGATTCGTTACGTATTCGCGCATAGCTATCTAAGAACTTTTGCGCTCGCGAGAGAGGCTGAAGATGCGCGTCGGCGGCTGGCTAGATTGCGGGGAAGTATGCTAGGCTCATCGTAGGAAAGCTGCATGCCTCGTGCTGCAGGGGCCCGTCTCAGCCATGTGGTGAGATCATCATTCGCCGAGGCTGCTCGACGCCGCATCGCATGAAGCTTGGTGACTTTGCTCAATAAATCTCAACTCACTTCGACAACTTCAACTTGCAACCTCTGCATTTGGTTCCTCTTTTTTGTAATCGACAATCTAATCCTGCGACAAATTTCACAATGTCGCTGTATTCCTTCAAGAATCCAGCAACGTACCATCTACTGAGGTATCATCTAATCACCCCTCACAATGCGCATAGCTAACATCACGTAGTTATGGCACCCTTCTTGGCTCAACACTCTTCCAGTCCTTCATCAGCGGCGTCGTAGCCTTCCGCGTCCTTCCGCGTCCACAATTCTCCACCCTCCAAAAGCATACATTCCCTGTATACTTTACACTTCAGACCGTTACACCTGTCGTAATGCTTCTTACCTACCCGCGCGGCGCATCAGCTATCTTGCCATATCTCTCTTCTTCTTCGGTTGCTCCCACGGCCACTGATAGCTTAAGTTCATGGCTCCACGCAACAATGTTTGTGACAGCGTTAGTAAACTTGGTATACGTTGGCCCCAAGACTACTGAAGTAATGGGCCTGAGGAAACATCAGGAGACTAGGGATGGGAAGAAAAGCTATGATGCTGGACCGCATAGTAAAGAAATGCAAGTGCTGAACAAGCAATTTGGAATCTTGCATGGGGTCAGCACTTTGATTAACTTGGCTGGGTTGGGCGCCATGATCTGGTACGGAGCGATCCTGGGCGAGGGCTTGACTTTGTAAGAGGTTATGAGCTGGTCCGTAAACACCGATAGAGTCTTGGTTGTCTGCTTTGTGCAGGGTGGGGAGCAGGCTACACCAATGTACAGAGCAGGCGAAGACAAGGGCTTCACATCATCTACATGGCTAGGGTGCTACAAGTGCACTGTTGGACCATTGAATATTGAGCACATGTTACGCACACTTCATTCAACTACAAACGCCTGAACCTCGGAATCCACGTACAAATGACATTCTTCTTCCTCCACTGCCCCATACCTTGGTTACGTCGGCCGCGTTCTATACTGCATCATGGCATCCAGTTTTCGATCGCTCAGTCTATGCAACCCCTGTAGCACTGAGTATAACACGGGCTTCTCGTCTCAGCAAGATACTGCAACAGAGGACAAGGCAGTGCAGTACAGACAGCTCATCTCTCGCGCCACCACACAGCGCCTCCACTCAACCTCACTGGAGGACCTTACTAGGCTCAAGAGATATATCATAATGGGTAGCGCGGTCGAAGCGTGGGAATTGCAGGAACGTGTCATCGCTCGGGGAAAGGCTCAAGCTGCAATTCGAAAACTCGGTATTCCATGGGGTTCGTCACAAATCCAGATCTTCCATTGCTGTAGCTAACAGCGGGTTAGAACATTTCGTTCAAGATGTCAAGAACGCAGGCGCCGAAATCCACGTCCTTACACCTACGCGATACGAAGCACCATCGAGTATCCCATATACCAACCAAGATGCGAATGAGGCGAATGAGAGGCTGGCATACACATATGTAGATGGTCATGTTGCAGATACGGATGTTACCTGGAAGAAGACACATGCGGCAGTGTTTGAGGCATTGAGCATGCTTGGTAGGGCCAGGTTGAAGGACTAAGGCGAACTGTAGTAAGAGTTAGGTAAACGGGCTTGCAGTGGAGGCTGCGACGCCACGAATCGATATGCAACTATTCTGCTTGACATCCTGCTCAACTTTTAGTTCCAGGCACGAAGATGTAACGTTGTTGTATGTTTCGCGTGACGTAGGCGAGCTTGTCTGATTGATATGAAGTCGACACCATTGTGTCAGTGGAGCCAGTGTTTACTTTGTACTTGCTCATCCTTCTTGAATATGAGTGACGAACAGCTTGCAACTTATTCTACGTAGACAAAGTGTGTGCTTTGATGTTTCTTGCGTTGGTATGCAGTTTTGAAGCAAGTTCTACTACTATACATGCTCTTGACAACGAAAGAAAGAAATAATGTGATACTTCTAGGAAGTTACTGGTCTTCTGTACGATCCAATGACGGAGCATGGTCAGGTAGCATGGCCCAGAAGCTAAAACAATGTCAAAAAATGCGAGTAATATCTCATATGCCTATAGCGAACTGAAGTCAGTGATCCCTTCTTTGGCCTAGCTTCCTTTTATGCCCCACGTGGGCCCTGGGGTAAGGGAGGTGAACAATGCATAGACATCAATATCACCGAGTGTCGAATTCAAGTGGTGAGGTGTTGGCAATGGTGACAGCATTAAAGGCGTCATATTTTCTCACAATCATCAACACTCTTCTAATCGTCCCAAGAAACGCAACGGCTGTCATCTGCTTGGTTGACCACAAGCAAGATATCCATCAAGACCACATACCATTTGCGCCACACTAATGAAAGTAGTAACTTTTCGGCTAAGTTTGACTCCATCTTCCGATAACAGTCCAGGCATCTCAAAGTCATTTCCAGAATGTCTTCGTCCCAACCAGTGAAAATGATCAACTCGGTGATCGATCTTGATTGGACGGAGACATTTCAAAGCCCGGTGAGAATGTTGATTTCACTACGGGGACTTCGCAGGGATCATACGCCGATGACCCTTACTGAGACTATCCCGGAAATTTCCAAAGACGCTCTGCAAGAGAGATGTCGACTACCCCCTTGCTACCAGATAAGGGCTCTTTTCGACGCGTGCATAGCAGCTCAAGGAGAGAGGCAATCACCGCCCACTGACGAGGAGGGTGAGGCCTTTGCTAAAGCTCTGTACAAAGCGTGTCCACGTACTCAGGCCATATCCTACTAACGATGAGATGAAGGCCATTTATTTGGAGCGTTTGAGTGCTCGGAGAAAGGAACATTGAGCCGTCAATTGGTGGGTAGCTGGAAGTGTGTTAGTCTTTTTTTGAACGCAGGCGACACTGCGCTAGCCTTTGCGATGATTTGTATTTATTGTGAGCGATTTGAGTGGTGCACTGGAGGGGTAATAGACTCTGCGAGCCGATCAGCAGGGATCGTTTTCGTCTTAATAAGCCGAGAGCTTTGACCCAGTGACGTTTTCTATACCCTCGGCACCGCCCACACCCCAAGCTACCCCAGTGTCAATTGAACCCTTCACACTGCAACTCACGGCCAATCCAACAATGGCCTCCTCTCGGCTCGTTGCTCGCTCGTCGCGGGCTCTTCTCACTCTCCAGCGCAGCCAATGCCGTACTTTCAGCATCTCCGCTCTCCGCAACAACGAGTTTGAAGCTCTCAACAAGCGTACAAACGACACGTCGGAAACATATCGCAAATACCAGATTGAGAGGCCCCTAAACCCTCACATGACCAACACAACTTCGACCATTGCCAATGCGATGCCTTCGGTTGGCGAGGACGCCCCTCCGCCAGAGTTGATCACCAACGCAGACGGCAAATTCGCACCCAAGGACTCGGTACCGGAGAACACGGAGCGCATGACAGGCGGTACACAGAGCAGCAAAAACCAGGATGTCAGTGGTACCAATGGCGAGCTAGGCGTTGGCGAGATGGAAGGCGCACAGTTCAAGGTCGAGCCGATCCGGAGGACGGGAGAGGATACAAACACGATGCGAGCGAGGTTATTATGTCCGTTTCTACACTGCCCTGGTCTTTGTTAGGCAGTCAATATGCCTCGCGACAATTTTGTAGCAAAGAGCTGTCACTAACTTAAAAGCAGACCAGAGTCGCAAGAGGGGAACACTAGAAAGTGATCTTCTTCTCAGTACCTTCGCCGACGCCCACCTGAGCACCATGTCACCCTCCTTGATGCAACAATATGATACCTTCCTCGACGAAAACGACTGGGACATTTACTACTGGGCGACCCAGGAGCCCACACCTACGTCGCACGAAACCGCAGAGGGCGCTGGCTCGACAATGTCTACCAAAAACGCCCAGGGCATGGATGCGGCGACACAGACCAAGCTTCCCGAGAAGGACGAGCGCAAGCGACAACCTGGCGAGGGCGAGTGGGCGCAGACCGTGGGCACCTTCAAGCCCGCGTACAGACCAGTCCCGTCAAGATGGAAGGGCAGCGAGATTCTCAGTCTACTGAGGAGGCATGTCAATGAGCGCAAGGCAGGAGGTGTTGTTGAAGGAACAGGAAAGTCACAGGAAGGCAAGGGTCTCGGCATGATGCCCGAGATCAAGAACTTTGACCAGTAAAAGGCGGGCTCCTGGTTTCCTGCTATATACATTGACTGATAGATATATACATAAACACGTCTCCGCCAGCTTTCGTCTTCTGCATTCTTGTTAGGCTCTAAATGGATGCATAGACCGCAAAACTACTCATAACCTTGCCATCGTCAGCCACCATGAGGTTCCACCCACAGCTGCTACCCAGCCCGGGGTTGTCAATCCACGCCGGCTCCCAGTAAAAGAGGCCTGTGCCCTTTCCATTCGGCACAGCAGCTACGCGCTTCGCAACTTCCTTCATCCACTGCGTCTGCCCATCCACACTAATCGGAATACTCTTTGTATCCGCGGGAAACGGCGTCGAGGGATTGGGGCAGTAGCTCGGCCAATTCGTCTCCACGACCATAATCTCCTTGCCATATTTGTTCGCCATGTTACCCATTGACGACGACAACGCAGCCAGCGTAGCCCCACTGTTATAAAACGGATAGTACGACACGCCCTGGACATCGAAATCCGACAACGACAATCCACCGCCCGACCCCAGCACCGTATCGTACCACCACTGCTGTGTAGACCAGTTCCACCCGTTGTCAAGGTGGATCATGATCTTCGGCTTTGGGCTCATCGTCGACGCTTTGACCGCTTTGCTGGCGGATTTGAGCAGCGCCGCTACGTTCTTGGGCCCATCGGTGCCGGATAATTTGCCAATGGGGAAGATGAGGCCCGACGTGATTTCATTGCCGATGCTGACCACCTTGAGCTGAATTCCCTTGGACTGGAACGTGTCGAGCACGTTTTTGGTGTAGTCGTAGACTTGCTGTATGAGCGCGTCGCGGTTTAGACTCTTCCACGCGGCAGGTACGACTTGTTTTCCTGGATCGGCCCAGTTGTCCGAGTAGTGGAAATCGAGGTAGATGCCCAAGCCCGCTGCTTTTGCCCGCTGCGCGAGCTTGACATTATAATCTAGGTTGTAGTTTCCGCCGGATGGGTTGACCCAGATGCGCTGGCGGACCGTGTTTGCACCAGAGTTTTTTAGAATGGTTTCCAGAGGTTGCGCTTGGCCGGCTGCGTTCTTGTACGTTTTACCCGCGGCTTCTTCGATGGGGACAGAGGACCAGTCCGCGCCTTTGTAGGGGAGCGCTGCGAGAGCAGTCGCGGCGCAGAGGAGCCCAGAGAGGAGGGTTGGGAGACGCATACTGGGTGGGAGGGATGCGCGTGTAACCCTGGTAGAGAGGCATGGCACCGTGATTGCTCTTATAGCAAAAGTATCATGAATCGCCATATCTTCCTTCGCATTTCGGAATGAGGACCTATTGCGGAATAGAGTCTCGTTGTGGCAGCCCTTCCTCTCCGGGAACTAATCAAAGGTATCGTGACTATTGACTAAACGGATTTCCTCCAATTAGACTACGCGAATCACTATGCGTAGTAAACAAGCCATCGTTTCAGGCTAGATGAACTGCCGGCACGTTGTGGGGTAATTCTTCCGGGGGTAATGTATTCTGCATCTTCACCCAGTCTAACACGGAAGCAGGCAATCGCGGCTGCATGCGCCGACTACCTGCCCGTATCGGATGGCGAGAAGGCAACAGTACAGAGAATGTGCCGGAATGCCTTGGAACAATCATGCGAAAGAATGATATACGAAATAACAAGGGGCAAAAGACCGGCGGTAATGAGATGCAAGACAATATGGGACTACTGTACCGGTTCAAGGCAGTCATCATTGATGTTTGGGTGGTTTCATTGAGTACATAGCAGTGAAGCAGTAGAGACTCCTTAATGCCTCCCTATCAAAAACAGCCCAGCCCGTTCCGAATGTGCAAAGGAATTGTAAGGGTTCATAATGGCATCACTCTCTCGCTAAATGCCTTTTTCATAACCGCATTGCGCCCGCAGACAAGTATCAACCTACTGCTCCTCAGAGTAGCCCTCACCACCAGCTGGCTGGGCCTCGCCCTCGCCCTGCTCGGCCTGCCTGGCCTGTTCTGCAGCCTGCTGAGCAGCGATGGCCTTGGCGCCGTAATCTTGCGACATGGGCTGGACGACGGGCTGCTCCTCCTTGGGCTCGATTATAGTGACGGAGTCGGGAAGAGACTTGGATGGGCCGGCCTTGCCCTCAGGGTCGGAGCCGCGCATAATCTTGACCTTGATACCGAGCACACCCTGGCGGAGCAGGACGTGGCGGGTAGCGTGGTCGATGAAGTCCTTGGCGGGCTGACCAGAGTGGATCATGAATCCGTCCTAGATTTTGTTAGTATGCCAATTCGAATGTCACCAAAGCATGTGAACATACGGTGAACTTCATGCTCTTAGCACGGGCGGCCCTGAGCTTTCCGGAGACGACGACCTCGCAACCCTTGGCGCCAGACTCCATGATGAACCTTAGCACACCGTAGCAAGCCCTTCGGACGGCCAAACCATTGAGAAGCTTGTATCGGAGGGACTCGCACTGGGCGACGGCGGAGAGACCACGGTTTTGGACCTTGGCGGCGTAGAGGGAGACGGAGTTTTCGGGGAACTTGAATCGCTTCTGGATGAGCGAGGTGAGCTCACGGATGCGGCGACCCTGCTCTCCGAGGACTTCCTGGGTGTGTGTGGCGCGGATGATGATGTCGGTGACGGTGGGGGTAACGCGGACCTCGACGCCGGAGTAACCCTCCTCGGCCAGCTCGCGCTGGAAGAACTCGTTCAGCTCGGCATAGAAGACACCGTCTGGGAGAAAAGTTAGCGATTGATCAATGTGCGCAATATTCCCAGTCCAGGCTTTCAGCATAGCCCAGGTCTTCGCATTGTATGCCACTCTGCTCTGACCCAGCATTCGCTTCTTCTGCTACCTCCTCTGTCTATCTGTAAAAGGGATATATCGTACCAGCAACGAACTTTCTCCTCTTGGAACTGCAGGCCGTCAGTACTCCGCTCCCATTGCGCCCTTTGCCGCTGTGTCTTTCGCTGTGCGGCGACTAGCTTGCGGAGTAACTCACATTGCGGTTTGAGTGGTGGCCATTTTGTCGAACTGTCGATGGGCGTAGCTGAACTCCGGGCGTGGGTGTTCAGAAAAGTCGAGCCGTTGTTTTCGAAGTCGTGATGTTCGGCGGCCGCAATTCGATATCGCTTAGCGAGTGCGCGCTAAAGCTCGGACCAGCAGACATCAGTCCCCGATAAGATAGGCAGCATCATCAGGGTCACATCACGTACCACAAATCCCAGTGTAAACACAACAGCAGAATGAGATTGGTAAAGCACGTTGGGAAAACAACACATTTGATATATAACCTACCATCTCTACATGCACCAGGAACGCCAGCTCAGGATTTCAATACCACAACGTGGACCGGACTTCTCTAATCCCAGTCGCCTTTCCGCTTCTAATGATGCTCGATAGGGTCCTCGGGAAGCAGAGGCTCGCTCTTCCTCTCAACGCACGCCTTTAGCGGCGGGCGGATCAAGTCATTGAATAGGAAGGTGCCATACACCAGTAGAGCGAAACCAGCGACCTGGAGCCATTTGAACGTCTCCCAGCCAAGACCAAGCGACACGATCCAGATGAAGAGCGTACGGCAGGTATCAATCGTCGAGCGCGAGGTAGCCGAGACAGTGCGTGTAACCGAGAGACCGAAGAAGTTGAAGCCACTATCGCATATTAGTACATGTGTGAATTTAACGAAAAGAAGGAAGACATACCCGATGCTGATCATGATCAAGAACGACGACACCGCGATGGCGCGGTAGTGCGTCATCTGGTATAGTCCCTCCCTGGCGTTGAAGTAGCCAGTTCCAATGGCAAAGTGCAAGACGATCATGCCGACGAACGTGACCAAGAAGCCGAATACGCCTTCCCAGCCAACGACCTTGATGGGCTCCATCGAGTACTTCTCCATGATTCTTTCCTCAACTACAAACTGGGTTGCCGTGAAGATTTGAGCGCCAGCAATCAGCAGTACACCGATAACTGTCATGGCAGCTTGCGAAGCCACGGCCTGCATGTCTACTGAGCCGGTAGCATCGACCGACTGATGACCAGGTGATGCTTTGTCGTCCCTGGTTATAGCTCCCGCAAGTCCAACGACTGCAACACCGGTAACGACTACGAAGAGTGAGAACCACTTGTAGAGACCGAGATGACGCTTGAGAAACCAGACGCTGAACAGGCCAACAAAGAGCACCAACGCGCCTCTAGTCATCTGATAAATGCTAGCTGCGACGAACAGGAGCCCAATGTTCATAAGCGTCGTTCCAGCAATGTCGCAGCACGCCGGGAGCGCCAAGAGCAAGATGCTCCGTCCCTCAAGTGGTATCCTGCCCTCATCATCTGCATGTACGGGCTTCAGCGGGTTCGCAACGGGGGCCGTCTCGCTGTCATCCGACGCTGGTGTAGCAGCACCATCGTTGTCCGGAATAGCCTCGTAGCCTGCCTTTGCGCTCGCGTATCGTTGGTAGAGGTTGAACGCGCCGATGACGAGCCAGCAGCCCATCTCGCCCACAAACATCTGTAGGGTCTGGAGAACGGGTTGTTCAAAGTGTTCGCGGTATTTCGGTGAGGGAGCGTCGCAGTTCTTTACGCATTGCATGTCCTGGTCGCAGGGGTCAGCTTCTATATTGCAGACGGACACATGGACAAGTTGTGTACCTGGTACTTGGTCAACAGCGTGTTGCAAACACCTGTCAACAGCATCATAGCCACCAAGAACGGCACCGCAGCTCTAACTGCCATGATGAAGATGAGTCAAGCTTTCGGAGCTTGCGAAGCTGACTGAAACGTTATCGGACGTGTAGTGCTGGCCGTGTTTGTTAACGGCAGACAGCGGGTAGGTGTGTGAACAGAAGGAAAGACGGGGGATGGAAGGAGACAACGTCAGCGACACAGATCTACTAGGCAGCTTCAAGCTGCGACTCGTGATGGTTTGGTGCAGGGAGTGAAGCGCGTGAGGCTGCATCACGAGCTCGGCGATAAGATATGGCGCTAACAATTGGCCTCGGTCGGACGAACCCCTGTAGGCGCGTCATTAGTATCATTCCGCCCCGAATGTCCTAACAGGGCAACAGTCAACATTGAAGCATACTCTGGGTCTAGAATTTCTTCTTTCTCATTGTAGGGAAAGACACAGTATTGGATTGACCCAAGCTTGCGCTAGCTGCCTTGTCTCACCTTAGTTTGGTGAGCAAGAACGAGTGATCAACCATGATATGGCTTGCGCTGGATGCAAAGTTCGCTGAAACCGGCTATAAAACTTTCAAAGGGTATCTAGTATCGCACAATCTTGTTGGGAACCACCTTCCAATACAACTATTCACCAAGAGACCCCGAATCTCCATCTGCTTACAGGAACCATCTGAAATCCGGACTCCGAGGTCCATCGCGTAGTTTCTCAGTCGACACGTCCCTTGCGCTAAGATTGATACCTTGCTTCGCATTCCTCCTTTTGTTATCCACAATCATATAGGCTCCCAGTAGCAGAGCACACAAACATCCCGTCGCCCCAAACGCCGCTGTGGTAGCCAGAGCCGGGATGTACTGAGGTGCATCCTGTGGCCTGAAAATGTTCGAACTGACTACACCCATCAGATTCGCTAGTGGAACGCCAATCGAAGTAAGCGTCACGCGACGATTCTCATCGGCAACGTTGTTGTTATACCATGTGGAGAGTAGGACCGAGGGTGCTGATGTTCCCCATGTCATCATGAAGCAGGCGAAGTAGGCTATCGTGAGAGAGTGTTCGACGTCGATCGTAGCGTAGATGATGAAGCCGATGAACGTTAGAAGAAAGCCAAGGGCAATAAACGGGAAGCGTAGACGCGTGTGGTCCGAAGCAAAAGCCAGAATAAGGAGAACACAAGCTCCCACAATGTTTGGGGCCACGGTGTAGAGGTTCGTCTTAATCTTGTTGTAGCCTAGTCGTCCAACAATCTGCGGCAAAAAGAGCGAAACCGACTGTAAAGGAACACCAAGGCAGACTTCAATAGCAAGGAAGCCGTATGTAGAAGGATCCTTGAAGATAGTGAGGGCACTTTTGAGATCGAACTTTTCACCGACGACGGAGGAACTGTCGATTTGGATACGTGTGTACGCGAGCTGTTTTTCGGCTTCGTTCAGGAATTTGGCCTCGTAGGAGTTCTTTGGAAGGTACCAGTAGGCGATAAATGAAAAGCCGATTGTGAACAGCCCCTCAATGATAAACAAGTATCGCCACGATTCGAGCTTTGAGTGAATATGAAAAACGCCAAAGGCGAGAAGTCCGGAAAATGCGTTTGCAATGTTTGATGCGGCGTAAAACAGTGCAAGTCTTCGTGCAAGCTCGCCTCGACGATAAAACGTGGTGAGATAGTAGATGACCAGCGGGAAGAAGGCAGACTCAGACATGCCTGTATGTTGTCAGTCTCACGCAAGCTTTTTGGTACAGATCCGGGTACTTACCAAGAAACCACCTTAACGCCATCATCCCACCCCAGTTCTGGACACTGGCAGCAAGCAAGGTCGCACTTCCAAAGCAAAACATCATAATCGGTAACACGCGATGCGGCCCAAACTTCTTTCCCAGCATACCAACGGGTGGCGCGAAAATGACATATGGCACGTAGAAGATACTCAGCATAATGTTGTACTGATTTCCCTTGAACCCAAGATCCTTATCCATACCATCCGTTTTTGCGTTCCCTAGGTTCCCTTTGTCAAGTGCGTTTGCCAAGTACATGATCGCCAGCATAGGCAGAATGCGTAGGTCGAACTTCCATAACAAAGCTTTTTCATGCTCGTAATTCGGTAAATGGTGTGTTGTGCCCTCGATTGGGACGGGACCTGGGGCTTTACCCGATGAGAGGGAGGCGGTAACTTCGAGACCGTCCTTTGCGAGCTCGGGGTCTTTGCTTGTCGACATGGTGGTGGATGGAGCAAATCGTACTCAACGCCGTAGAATATCGAGGAAATTTGGGCCTAAGACCAGCGCAGGTGAAAGAGTGTGCTGAGGTGCTAAATAAGACGATGTGACGCTGTGCTACACGATCGACATCACTCCCAGTGCTTCTGTACGATGCTACCTAACCATTATCTTATAACTCCAACGGCAGCGACGTCGCCGTGGAGTTACATACTCCGAGACGATACTGCCTGCCCTATGCACTCGGTTAACTCGGCCGGCATCCGCTCAACGATGGATGCGAGCGCAGGGTGACATTTTCCCGCCGTCAAGTCACGTCGCGCACCATGGGGCGCGGATGTCTTGATAAACTCCCTGTCCTCTCTGACCAATACCGGTTATTTCATGCAGCTTGCGGGTCGTGTGAGTGGTTCGGCAACCGTTCTAGAAGTGGGATCGACCTGCATCTTGGCCGAGGATTGGAGGGGTTCACGCGAGATACGATGATAAGAAAAGGCCCGTTGAGTAGCGGTATCGGAATCCGGAGATAGTTGAACAGCAGGAGACGTTTCGACTTGAATTTTTCACGGTTTTGTCATGTACTCAGCATGATGAAGTGGAGGAGACGGCATCTCGTGCGTCTTGTTGTGATGTTCATGGAGTAGGCAAGAGTGGAACTCTGGATGTGCTTGCTTTCCCCGCATGGCATTTAGAGTGGGTCTTATCTACTTACAACATGAAATCACGACGGGACGAGCATCCTTCTACCTGATCCTGCGCCAACCCAGTAGCGTGTGTGATATAGTTGGAAGTATGCGACCAGCATGTCCGGTTCTCGGCGAGGCTGTATAGATGTACGTCATAGCACAAGGTTTGTTGTACATCTACAACGATCTGAAAAGACGGATTGGCAGTGCAGTATCGGTATTCTAGGTGATTACACAACTTTCCTTAGAAGGTTGGGACACTAGGTTGCCAAAGTACATACTCGACCACGACCACTGAGTTGCGTCACTCTTGGAACGCTTGGCTATTGTATCGCAAAAGAATCGATCTAAGCGACAATACTGCTAAACTGCTTACGCATATCTGCCAAATATTCACGTTTTTACCGAGATAAAAGGCAGCTATATCTGGGATTCCGGCCATACTCTCCAGCGATATTAGCAGAGTAGTGGTTGCTGTCCAATACTCTAATCATACCTTATCCATAGATGTTCAGATGCCTCGACAAGACTATCATCATACTTACCACAGAGATTACACATGCTTAACATAGGCTCAGTACTCACATCAACAAGCTTAGACTCACTCTTCAACTTCCGAGAGAATAACATTCCCAAGCCACCTCCACCCCCTACCAGCAACACAGCCTCGCCCATCCCGCCCTATCCACACGCAATATCCGACATTGCATGACCCCATCCGGGCGCGCCGTCTTGGCCTGTGGGTACCTCAAACGGTGGGTGGGTCAGATGTTCGCCGCCGCCGCCGGTTATCAATGTATGTAAGCAGATGATGATAGCGGAAAAGAAGCGATAGCCGTATCGGAGGGGCAGTAGCAGTAGCAGTAGCAGCGCAGCTGAAAACCCTTTTCTCCATATTGGAAAATAGAGTTTACGCTTGTAAGGCGCACGAACAGACTACCGACACGGAGAGCAGACGTCTTCTCGTAGTCTTTGTCATCGTTGAACATCAAGGGCTGTTGTTGGAACGACCATTATGGGTATGACGTCAAGACAAAACGAAGAAAGATGATGTGGTATACCAAAATTGATGTCAATACTGTGCTATTGATACATGGCGTGCTGGGAAGCAGCGAGCTAGCCTGCCCATTCCCGAAGACCGTCTATAGTCGAACAACGAAAAGCAGTGCATGTCCGCGAACGAAAAGGAATCGACCATGCATGCCAGTAACATCTTGAGGTATATGAAGTCTGTAAAAGAGAATCACAAGTCGCGCTGCTGCGCATAGGTGCGAACAACAGTACTATACAACGCCAATGGGTATCCTAAAAGCGAGGCTTTTACTCGAAAACGCCTCTATACAACAAAGATGGGAAATCACTGTACATATGGAAACATGCGAAAGAACATTGTTTCTCTCATGGGTTGTGCACGGCTTCTTTACCCTTTGAGGAGCGAGGATGCAGAAAGTTGAGACCGCCTTTGGCGACACCAGCGACGTTGAAATGCAGGGGCTCTTTAATACCCTTCTCCCGGACTGGCATCTTTCGCTTGGAGCGCCCCGAAATGTACATGGGCTGCTTGGCATGGGGACCATCGTTGACGTTGGGCATGCTTTGCTTTGCTCGCAGCTTGGGTTTCTTGTCGCGGTGCTCATCATCGGTTTCGGTGTCAAAGCTGCGAAGGCTGCTGCGCTCGGAAGAGAAGCGCGGGTTGCTGGAGTGACTTGACGATTGAGTTGGCGCACGCTGTAGGGGGCTCAGAGAACTCAGCCTAGAAGAGTAGGAAGACGAAACGGTTTGGGTACGCTCGATGGGACTCAGCATAGCAGCTGAATTAGCGAGGACATCCAGTCCCGAAGGCGTCCTAGTCGCCATCGAGTGAGTTCGAGATGAATAAGTAGGAGGAGGATCCTGGTAATCGTACATAATCTCTGAGTCCAAGCTCTTGTATTTGGCGGTGCCGTCGAGCTCCTCGTCGTGTTCCCAGCAACTGTCGTCAACACCAGTCACTGAAGGTAGGAATCGAATCTCGTTCCAAGTGACGTCCTCGTATTGCAGGGTGATGTAGAGAACGTCGCCTTGCATCTTGTCATGCGCAATGCAGTGGTCTTCAAGAAAAGGGTAGTCCCAGACGTCACGGTGAATCAGGTCTGGCGGTAGAAGCATGAGGGCCATGCGGCCAAATGGCTCGTCGAGGGGACGATGGCCCGTCATGGGCATCCATGGTCTGCCGCGAAACAAGCCCTTGAAGGCTGTCTCAATGCGGTTAGTGAAACAGGAGCTGTCCTGGCTCGGAAACTCGAGGTTTTGCTGAAGCTTGCGTGATGCACATCGTCGGTAGGCGTTGCTATCAGGGTCGAAGGCGTACCTCTGTGACTTGCGGGGCACGAAGATGACGCGGACGTTCCACGACAGGGGGTACTTCTTATCAGTTCGGATGGGCAGCTGGCCGAGGGTGTGTGGTGATTGCATCAATAGTGGCAACTGTGGAACAGGTGGGGTGGGGCGGGGTGACAGATGCGCTTTCGGCGTTGAAGAAACGGGTGTTGCGTCTCTCGACAGGCCATTCAGCTGCTCGACCCGATCGACCCTATTCTCCAGCTCCATGCTAAACTCGTCCACCATGATCAGGCGCTCACCCTGAACCTTGATCTGATCGCTGAGCTCCGTTGTGCGGTCGACTACAGCCTCCACCTTGTCATCCATAGAGAGCTTCAGCAGCTGCATGTTTTCGTACATGCGTGCCTGGACGGCAGTGTTCGTCCTCATCAGCTCTTCCCGTGCCAGCCTCTCCCTGAATAGCTCCTGCTTTAGATGTTGTTCCAGCGTCTCGAAGCGCTTGACCTCGTGCTTCAGCCGCTTCATCTGCTCTACCGCCTCAATGTATGCGTCCATTGACACAGTCGATGGTGGCTGTGCCTCATGGATCCAAGCCTGGTGCCCGCACCCACAGCGGGAGCGGATAACGGAATCTGGAAAGAAGCTCCGACATTGGCAGCGCTGGCGAGCGCCATTGGTCTCAGACGACGGGAGGATAAAGGCACATTCTCCCCGTGGGAGCTGTGCCTCGCCGGCGGGCGCGGGCTTTCCAGGCAAGTGGACAAGTCCCTGAGTGTTGCTATGGAACATCAGGAGTCGCCCTGGGGCGGTCGTTATAGCGTGGGTGTTGGATTGGTAATGAGCGGCTCATGGAAAGAAGATGCCGATACAAAGGGCGTCGATATATACTGCAGGAGCAAAGGGTCATGTACAGCGTATGGCGACAAAAAAGAGGGTCAAGAGCCTGAGGCGCGCCGTTTAGCTGGGACAAGAGACTCGAGTAATATACAGAGACAGGCAAGTGGCCAGGATATGCGGCAGGTGCACAAGATAAGCAATCAAGGACTACTCACGTCGATATCATGCGAATGGCAGGTCGCACAACCAAAAGAACAGGCAGGACCTGTGCACCCGTGGGTGAAGAGGGAGTTTGGGGGGCAAGGTAGAGAATGTACCAGTAATTTAGCCTGGCCGACGGTGCAGGTACTCGTTCTTTTTGGCCGTGAACTAGCTCCCGCGCCGGGGATGGCCAGCCCTGTCATTGCTGGGGACAGTGCTATGCTGGTTGTGGGCGGCGGTGGTGGAAGCTGGAGTTTGGGGTGGGTAATGGGTGCCAAGCCAGGAGTAAAAGATAAGACTCAGGCCCCTTCTGCCACCATGTGCGCCCAATGGCGGACGTCGTATGGGCGCCCCGAGATGGCCCTGGACACTCGCCGCAGGCGAATCTTCTCTCGGTGCTCGTATTAGTATTGCGCGTCTGAGCCAGCCCAAAGGCGCGTGGAACTGGTGCAGCCGCATGCCCTGCAGCACACGGCCGCCGTGCCCACCACACCAAGCATGTGCCCGACCTGACCGCCCATGATAGATTCGAGCTGCGAGGGCGACGAGCCACCCCACACGACCCGACCGCTGAGGTCATTTGTAAGACGTCTTCGTCACCGCAAGCTACGGCACACGTTCCGCCTCCGGAGCTAACATGCTGGCCTGCAACGCTTTTCCCACTGCAACCAGGAGCGTTGCTGAAATTGTCCTGGACAGTCTGCATCGAATTCAAGTTGCTGACGCCGTGCCTCCGACGGCTGGGGGGGGGGGGAGGGGGTGGTCGTCGTCGCCTTATCGCGACTGTGTCTGATACACCCCACGCTGCCCCGGCCTCGCTAATCTGATTGGCCCGCCCTGTCACAGATTCGACGCAGAGAACAATTCGAAAGCCTGAGCGGTGACAGCAAGCCAGATCAGCACATGCCAGTCACTTCCCAGCACATAGATTTCGCCATATGCGTTGCGAGGCCTGGACCGTCTCGATTCCCGCCTTCCCTTCCGCACGTCGTCCCTAATGCGGGTTTTGGGAAGGCGCGACCGACTCGATTGGCAGCTGCCCTTCACCCGCAGCTTCTTCCCCTTCAATACTCTTTTTCTCGTTATACCTGCATTGTCATGACCGCGTGGTACGTAAACTATGTGATAAACCGCTGCCATGTATTTTCGCCCTCACCCCAATTCTGAGGTCAAAAACGCCACATGCTGGGTCCCCTTGCTGGTACAAACTTCGTCTCATCCAGACACCATGTCTTCATAACCATCCCTTTACTCTTTACTCTCGGTTCTGCATCTCGAAAGCCATCTTCCACAGTAGCTCCACTTGATCAAAGCTACGTGTCGACCGCGTTGCTTTTGACACGCTGTCACATGAGGTCGAGTGTGAAACCATGGCACCCATGGACCGGCCACGTTCAACAACGCCGCGTTCAGCCGAGCGGCACCGGGACACAAGTCGACGGTATTTGCCACTTGCACCATCCCACATCACGCGGCATGTGCATCAAATTTCCTCCTTAGTTGGCCATGCCGTGGAACTTATGGGATAATAGCTACCAAACCCTCCCACGTTCTGACTGTCTTCGGAGGACTGGCAGTTCGCCAAGCAAGACTTTGGCGCGGATCTTGCAATTTTCTTCTCCTCTCCTCAACATGTGGTATGCTCCTGTCCATTGGAACTCACTTGCAACTTCATCAGCACACCCCGCAGCCGTCTTATCGTATCGCATCCTATCCTACAAACACGTCCCACACCCTCAGCTGCATCCTGGCCTTCCTCCCCCATCCTGGTAACAACGGGAGCCCAACAAGGTTAGCCCTCGGGAGCAGCCGTCAGAAAACGGTCAAATGTGTATCGATCACTTCCCTACCCGGCCACATATGTCTTGCGCATTTTCATTGCTTTTTTGGCGATTGCATGCCCATCTGTATGACCAACCTGTCATCGCTTATAGTATGCTCTGCTCTCCTATTAGTTGATTTGCTTTTGACGGCTGTACCGCATTTTTTCAACTGCCGCATAGAGATGCTACGTCATCGGTCGGTACATTTAATCTTCTATCCCATCACCAGAGCAGTTCTGGTGACACGAGCGGTCAGAGTACTATACAGCTTTCATCCGGGACCTTGCCGGACGTGCTATCCTGAAGATCGTGGTAACTGCAACAAATTGACTTTTTGACACCCATGGATACGGCAATTAGTGCTCACAGTGAACGCGTACCCCGTGTTTCGAGAGAGTTTGTCTCGACGGCGATCCGTTGCATGGTTTGAGCTTATTGATCATGGCAGCGCAGTCAGCATTGTGATTGCGAGGATGTTGCCTGCTCGGGTCTCGGGACGGTACTTCTCCGGAGATTTGTGCCAAGACACCCGAACAACAACCCTCTCCGCCTTTTGGAGCCGAATGTTACTCTCATCGCTGCCTACTCCACTTTGTGATTCCACTGTAACCAGATGCCTGAGGAGAATTGGGTGTCTCACGGCGGTGTGCCCGCATGCGACCTATGCCATGCTCGGAAGGTCCGTCGCGCTTACTCAAATCATACAATGTTCCTCCTGCATGCATCATAGTATACGGTACTGATATAAACAAGGTCAAATGCGATCGCAAAGAGCCATGCGCAAACTGCGTAGCGTCTAAATCTGATTGTTTGCGGAACAGGCACAAGCGGGTTCCGCGACCAAAAGTCCGAACGTACGCACTCATCCTTTCCCCTTGTGAGGCACGAGGTTGAGGGACTATACCTTTCCCCATCAGTGATGAAACGCCATAATGTCTTGATTTCTGATTGTGTTTTAGTGATGATAAGATTCAAGCCCTACTACAACGGCTCTCATCTCTAGAGCATTCAGTCCGTACCACTCACCGTAGCCCAAGCATGTCATTAGAGCATGATGTTGTGAGCGCGATGGCCGTGACAAGCACTGAAGAGTCTTCTGATCGCCCACCGAAGCGACAGCGTACAGCAAGCTCAATAGAAATGCCAAACCCGCATACAGCCCCGGATACTGATACAAGTCCTCAAACAGCGCAAGAGGCTCGTATACACATTAGCAAGGAGCTATCTACCAATGGGCTACTGTCCGGTCACCAACGCTCAGTTCTGGAGACAGCCATTTCTTTTGTCGACCGATTGTCCCACACGCCGACACCAAACATGATGGATCGTAGTACTTTTGACAAGTCCATGCATGTTTCAACGGACATGTCTCCGCGTGAGATCTTCAATGTCATCCTTGGCAGTAAGTTGGTTTATCATACAAAGGGCCATGTAAACTAACATACAACCAGCCGAATTCAAGGAGCTTGGCGATGCAGCCGCTCGCTACCATACTGTCGATCATGTGCCATCTGCAGCCTTGGAGAGGATTGCCCTTGCCTTGATGGAGGGCACCGCCGACGAAAAGACTCTCAATCTGTACAGAGTTATAATACATTTCCAAGCGGCCGTCGTCCTGTATGCAAGCCAATTGCAAGGACCCAAAAGTGCAGCAGTACAAAAGCACATTCAACAAATGGAATACAATCATCTCATGGCAGCGTTCACGGCGCTAGACAATATCAGCTTCTTAACCACGCCATCGCTACTTCTGGCGCAAGCCTTGGTTACCGGGGTAAGTCGCACCGCCTGTATAAGGTGTGCAATTGACTGAGCTTTTCCAGGCCATTATGATGCAAATCATTGGCAATCCAGTTGGCTCCTGGGAGCTTACAGCCCATGCTTCACGCACCATCGTAGCCCTCGGTTACCACCAAATCGATAAGACTGTAGCAGAAAATGATACGGAGAGGGAGATATACACCATCGTCGCCAACTGCGCATACTTCGATAGCGTCATGAGTCTCTTGCTGCTTCGACCGCGCTCCCTTCCGAAACTCCGGGTCAATGTCGCAGACCTCTTACGGGGCCAAGAAAGTGCTATGAGTATGCTAGAGATGATACCTGTACATGACAAAATCTTGGACTTGACGTTGGATTCGGGTACAAAGCGATCCCCAGCTATGTTGAAGAATGAAGTTGCCCAGCTAAGATCGCAGATGCAAGACGTCTATAAGTCGATGGAGAAGGTAAGCAACGCCGTTCGCTACCGATGAATGACGTGCAGAAGCTAAAGGAATCTAGGAACGACAAACACACCTATTGGTGAGCAAGCAGGATACCCTCATTCATTGGAAGGGCATGGAGTTCAAATACTACTCCACCATGACATCCGTCTACCGACTCAGTCCTACCGTCACGACCAATCACGCAGAGCGAGAGGAATGCCTGCAATGTGCAAGAAAAGCTCTCGAATGCGTGAAGCTCATCGAACAGCTTGGGCGGAGGCTAGACCATTTCATCGAAGGCTATGACCCCTACCTCGCCTGGTAAGATCTCTGCACCTCCGCAGCAAGAACGCGCTTACTAATGACGACATAGGTCTTTGCTCTCCTACCCACTCTGTCCTTTCTTCGTCGTCTTCTGCAATGTAGTCGGTACTTCGGACCCTCGCGACTTTCAGCTCCTCCAGGACGTCACAGACAGCATCTCAGGCCTCGTCACGGAGAACAGATATGTCCACCGCCTCCATCGGCTATGTGCCACCCTTCTGGGTCTATGTAAACCCCTTGTCAATGTTCCCGAGGTGCAAGAGCCCGTGCAGCAACAGCCACCCTTGGATATGGCAACGATGATGCCGGAGCCCTTCGCTCCGGTCATGACATTTAACAATGGGCCCGATCTGTTGAACGGAAATAATGATGCCACTGGCATGATGCCTTCGTCTTGGAATGACGACATGATGTGGCAACTGTTCCAGTCGCAGCCATCGCTGGATTGGTTCAATGCAGACATCTTGGATCCAGCTTGGGATCCCAGTCTGCCACTTTGAAACCACCAAAATCGCGACTTTTTGTTTTCTCTTTTTTTTTGGATTCACAGATACACAAATCATGACAAAAGTTGTGTTGTTTTATAGATATTAGAGTGCAAGTTCACTTCCATGTAGCATATAGATCACGTGACTAGGTCTTGGCTTGATGGAACACTCCAGCTTCCACCGTCCGCCTCACCAGTCGAAACTAAATAGACACAGATTTTAAATTTGGAGCTGTCTCATTGTCTAGCTACCTGATACAAAAGTTATTATCCACATCGTGCGCCTATTGAGTTCTTATCCTGTATCTATCCATGTTGTCCTTTCTCCTTCGCGGTGCTGTGCATCTTTCTAACGTGCATCTCCAAATTATCCTTCCTACGAGAAGAATGGCCACAATCTGGAACATGGCAGAAGTGCATCGGTGGATTCAAATTATGGATGCTGTCGTAGTGGTGGCTGATATCTGCGGCGCGGTCAAACGGTATACCGCATGTTTCACACTGGAAGCGATAGGGGAACTGCGGATGACCAGTACGATACATGATGTCGATTCTGGGTAGCGCAAGAGCAGCGGATGCATGTAGAAACTGCGGCGTTGTGACTTGTTCGACGTCTGGTGGCGGCAGTGCGGGGGAAGGAACAGAGTTGAATGGTGTAGCCCTGGAACAGCTGGCGTGTTATTGGAGTATTGTGTGATAGAGATTATGCCTTGGGTTATAGGAAAGATTCTGAAGATCGTCAGTTAGTACATTGTTGCTGAGGATTGTAATAGCATTTACGTACCTGTCGCTACTATTACTAGTGGGGGGACAAGACAGGTCCATCTCTCCGTATTTTGCATACTGAGGTTCGTATCGTAGAGAGGTTGATAGTAATTGCTCATATTCAGCCCAGTTCGCTGGACCGTGGTAAGAGTCTGACGCGCAATATCAGTCAATGCTACTGATATAATGGAAACTACTGGTTTACGTGATCATGATAGTTGATAGGAGTTACTAGCATACTGTTGAAGAGAACGCTTCAGAGGAATCGCAATCGGTCTCTAGACCCGTATGAGACATCTTGTAGAGTTGAATTACCGATTCGGAATCAGACTATCTAGGAGATTTGAGAATCCCGCCAGCGCAATACTATATCTCTTCTTTCCATGACCGCTGATCTACTCTTACGCAATCATCTCAACCTACTCTGACTTTGGAAAGACGTTGATCAGTGAACACCCGGGCCCTCACCAACATAGCTAAACCATAAAATATCTTACACAAGGATGTGGACGAACATTCAACAAGAAATCCATGGAGCGAAAGTTCGGTGCAATATTGTCGTCGAATTATGCACCTGTCTAGCCTATGCAGGGAGTACAGATGACGGCGGATGCCACGCCCGACAAGACCAGGTTGGCGGAACGAGGCGCTCGTGTCGCGCGGTTCCCCGCATGCATATGTACAGGAATCGGCTAGCCACACTGATCACGAGACTTCATCAATGATACAACCTGCACCAGCATTGTCACGAATAAACAAACAATTGCAACTCCTATAGTAGAAGACGTATTCGTTCCCAATATATTATACTACATACATACAAAGCGCTCAGCACAATGAGGAAAGAGGTGGGCAATTCGATGGCTAGCCCGTGCCAGCTTCGGTCCCATGTACAGAAACATTGCCTCAAACGCCCGAAGTATGCAGTAAAACCCTTACAAAGGCCGTTGGAAAACCCCCGTTTCATGATTGATAAACACCGACCCGATCCTATATGGACCTTGGAAAATGCATCCGTGATTCCTCGCACCTCTGCCATTACTCTTCCATCTTGTCATCCTCTTTGGCCGAGTCCTTTGCGGGCGCCTTCAGGAACTGCGCACGGAAGTCTGCGTTACTTTTGACCTCGCCGTTGGTCTTCACAGCTCCTTTCGGTATCATTGGGCGACCAAGACCCGGCTTTCCTCTTCCTCGTCCGCCGCGAGCAGCTGTAGGCCGGTTGATGCGTGGCTGCATGAAGCTGTTGCTCGGCTTCCACTCCCCTTTTTGCTTGTTGAGGTCATGGACCGTTCCAATACGGAGTTTCCTTCCTTCAAAGTCCTTTCCTGAAAGTGCAAACTGCGCTTTGCCAGCTCCCTCGACAGTCGTGAACTCGATGATGGCTCCACCGTGCTGCGGCTCCAGCTTGATCCTCTTGAAATCATACTGTTCAACGAGCGGCTTGATACGCGCATCAGGAACGGTATCGGGTAGGTTGAGGATAGCAATGGAGCGGTCCAAGAACGACGCCGGCTTGATGTTGGCGTCTGTAACGGGGTCGCTTTCTCCAGGGGTCGCCTCGCGTGGTGCAGAAATTTCTGGGTTTTCCAAGGTTGACTGGATCTTTGGTTTAGTCGCGGGACGGTCCGTCGCAATCTCAACCATGAGTTTGAGACCCCACAGCTCCTTCCCATGCATTTCCGCCACAGCAGCATCAGCACTCTCTTTCGCTTCATAGACGACGTAGCAGAAGCCTCGGTTGTTACCTGTAGACTTGATGATCGGTAGCTTTGTTCTCTCGATCCTACCAAACTTTGCGAAAACCTCCTTGACTTCGCGTTCTTTGGTCTTGAAGTTGAGATGCCATATGTAGACCTCACGACCTTCAGCAGTAGCGCCGTCGCGCTTCTTTTTCGCGTTGGGATCAGAGATCTTCGAGATGAGCTTCATGCCTTCAACGTCAGTACCGTCAAGCTGCGTTGCTGCAATCGCTTCACTGTTTGAAGCGAACTGCACGTAGCAGAACCGACGGTGGGCATCAAATTTGAGAGACGGGAACCGAATGCCGACAATCTCTCCGAACGGACTGTAGAGCTTTCGTAGCCACGCTTCATCAGCATGCGCAGGATAGTTGGTAACGTAGACTGTAGTGCTTTGGCCGAGTTCGATGGAGATGGGGTGACCCTCGAACCCCTTCGCCTCTTTCGTCAAAGCATATTTAGCTTCTTCAGGTGATTCAAACTCCACAATGGCCGTCAAGCTGTCCTTCTCTTCTTTCAAAGTGAGGTTCTTGACAGTACCCGCATCGGTGAAGAACTGGCGTATCCGTGTCTGTGTCGTGCCCGCAGGTAATTTCTTCACGATGATCGAGGTGTGTTCGCGATCTCTCTTAGGCTCTGTCGAGCGAGCCTCCGACGGCGCCTCACTCGTAATCCTCTCTTGGCCGTTGGCTACGGCGCTAGTGCTCTCACTGTCTACATGTTTGCTCTTTTTCAAGGTCATCTCATCGTCGCCATCTTCTCGCTTCCGCTTAGAAGAGCCTTCCGCTACCTGACTTTCCGGCGTGTCTTGTGGCGGGGCAGAAGCAGCTGCGCTTGCACGTTCCTTCTCTCTTCGAACCGAGACAATACGCTCAGCTCGTCGTCGCTCGATTGCGGCGCTTCGGACTTTCAAGGCTGACTCGTGTTGTTCGCAATGACTGACGTACATGTCGATGAGCAGCTCGGGTTCGTCGATCGTCTGTAAGCGCTTCATAGCCCGTTCCAGCACTGCTGTGGCCTGGGTCGGTGGGCGCAGCTCTTGGCCGGCATTCTGCTTGGTTCTTGTCGAATTCGGCGCCCAAAGAAGCATCTCGAAGATGTAGCAGCGATACCAGAAGTCATATGAGTCTTCTTGGTATTGTACCACAGACTCCTGAATCCGCCGAGCTTGGTCAATGTCTCCGCGTTGAAGCCAAAACTTCATATGCGTGCGCTCAAGGCGATACTTGGGGTCCGTCCACTCCCTGCCATGCTTCTTCATGCCAACCTCTCTAACGAACTCCAAAGCAGACCGAATACCGACTTCCGCAACATCAACGTCGTCCTCGGTCGCTCTAGGATCATCAAAGGCTCTCCGCCGCAGATAGCCACACCAGGCGAGCTGCACTTTGATGAGCTCATCCAAGTCGGTGTGTTCCAAGAGACCAGATCCAGTGGCTGTGTGTTTGACGAGCTCGAGATCCTCAAACGGCTTGTTCTCCGCTTCGAGGGTGAGAATGCGGTGAGACCACAGTGAACCTGACCAAGGGCAGTGGCGCGTCGCACGCTCCAGAACATTGAGTAAGTCTACGGACCGGTTGTCTTGCCAGATGAGAAACTCGACATGGTCTTCCCATATTGACGCGTCAACAGGGAAACGAAGCGTCGCTCGCTCATACAGCGCATTGACGAGATGAAAGCTATACACACCCATAGTCCTCTTCTCCCACTTGAGGTACCGGGTCACGGCGTTGTATTCGGCTGCTTGGTCGCCTGCTTGGAAAGCTTGGAGAACCTTGAACTCGTACTCTTCGCGATTGGCGTATTGTTGCTTGATATGTGTATTCTTCTGCACTGCTTCTTCCATGACCTGGTCGGAAGGGCCCTTGCTGTACCGGGAGTTGAACGAGGCATATCTTGACAAAGTATTTGCCCATGTTGCGTGTGGCTGGCCTAACCGCTCGTTGTAGATGGCGGCCACTCTCATTGCCTTCTCTTGACTGAACCCTCCTCGCTCTAGATCCTCTTCCAGAACTTGCAAGTAGCGATCCCACACGAGATTGCTCTCTTGGAGGTTGTACTTGACCCTCTCAGCGCCCTGTTGCAACACGTCTAACAGCAGCTGAGGCTGGAAGAGCTCTCGACCAATGAGCCTCTCTTCTTCAGGCCATTCCTCTGGAGGTATCTGCTCCCATGAGCAAGCGACTAGGTAGCTGACGTATTCGCCGTACGCTGCCCACAACTTGGCGCTATAGGGCTCATCTTGGGTCGCCTGCTTGTGCAGCTCTAGCACGCCCATGCGCTCTTCCACATTTCTCGCCAGGGTCTTCTCGTCATTCAGCCGGTAGTGCCACAGCAACTCACCCAATGGGTACTTGTCGGACATGGTCTTGTAGGCATCGCGCAATGGCTGAACCAATTCATATGAATTCGGATCGGCATCAAACGAGGCCAGGTGAGTTTGCAGACCCTGGTGTAGTGTAGTGACGAGTGAGACGTGGCTGTAATAGTCGAATGGATTCTCCAGCAGGGTTTGATCCAGCTGATTAAGCCAATCAATGTGTTGCTGATCGAGCGACCTTGTCACAAAGTTCCGCGGTCGCGGCGAGGCTTCTGTCATGATGCTGGCTACTGACTCGCCAGAGAGGTTTTGTCCGAGGTGTTGGAGACTAGGTTGTGTCAGTGTGTGGTGTTATGGAGTTTGTGCAGCCAAGCCAAGCATCCGGAATAGGCAACAGCAACCCGTGACCGCGGGCAAGCGCGTCGCCCTCACGTCACCGGCGACTACAACTAGGCCAGAGCATGACAGATGGCTATTCGTTGACACTTCCATAAGCGCGGATACATTTGAAATGCAGCAATGCGGATAAAGCAGCACGAGGAGATGAATGACTTACGTGACAGGTCGCTGATGGACTACAGAGCTCTGGCGCGCAGCTTGCTGCTGCTGCATGCTAGCAAGATCTAAGCAACTGTTAGTAGCCGCATTATGGAGCTAGCACCTGGCCATTGCCCGCTATACTTTTTTCTGACCCTGCATACTGCATACGTCAAGCTGCAATTTCACATGGCATTGTCGCCTTGCAAGCTTGACTGCGAACCCAAAGGAAATTAGCACCTACCTGCGAGTGTATCCATGCCGGGTGTGGACGCCTGCCGATACGTCGCATTCGGCGGAGTCATACGCGCATCACGAGGCGAAGCTGCCTGTTGCGCCGTGTTGATTGTCGTGTGCATCGTCCTTGCGCCATTTGCAATCTGGGCGTATCCCGGCGAAGGCACTCGTTGCTGTATAGCCGAGTGTGGCTGCGGGGAAGACGAAGACATGACCTGCTGGCTCAGGCCTGATGGGGTTCGCGACGGTATCTGGCGTCGCGCACGCTTGCCCGGAGAGCGTATCAATGATGGTGACGGGGCAGAGGGCGCGGGTTGTGGAGTAGGGGTGCCCGCAGGCGAGTCCGACGGCGACAGCAGCGAGTTGATGTCCATGATGATGATGGACGGGGGTAGACAGACACTGTCCTGCTCTACTAAAATGCGATCAGGCTTAAGAAGCCGCTCGGGTGCTTCACGTGCGCTGGACGGCGGCCGATGGTCTCGATCTACGGTCGCGAATTACGGGGACTGTGAGGCATCGAAACCCTCGTAGCGGACAACATGGGACGGGGGCGGGCGGTTTGCGCGAAGAAGCTGGGTCGGATGCGCAAGGCGACGGGATAACGAGTGTGATGGGGCAGGACTTTGTCGGCGGACGTGGTGGAAGACGCCTACTGTCTCGTCTGCAAGAAAAGGTGCTTAGGTGCACCAGGCAAGCTTGGGCCCGCAACTAATCAAGTAATGATGCAGCAGCTCGCGATCCGGGTCAGCGTGAGGCGAGCGGAGCTGTGGTTGAGAGAGGGGCGACGTCTGCTCGTGAGGTCTGGCGCCTCACCACAAAATCGCGTCCAGCGTGCGGCACTGCTCGAATGCGATGGTCTGGACAAGAGGCGGGACGAAACCACTCCTGCACTTTTCTTCTGAGAGCTGATCGTTGCGTTCTGGCTCATGAAGATCTGCCGAGACTCTCCACCCCTGCAAGCGCGGAGCCTTTGGCCGCAACCACAGAAATTCCCGTCCAACCTCACTGCTCTGCCATTACCGCCGCCGCAACACGCATTGTGGGGTCGACCATCACCATGAGCGCTCGAATAGCCTCGAGGCGGCTCGGGCAGTCAGGTACGCAATTGCCCAGCTTATCTGTGGTGCCTTCCTCACGGACGTGGCTCGCCAGTCGTTCCTTCCTGTCGCCGCCGCAGTACATACAGGTCCTAACTACAAGTAGCCCTCGCCGCCTTCCACCCTCGAACGCGCTGGCCATCTCCTGCATATCTGCCTACTAGTGCACAACGGAACATTTCGTCCAAGAAGCAAAAGATCAGCGACGACCTGAGAAACCCCATCTTGGAGGAATATCTGAGGAAAAAAGAGCGAGAAGCAGGCATCCAAGAAAGATTCCCCGAGGCAGCCTCTACAAAAGGACAACCCACACCACGTTTCGGAGATCTCTCGCACAGTCCATCTTCGCTCTTTCGCCCCGAACGCGAAGTCCCCGGATGGAGAGACGATCTGAGCCCGGAGCAAGAGAAAGCCGTTATGGCGCGGCACAGGCAACGGCAAGAAGAAGAGAAGCAGAACGAGGAGAAGGCACTCACGAACATGAGCCTTGACCCCGACCAAGAGGCCCGCAAGCGCCTCGAACGCAAGCTCGTCATCGCCAGCGTCAAGCGCCACGGCCGCATGACGAAAGCCCAGAAACTGGCCCGCACCGAGCGCGAATCTCTCTACAAGTCGCATCTCCTCCCCACCTCAACCAAGAAACTACAGAAAGTCATCAACCAAATCGCCGGCAAGACCATTTCAGAGGCCTTGGTTCAACTCCGCTTCTCCAAAAAGAAGGTAGCCCGCGACGTCATCAAGGGTCTCGAGATCGCACAAAACGAAGCCATTGCTGCTCGCGGTCTAGGCCTCGCTGGCGAGTCAATGGCTGTTGCGCGCTGGGAGAAGCAAAGAAATGCTATGGATGCAGGCAAGCCAAAGGACTTGTGGGATTACAAGACGTCAGAAGAAAGCAGTGACGTAGAAAAGAAAGTGCCCAAGGCGCAGTTCCACAAGGACACCTTGATCGAGCTGAAAGACGGGAGTAAGAAGGTAGTCAGGGATCCGAGTGAGATCTACATTGATCAGGCGTGGGTGGGGCCCGGACAGAGCTGGAAGAGCCCAGAGTTTAGGGCGAGAGGTGCGGTCAACATGTTGAAACACCGGACGACAAGTGAGTATTGCTTTTTCAACGGCCATCGGACGCATCTTGGCCTTTGCGACGACGAGTGACGCGATATGATTGCTAACGCCTACTAGGCTTCTCTGTGCTGCTCAAGGAAGAGAAGACGCGCATGCGCATCTCAGATGAGATCAAGAAGAAGCGCGACAACCGCAAACTATGGGTCGCCCTCCCGGACCGGCCAGTCACATCACAACGGCAATACTGTCTATGGTAGCCAATTGATGCATCTTCGTGTGTAGCATATAGCCGGCGAAGTACTGGCTTGTATAATATACCATTTTAAGCGACGACTTGCAGCCAGTTCTATGCCCATCATCCAAAGCAAACTAGATGCCTCATCCGGGTATCTCCCCCTCTAAGCTACATAACCATATATGATGTCACCCCGACCTTTTACGGAAACAGTGAACAAATCCAGAACGCCATCGCTATGCAATCAAGTATCACTTGTCCGTCCTCACGCTTCGCCCTCGACTGCCCCAACGCTACTGACAAGCATGTCCAGCATTCCTCTCACTTTCCATGCATCCTGGCTAGCCTCGACCGTGACCTTGACTCTCTGCATGAGCGCCAGAACCAGATCATCCACCTCCTCGCTCCTGCCCAACTGGTCTGCATACAGATCCAGGACGACGAGCGCGACATCGGTAGTCAAGCGCGTAATGCGGTAGTCTGAGATGTTCCTGATGCACCAGCGGAGAATGGGTTGGAGAGTGACTGAGTCGCGGTTGCTCAAGGCGACGCGGAGGGCGGAACGGTGGCGCAAAGCGGTTAGGAGAGTGATAGATTGGCTGCGTGAGTTGCCATCCTAGCGTGATAGTTAGCATATATCTCTGGAAAATTAAACATTGTAGGCGCTTACTTTTGAGTCGAGAACCAGATCGAGGGCTTGGGCGTACATGCCCCTTCGCAGCGCATGCGCCCATCCTTGTCCAGCAGTTATCTTGCCTCGCGCGTTGCCTTCGATGACAATATCAGCGCTTTCGCCTGTAAAGTCCTTGCCTCGAATACGCTTCTCCCAGCCTTTCCCCCGCTTCCTTTTCTTGCTCTTGTCGTACTCTTCAATTGTGCCTTCCATGAGCGCCTTCATCTCCTTCTCTCTCTCCCGAGCTTGAACCTTTTGCTCGCCTGAAAGGTGTGTCTTGATGGAAAGAAGACCGGATTGCATACCCACAGCGATATGCTTGTCCTCCTTCTGGTTGGGAATGACGTTGAGGGACAGAATCGGCGAGGGATATTTCAAGCCACCCACGACGTTCCAACCGGTAGTTTCGAATACCTTGACATGGCCGTCCAGGGCACCAGAAAGAAGGCGCTCACCGTTGTTTGCTAGCGAAAGTGCGGTAACAGTCTTCTGATGGTTGCGTAGCATATGAATCGGCTTCGCGGCTACAATGTCGAGAACACTGATCACATTGTCTGAGGATGCAAGGACGGCAGTTCCAGAGGGCATAGGCAGAACGGTTTCGATGGGGTTTGTGTGCTTGAACACCATGACAGCTTTGCCGCCAACTCGCGAATCCCAGAGCCGTACTGTACCGTCGTAACTTCCTGATACCAGCAGTCCACTCTGTGCAGGCATGAAGGTGCCGCTGCGCACATAATCATGATGCCCATCGAACTTCATCACACTCTTCTCACTCGGCAGATCCCATAGTCGTACCGATCTGTCGTCCGAACAACTCATGAGACCCGTGAGGTCCGTGGGGTGCCATTGCGTGACCCACACTGGCTGCTTGTGCTCCTTCCATGTCTTCAAAATCGCCCTACTTTTCACGTCAAAAGCCTGTATAACGCCGCTGTCTCCTCCGGCGACCAAGATCCTGCCATCGCGCCGAATGTTGCCCGAACGCGCAACGTCGTCCACACCGAAGCGCGATATCGTCTTTACCACTTTCCGGGTTTTGGTAGAGAAGATCTGCACGCGCGAACCTGTGGTTACGGCGAAGAGATCCTGCGTAGCAGACAGGGCATTTGCAGGCTGAGGCGGCGGTATTGAGATGTGGGTTACAGGCGACGAATGCTGGGATGGGTCGAGTCGCAGCTCGGAGGCGAAAGAATTCCAGTATTTTTGTTCCGATGTGATGGTGGAAGGGCCTTTGGGCAGCTTCAAAGGCTGCAAAAGTTGTACCTCGGCCGCCATTGTGGTTGGAAAATGCGATCAGTTCGCAAGAAGTTGCTTGTTGCTCGTGTCGTGAGCTTTTCGGGTGGGTTGAACTTTTCTGCGGGTCGCAGACTAGCGCTAACGGAGATGGGTGGTGGCGCCTTTCCAGCCTAGATGTGGGCAGACGCCGACAGTATCCGCTACCAACAACATAGTATCAACAATGTACCTAGACAATTACATGCTGTTACTACAAACGTAGAATCCTCAAAGTGACCTGATACACGTACTAAAGCTTATGCTTTTTATCATAGGGTGAGGGTGCGGCTGATTTGACTAGCGTTGGCTGCCTGGAACTTCGCCGCACACACCCAGTTCATCAACAGAAGACCAGTGCCATTTCCTACCTCCCTGGCATCAAGGCGACGGCTAGGGCCTGTCATACGACACCCACTTCCTGGAGACTGATCTATCTATCCGCTACAAATCAACCTACGCTTGTCCGAGCGCTGTTTCCCAGGATAAGCCACTTTCGGGACCTATCTGGCCCACGTTGGACGCGTCAGAATGGACGCAAACGCGCTCGAAAAGATGAACGATTTCTTCGATTTTGCTGCACTTGATGAGGATTCTGGGCTCGACCCGATGTGCAGTACAGATGGGAATCATGAGCCTTTGTTCCCCACAGACCACATCGCGACCATGGACTGGGCCGTTGACCCCGCCGTCACTACTGGTTATCTGGATATCACTGGACATTACGACATGCACTTACACAATGCTCCCCAAAAGCAAGACTACCAGCAGTGGTCGATACTCGCTCACACACCCCAATCGATACCGTCTATTGAAGATGCAACTATGACCACGAGAGCAGGGTGCGAATGGCAGGCGGATACTTATACGTCTGGAATGGATCACATGTCTCATTGCGAGCAACCAATCCCCGCACACGCACCTTCTTCATCATTTCTCATGCCTGCAGAATCAGCCGTTTCCCGTGACGATGATGAAGGTGACCTGGTTGGCACAATGGACGTACGTGTGTCTCCTGCAGCGCACGGCCGATCAATAGCCGAATCTACGGTCATACTTGATGTAGGACTACCACCAACCAGACCTACTGCACCACTTCGTCAGGCCTCGACTGCAAGCTGGAAGCCGGCGTCAGCGAAGCGCAAAGGGCCTCAGAGTCGTATTCCATTTGAAGCCAGACAAATACTAGAAGATGAGTTTGCTGCTAACCCATACCCCCACAATTGGGAGATGGACATCATTGCCCACCAAGCAAATCTAGATGTGAAGAAGGTTCGCAACTGGTTCAATAATACTCGAGCGCGGAAAAAGGTTGGAGGTGAGCGCTTGCTGGTAGCATTCATCGTTAGCTTTGCTCATCTATCCAGATTCTCAGTCTGTTATGCAGGATGCGCCAGATACTGGCACACCTGTGCTGAAAACCAAGCTGTCAAAGGATAGTCTAGACACCCTAGACAAGCAAGTTGATGGCACTACACAGCCACCTCAACCACCTTTGGCAGTGTACCTAGCCCAGTCCTATCAAGAGGAGGCGGTTGAGCTATCTGCAGTACATGCAGCAATCGAGGGTGGCTCGCTCAGTGGAAGTGGTCAAGACGACGCGTGGTCCGATTCGAGACAAGGCAGGAGAGGTTCAGCTATCACATCAATTGCTTCATCTGAAGGTACCGCGCCGACAACATACACGGTGTCTTCCAGTGGAAGTCGGAGTAATATATCATCATTTGGCCGAGACAGAAGACGAGGTAGACGCCGCATGGCATGGAAAGAATCACCTCGACAGGCCATCAATGGTGTCAATAGTGCTGGAGAGCCTCAAAAGGACTTGCCATTTTTCTGCACGTTCTGTCCTCGGGCATTCAAGACCAAGTATGAGTGGGTTCGACATGAGGATTCTGTGCATGCCCTCCGGACCACCTGGATCTGTTGCGACACGAAGCCCTCTGCTGCGATCGAAGCATGTCCGTTCTGTGGTCATTCACAACCAGACGCCACCCATATGGCTGGACATAAGTATCAGCAATGCCGGAGCAAGCCCGAATCTCAACGAACCTTCTACCGCAGAGACCACTTCATTCAGCACCTACATCACGTTCACTTTGGCAATGTCAAGCATCCGTCTGTACGAGTTGGCTGTCAAGCACGACTTTTGGCTGCTGAAGGGCAAAATTTCGGCTGCAAAGATCTTGCGATGAAGTGGCGTCGCTTCGGTGCACCGATGAAGCTTGATGATCCTATGCTTCATTGTGGTTTCTGTGGAAAGAAGTCAAAAGACTGGTCTGAGCGATGCGAGCACGTCGCAGAGCATCTCATCGCCCGTGAACTCGATCGTGCAGTCTGGTGGAGTGAACGTAAAGAGAATCACCTAGAAAACCTCTACTCAGCCTCACCCTATGAGTCGTTTCGTTGTCGGTACTGCCAGAAGGTTTTTACAGACATCAAGGAAATGAACAAACATTCCCATTGTCGTGTCTGGAGTTGCCGATTCTTGCGCAGCTTCGATGATGTCGCCGCCCAGAATGCAGGACCACCACTCTGCCCGGAATTCCCCTCTGCAAAAGCACATCACTGTCACCTTTGCGGGGCCGGATATCGAGCAGTTCACGTTGAGCATGCACAGAACTATCATAGATATCGTTCTTGTAATCAGGAGTTCTACACATCGGAGGATGCCTTCCTCCAGCATCTACACAATTTTCACGGTGCTTCCCAGCCTGGATTGCTGCGTGGCAGTGGTGTTATCGAACAGAGTTTCATGCGTAACAAAGGGGCATCGTTTGAACCAGTCGAGTTCAACGAAAGCTGGCAGCCGTGCGTCATGGACCTTGACGTCGCATCCGTCAGCCCATTTGTAGCCGACAACAATGCCCCAGCCTTGCCAGTTGCTCCGAAGAAGAAAGATACACCAGCAAGAAAGTCGCTATCAGGCCCAAAGAGACACGGCGAGATTGCGCAGATCCACGATCCCAGCCCACAGAAGATGCAGAGACAGCGCGCGAACACCACGGCATCAAAGGCCGACACGCTCAATCCCCGTTTCTTCCGTCTCAGTACATATATACCCTTTCGCTCATCTCGCATCTTCTATTCGCGCAACACGAGATCTTCCACTTTCCAACCTGATGAACAGGATGTACTCGAAGAGGTGCCGAAGCCGCATATCGCTTCACTGGCAATGGGAGCCGGTTTGGTCAGCATGGCGACTGCGCGCTGGATGATTCGGCCGGTGATGCATGCCACAAATGGCATGGTAGAGCTTACTATTGACGATGAAGAAGAATGAGCATGAGCATGTAGTTGATGGCTACACAGGATAGAACCTGTCGTAGACGCATATCGAACTCTGCATAGCGAAAATCTATTCAACGTAATCAGCGTTGGTCGCGTTGCCAGCCTGCAGTCTTGAAGTTCGGCCCGTAGCAAGCTGGTCGAAAGAGAAAGTACTGCCTCTCATCTTGTCCCAGAGACCAAGGAAGTCATGGTTGAGTGGAACCTTGGTTGTGGTTTTACACCTAAATTGATATAAAAGGGGTAGGAGGTCAGAATGTTTTTTAGCTTGTGAAATACTGCGGTTTACCGGTTAACCGTGTCACAACTATGAGTGTGTCGTTTTAATCCGATGATAGCTGAGAAAAGGATCATATACTTGATGGTTTTGTATGAAGAGAGGTATAGTCAAGGAACATGTAAGGAAGGATGATGAAGATCAAGTAATCAGAATTTGGTGGGGCCCTAAAATTTGGGGACTTGGGTCAAAATGAAGGAAAGCTAGGCTAGTATTTAGTATACAGTCTGGCTGTTATAATGTATTTGACTCGAAGGATCACTCTATTGGCGAGATGCTTTGCCAAGTGAAATGTTCTATTGATGCAGGTGTTATAAAAGACTCGGCCGTCCGCATGCCCTGATGTATCTTTGCCTGCATCTTTGCCACTGTAAAACTCTTCATGGTACAGAGGTATTCTAAACCACATTCTTGCAGTTGACCCAAGAGCTGTTCCACTCCTCCCTTAACCCCTTGACTTTGTTGCTAGCTCTGTAAGTACCTGTTTGATTGACTTCGAACAATCGCACACGTCGGTGAAGCTGACCTTAACTTGAATCGCCTTTATGTGCTATTGGCGTGCCCTCCTGCCACGAAGTTCAATACACACCTCCCTGAGTACAGTACTCAATCACCATTGAACCATCCTACAAAGTCTCAAGAACGCGAACATCACTCATTGCCTCAAAGGGTATCATCTCGTTCCCTCCTCCATCCCGTAAAGCCCACCGTATCGTCTTCTCCAAAGCGCGCCGCCCCACTTGCTCAATCTGCAGCCTACTCATGATTAGCATACCAAACTTTCTCAATACTATCCCTGAATTGTACTCACCAGTGACCCGCTCCCTTGACAATAACAACCTGACTACCCTTTACAAGGTAGTCGCGCGCGTTATCGAGTGACAGCCTCTGGTCAAATGCCGGCTCATACTGTCCCATGAAGAGTGTAGCGGGGGCTTTGAGAGCACCTTGCGGCGCGGTATTAGACAATGTACCTGAAGATCTTGCAGCGGCAGAGCTGGTGGAGATGTTGTATAGTGCAACAGTGACCTCGAGTGACTTTTCCCATTTTGCCGAGAAGAGATCTTCACGGTAGATGCGGATCTTCTCCGACATGCCTTTATCTCCCACTCTTGCCTTGACAGACTCGCCATATCGCTCTTTTGTGTTGTCCGGAGCGTTCAATTGTGCCATTGCAGGTCCAGTAGAGATTGCCATTGCTTCTGCAGCTTCTACAGGGTTCAGGGCCGTGAAGTTCTTGGGCTTACTCGCAGACCCTTTGCCATAACTGTGGAGAACGCGGAGGAACCAGTAGTTACCGAATGTTGCAAATACGTTGCTCAAGGGCCATGGCAGATGGAAGACGAAGATGTAGAAAGACCGGCGGAATTGGCCAGCTACAGGGCCCAGCGCATGCAAGCCGTTCTTCAACAGTCGTGTGTTCAATGGTGAGCGAAGCCAAGTCCGTAGCATTTGCTTTGCCAACAATATCCTGTTCTTTGCATTGGAAGCCTGAAGACTAGGAATGACACCGCCTGTGATGATCCAGTGATCGGCCAGAACATGAGCCTCGGAGGCAAGCCTTGCGCCGATAACCGCACCCCAGTCGTGCGTGGCAATGACGGCCTTTTTCCCTTCTTGTAGATATTTCTCCCGTACGTCGATGATGAGCTCGGTCAACGCTCCCAGCATTTCATTTGGGCCGTACGCAGGCAGACTGTCCGAACCACCATAGCCAGGCAGATCGATCGCGACGAGAGTAGTGTCCTGAAATGAAGTAGATTGAAGAAGGTGTCTCCAGATGAGGTACGAGTCGGGAAAGCCTAGTTGGTTAGTAAAGACATATAACCCAGTACACGGGTCCTTGACAAACCATGGATGAAAATCACCAGATTCTTTGCCTCTGCTCCCTCTTGTGCGTTAACTACATAATGCAGTCTCGCGCCACTGCTTGTCCCGAAGAAGGCGTGCTTGAATCCCGGTAGAGGCTCACGATCCAGACTCCAAAACCTCTCTTGCGCGGCAGCCAGCTCTTTCTTCTCTTCCTCTGTGTCCTTGGCCCAAAGCGCACCGTTCTTAATCACAGCCATTATCCATGCCCCGAATAAGCTGACTAATCCAAAAGCCAGCTTGAAGCCGCTCCAGGCCAAGCTACTCATGGTGCCTGGCATTAGGAGAGTTCTGCGAGTGTGTCGTGCGTCGTGCCAGAGTCACACGCGGGGCAGAAACCAGTCTGACTCCGCGATGTTGTGTCGTGTGTCGCCTCGGTTCGTCTATGCAGAGAAAGATTGGTTTGCACAGTAAGTTACTTACGCATCCAACACCGACTTAGCTATCTCTTGCCACAAACAGAACGAAAGCACTGTTCCAACGAGTTTGACGATTCAATCTCGTAGTTTACTTCACAACGAACTGGAGAACATCAAAGATGTAGGAAAACAAAAAAGTACAAAGTCGCGTATCCACCACCCCGCACTCGCCCACTGATAACCTCTCACGCCTAACATCGCCATCGCCATCAGCCCCTTGCACCTGCATTCTAATCACACCTATGACACGCGGCAAGCGACGATCAAAGGGTCTAAAGCCTCGTTGTGAAATATATTCATCGTCGTGCGTCCCTAGAAGTGGCGTTTGCAGTGATTATCGTGCCAGACTATGACGTCTTATTGGCCATAGCTTCTCTTTTGCGCGTCGCTTGCACGCTTGGGTTGGGCGGCAGGGCAACATGCATGACATGATCGACTATCCTATCGGGTATGGAGGGTGTGGGTGGATGCTCTTCCGCGACAGGCACGGTCTTGTCTCAATTGACATGATTGGCGTGCTTTGGCGAGGCAGAGGGTATGAGAGTTGCGCGAGTACGTTGATGGTGTGGTGATTATGGATTCTATGGTATGTTGCTTGGCTCGACGCTCGGTGATGATATGTATATTGTTTGCGCTCAGGACAGCCTTGGAGTTGAGATCCGGGAAGGGTTCACCGAGAATGTATCGCAGGAGTGCGCCTGTCTATGCTCACGGTACAGTTTGCGACACTGAGACGTGCTCGAAGAAAGTATTGTTCTATTTTGATAATTTTAAGTTTTTGTCATATATTTAACGTTGCATCAGCATTCAGCCATCCAGCCTCCACAAGGCGACGTTACGCCCCCGTTATCGTGACATATTTAATGCCGGGTATCATATTCCACATGCTCAAATCTCGCGGCCTTGCATCATCTTGCACCCCCTCACGTCCTCTTGCCCTTGACCCTCTCCATCACCCTCAACTCGGCACTCCGCTGCAACCTCAAATTCTCCAATTCCCTCTCAATCCGCCGATTGCTCTCCGCCAACTCCTTCCTCTTCTCCATGCGCTCCCTGGCCTCCTCCAGCTTAATCCGTATCTTGTCTTCAACTACTCTCTCTAGCTGCCCCGCATCTTCAATGCCATGCTCTTCTATAAAGCGATTCGCGTATTCCTGTACTCTTTGTGGAGCAGGACCAGGGCCGCCCGTATAGTAGCCGTTTACGTGTGTGAGGTATAAGCCGGGTATGGCGGAGGGGTGCGTGCGTAGGTTGGACGAGAGTGGGATAGGCAATTGCGATGCAGAGATGGTGGGAATGTCGTGGGTTTGTTTTCGGGGAGAGGGCTGCTGGGGCGGTGGGTTGAGCAAGAGTTCCATGAGATTGTTCTCAAACGTCTCGTCGTAGGGAACTGTGGCCGGGGAGAACTCGACCATGGGTGAGGTGAGTTCGGGCTCGTCGCGTGGTGTGAGCGGCGCATTGCTCATAACGGTGTCCTGGCTGACCATGATTGCCGTTATCTTGGATACAAGTGGAGATGCGTCACGTGAAGTCTGAAGTACGGAATGTTGCGAGTTAGAAATATTTGTGTGGTTGTTGTTTGGTCTGGAGGGTTGCCATGACGGACTGGCGGAACAGCGTCATGACTAAGCCGGAATTTCCGCAGCACCTCCGCGGTCGCGATGGACCCAACTTTAGTTGCAGGTAGTTTACCGGCACCACCATTCCACGTTCAGCGTACCCGACGACGACAACAACAACACCAACTTTCTCCACGTCGCAATCATGGCCGATAAACTCCGCGCACAGCAGCAACTCGAGGCACTCCAGGCGCGCTACATCGGTATCGGCAGTGCGGACACGACCAAGCACGAGTGGACGTCCAACATTGCGCGCGACTCCCTGTCAAGCTATGTTGGCCACCCGCCGCTTCTGCAGTACATGAGTATCGGTCTCGGACAACCGCGCGAGAAGACACGAATGCAACTGCTTGAGAGAATGGTCAGGCCTGTGGGACCGCCGCCTGAGGTGAGTGATTACAGGAATGAAGGACTATCGCAAAGCATAGATAAGTTAACATATGCGCAGCAACAAGATTGATTAGCCTCTACTCAGTTTCGACCTTGGTCTACAAACAAACTACACGGTGTACGAAATCACTTCAGCCACGAGCCCCTTCGTTTGGGCTACCAGAGATGCCCCATATCAGGTGTGATACATATGATGGGAGTAGTGATTGGGTGCTGCATGATTGCACGATAGATAGCTGCGAGGGCCGATTCCATGTATGCTTTCAGTTCCGTGTGCACCACAAAGCGCCAGCGATGAGAGGTACACATGCACCTCTGCGTAATGAAGATAGCCCGGCTACCACATAGCCACAATCCCAAAACCTTGCCCAAATCTTACTGCTTCTCGTACCATGTCTCAGTCGCTATCGCTACCACTTCCCGTTGGGCCGTCATCGTCATCCTCGACCACGTCGCCGCCTGCCATCATAGCAAACTCGCCCTTTTGTAGCATGCTCCTCAGGTCCGTGTTCCTGGGGTCCGCCAGCTCCACGGGCTTGAGCTTCGCCTTGTTCCGTATCCGGGGGTCACAACCTGCGTCGAGGAGCATGGCCACAATCTCATGGCCATGGGGCCAGATGGACTTGTCGAGCGAGTTGACGTAGCGCACAGCTTTGTGGAGGGGGGTGTCTTGCTCCATGCGGTCGATCTCGTCGATCTCGAGGCCTTCTTGGTCCAGAAGCATGTCGATGACTTCGTCTGAGGAGGGTCAGCGCTTTGCTCTGCAGCAGAGTGACTCAACCGCGCAATCCAATTGGCGTGCCACTTACAACTTCCAAATGTCGCGGCAACGTGGAGGCAGCCGTTGCCGACACCATCGCGTGCATTGTTCAATATGTCGGCCACATACTCCTCGGCCTTCTTTCCCGACTTTGAAGCAGCGGCTGTGAGAGTCTTGAGTGTTTCTTCGAGGAGTTCAGTGTTGTTGCGTCGGCAGGCCTCGAGGATAAGTTCGCGTGGCGACGCACCCTGCTCGCCTGTCAGTATCGGGAACGCAGGCCATGTGACGTGCACCCAAGTACCTCTTCGTCAGCCATTGTGCGTGAGTCTGCGTTGTGTCGACAGCGGCCTAACGGGGGGGGAAGGGCCGTCAAGTAGGCGTGAATGTTTCGTCGACCTGTTTTGGCGGGGTACTCGGAAGTGCTAACGGAAAGCAGCGTTGGGTGGAGGCGGTGTGAATATGTGCGTGTCTTGTATCGCTGCCTTGAAAGCGTGGTAGAGAAGAAAGCGTGGTAGTCAAGTCCCCATACGGCCAGCGTGCATAAGCCCCCCAATCTGAGACAACCGGTTTACCAAGTGCGCGCGTCGCGGAGGCTCAGCCTCAGCCACGGAATTGCATGTGCTGCTATCGCCCCGCACTTTGCCTATCGCAGCCCTAGTCGAGAGAAGACCCGCCATATTTTGGATGCTCGGCAATTGTTATTGTTACTGCTACTCACGCGTTTTTTGCGACATAGGAAAACTTGACGTCCACCCAACATGTTGCTTTGTAGGTATATTGTCTCATCCATCTTGAAGCACCGCTTTCTTCTTTGCTATAGACATCTGCTCCTCATGATCAAGCCTGCCCTACCACTCGTAGCCAACTAACAGCTACTTGCAGTCTGCCCAACATGCAGCAACATGCTGCGCGTCTCCAAAACCCCGCCCGGTGATCCCACGACCGCAGACTATGTCGACAAGAATCGCTTCGTGTGTCTCACGTGCCCATACCAATTCGTCATCGAAGGGCGCTACTTTGAGCGAAAGTACATGAAGAAGAAGGATGTTGACGATGTCATCGGAGGAAAGGACGCCTGGGCAAATGTCGACAAAACAGAAGGTACGTTGGAAATACCCTGCATCAATTTGAGGAGCCGCGCATGTCACAGAGCGCACAGGCCAATGTTGCAGAGCTTCACAGCAGCTGACGGATGCATAGTTCAATGTCCAAACGAAAAGTGCAGGAATCACGAAGCATACTGGTACCAGCTGCAGATTCGCAGTGCTGATGAACCCATGACGGCTTTCTACAAGGTTTGTCATTCTACCAGACCCATCATGAACTCGATGCTAACCCATGTCCAGTGTACTCAATGTGCAAAGGAGTGGCGAGAGTAATCAGACGACATTGCGCATACGGACAAGGAGTTTGGGTGCAAAGGTTGTCTTTGGTATACCCCAGTGAATTTTGACAGTCAAATATATTGTTACATCGTACCTCTGATAACATGCATCTACTTCCTCATTATACTACACTAAAGGGACATGAAGGGCGACATGTCGAGCGGCAACTCCTGGTTAAGATGCATAAACTCCTGAGCTGACAGGGGGTTTATGTACTCAGGGTCCATGTGATACTGCATCTCCTGATGTTGCAGAGGCTCTGGTGCCTGATATCCTATCGTGGATTCGTCTAGCGGCGCCGTCTGCATACCAGGATAGATATGTATAGGAACCTGGTGAAGGCGCGGTGCCTCATCTAGAGGATCTATGGCTTGCGGCAGGCCACCGGGCTTCAAACTAGCATGTTGCTGCTGCTGTTGTGTCATCTGCACACCATAAAGCTGCAACGCTATGCTGGGCAATGCCAACCCGTTCGCCAGCGACTGTCTCCGCCGCAGCCGCTCCTGCACTACCACATCGCGGAAAGAACTAAGAATGTAGACCAAGCGTACCGCCTGCTGGTCGCACTCTGCACAGTAGTTCATTATGCTGATGGCGTTCACCACGCACTTGTTTGTCATCTCGATCTTGTAAAGCCCGGCAAAGTCGCTCGCGAGGATGACAAGGGTAGCAGCAAAGAGAAAGTAGATGACGACCGGATTCCTTCGAGACAGGTGCCCAACTTCAAACGCGTTTTGCACTAACAGGGTTGTATGTATCGAAGAAATGACGCACGTCTCACCAAACTTTTCAATTCGGTCCAAAGGACGGCGAGGTCTTGTTCCGAATTGGCCACCATGGACTTGCGTTTCTTTGTTGAGAATGTACACCAGAAAGGGGCGGGTGAGTAGAATGACGGAATGGCAGTAGAAGAGATTGATGTGTAATATGGCCACACCCTGGCTGGGCGACGCATTCGGCGCTTGTCGCCATTGCAAGATAGGTGTGAGTGCGCGCGGCCATGTTTGACAAACATCCGAAATCTCCTGTGCGAGACGAGTGCTGATCTTGCGCTTTTGGTACACCTCTTTCAGAATGATGCCAATCTGTCTGCAACTTCGGACTGCGGCTTCCATTGCGGGCGGTCCCGTCTCATTGTAATCGTACACAGTCTTCGTGCTGTAAGCCCAGGTCTCCTCGTTGTATCGCTCAGGAGGATGCAGCGTGTCTCCAGAGCAATCATCTTCCGATATGGCCGTTGGCCGACCAAGAGAACAGGACAGCAACCGATCCATGATGAAGATAGACCGCCAAACATCTTTTCGCTCATTCTGCTCTTCGGTACTGAATATCACCATAGCTTCTTCTCTGTGTAGACCAAGCGCGAGTGCTGATCGCGCTGCCATGCCCAGTAAGGCAAAGGCTGTGTTCCGCTTAGACTTGGCCAGCATATGGAAAGACATGAGGAGCAGAGCTTGAACCGACCAGAAATCCTGGTCTTCTAGCCCTGCCATAGGATCATTCATCTCTTTTGCAGTCAAGTAGAAAGCTTCGGCTCTGTCGACATGTCCGGTACGAAGCTTATCGATGACAAGTGCCTCGTTGCTTCCGGAAAGCGGCGTGGCCATGGTAAGTCCAATTGCAAACACCAGATAGAGCAAACATAGCCATGATGGGCTTGCCGATAACGGATCCAAGTAGCATTGTGTCAGAATCTCGAGGAAACGATCGCGCTGGAAGACTTGTAACAGGCCATGAGTGTTGATGAAGAATGCATCCACTAATACGCGAGCAGTGGGCTCGTCCGGTAGAACATGGGAGCTTTTGTAGCTGCCTGGCAATGAATTCAGACCTTCAACAATCTTGTGACGTCGGGGGTCGGTCGTAAACGGCGACGGCCCAGCCACACTTTCGACTACCATGCGGACTAATTGGAGGAAAGATAGCGTAGCTGAATCGCCTATATAAAGCACGCGTCCTGTGGGGTCTTGCAACATTCTACTTTGGCTAGGAAATTCAGTCACATCGTCCGCAGCATCCTTTGTAGTGGCAATGGAGTGAGTGAGTCGGACGTTTTTGTTGCCATCGTTTGTTGGTGGTGAATGTACCGTATTGCTCACATGTGCAGTAACTGTTTCAGACACAGAAGACCGCAAGCTTGTATTTGGCTCCACACTCGTCACATGGTTCGGGGACTGCACGCTTTGGGTGGCAGAAGATGCTCGCGTATGCAGTGATGACTGCCGTGCTGGGCGGGGCCCCGCTGAATTCGATATTCGATCATGTTCCGTTCTGGGTGGGGGATGAGATTAGCAATGCTAGTTATATCAGCTAGTAGTAGGATTGAATACAAGCGTATAAACGTGTCTCAGACCTCTAGCTTATTGTTCGTTATGACGGATTGAAAAGGTATCTACCTACCCATCTATGGAGCCACTAATTGCACGTCTCTTTGCGGGTACTCTTTCTGTGCTAGGAGAATTGGGCTCTCGATCTCCGTATATACATATAAAGTGGCGCTGTTCAAAAGTCAACAAAGTGACGCGTGACTAGAGGGAGGAACTCGCCTTCTCGCACGTGTTGCAAGGATATAGGCCGTTGCACTTGAATTTGTTAGTTCAGGTAATCAAGTCGACAGAGGTATTTTTCTGTTGGTCTGACTGATGGCCGCATAGGGTAGGTAGTCAAGTTCCGACCCGCGGCGGCAGTCAATAAGGAACTTTTCGCCTGCGACCAGCTAACATGCTGACTGGATTCCCTCAAGGTCCGTCAATATAGTCCGATGAATGCTGAGAGGAGTTCACACAAGCTGCTAGCGCGGTCCCGTGAGATGACCGCCTGGGAGATATTCGTGTCTCACCGGGTCCGTGCCAAGACCATGTGCAACTAAGCGCACTTACTCTACTCGTGCAGTAGCTGGTGAAATGAGGTGACTCAAGTTACCTTTTGCTTTCTTCTCTTACAGCTTTCACACGCTTGAGCTGTGCGCTGCCGTTGATCTAGGGTTGCATCGAGTCAGTCGACAAGTCGTAGTAGAAGATGTCTAAGCAAAGACAAACCTGGTGGAACCCTTGGTCGCGTCATGACACATAGACCCGCAGTGTTCTATTATGCGGTCCCGATGCGAGGGTTCCGCAACCTGATCGGAAGATGCACTGGTGGCGTCGACGTGGAGCAATCTACCCGAGAAGTCGCGTTTCCTATCGTGGGTGGTTCGAAATTCGCCAACAATCTGATGCGCAGAAAAACGCTTACCGGCTAAGAGTTTCCTGTGGACAGATTGGAGTGGCGATCACATAGGGCCGGCATCTCGCGGTTGCTGGTTCAGCAGATCGGGTAATGCCCGCGGATCCCGAGGTATTGCGGAAGCCGCCCCTTCCACATCCTACCTGGGCAGCCCTGTAACTCCACTCTTCCGACTTTCTCTCAACCCCAGTGACCCATTGAAGTGTCCCACTTCGCGCTCAAGCCCGTAATGCAGAAATAGTAACCGATGCCTGTCACTAACGCAGGCAAAATGTTCATTCGACATGCCGCTAGCCCGTCTTGCAGCGGCTCTGCCATTATTACCACCCATCACCCCGTAGTATTTATTCCCGTAGGCTTGGATTTCTGCTCTTGTCCTTTGTCTCTACAGTTTCGTAAATCCGACATCCCTAGTCTTGCATCTTGATATGACACGCCTTCTAGGAGCTGAAGAAGAGGACAGCCCCGGAGCTAGGGAGGCGAACAACTTGCTAACAGGCACGAGAATAGCCCTGAAAAAACTACTCGCCAAGGCCAAGGACAATTTGCCCGAGGAATCACTTGCTCACATCGCAAATGTCAACTTCACAACTGCCAATACTGGGAGCCCCTACTTCCCCAGTCCTCTGAAACAGACCGAAGCCATTTCAGCTCTCAAAGCGGTGGAAGCAGGTGTTGCATCTGCAATTGCTGATCTTCAAGATGGCCAAAGATCACGCAATATTTCGGTGGATCTAGAAAGAGCAACAGCGTTCCTGTTCTCAACATATCTGGCCACCGTGGGAGGATTCGACAAGTCCAATCCAAAGGCCAAGACATTGCTGAAAGGTTAGAGCCATCTCAAGAGCAAGAACGGGTAATCTCGCTGACTGAGATAAAGATACCGACCTTCTTCAAGCACAATCTGTCCTGTACCGTAGGCTGTCTGCGAACCTCTACCAAACGAAAAACCCAGGAGAGTATTTTCATCTTCATGGCTCCCTAGAGGCTACAAAAGCACTCAACATGATTGGCCTAGAGGGGTCCAGACCAGACCTGACTGATTATCACGAATGTATTAGAGTCATCGAAGATCATGTGAAGCAATTCACTGCCGATGAGCTTGAAGAGATGAACGCAAAGATCAAGCAAGCAGGTGTGACCTGCCTGAAGTGGGAAGATTTCCAGGCTACGTTGCATGGCAAAATGCTCATCCAGCAACCGCCTTGGAAGGTAGAGGTCCTTGAGACCGAAACCCCAGCAACGCCTTTCCCTTCTCAATCATCATCTGCACCAAAACCACAGATCCTCGCTGGAATCCGTGTGCTTGAACTTTGCCGCATCATTGCGGGCCCAGCGATGGGCCGTGGTCTGGCTGAGTATGGTGCAGAGGTCCTCAAGGTGACATCGCCAAACCTTTCCGATGTACCTTTCTTCCAAGTCGATGCCAACATCGGCAAGCATACTACCGATTTAAATCTGAAAGAATCGAGAGATCGCGAGGTTTTTGAAGAACTGCTGCAGTCTGCAGACGTTGTCCTTGATGGCTATCGGCCCGGTAGCCTAGAACGCCTCGGATATGGACCTCAACAGCTTCTTGATATTGCAAGAAGACGCAACAGAGGCTTAGTATACGTCGCCGAAAACTGCTTCGGACATGCTGGACCATGGTCTTCCCGTCCAGGGTGGCAACAAATTGCAGACTGTGTGACTGGGGTAGCCTGGGCCCAGGGTGAAGCAATGGGGATGGACTCCCCAGAACCGGTTGTGCCACCCTTCCCGATGAGCGACTACGGCACTGGATGTATGGGTACCATCGCTGCGCTCGTTGGCCTACACAAGCGAGCAAAGCTGGGCGGAAGCTATCTAGGGACCACATCTCTGTGTCAATACGACATCTACCTGCTTCAATTGGGACTCTACAATGAGTCCATGATGGCGGAGCTGAGAGAGGAGCATGACGAGGCCTTCTTTGCATTACGACATCACGATTCAGTGGACGAAGTTGGCAAACGAGCACTAAAGACAATGAGAAGAACGCATCCGGAACTATTCGAGGATCGCCACATGCAGGAGTGTTTTAGCAGGGGGTTTAATGCGAAAGTTAGGACCATAAGGCCAGTAGTCAGCATTGATGGCTACTGGAATGGCTTTTTGCGCAGCTCACGACCTAACGGATTCGACAAACCTACTTGGAAGGACTGGGAGGTAGATGAGGATCTATTGAAAACATAACATAGCTACGTAGGTGCCGAAGAAAATGCTTCATTACCTTCATTACCCAACTTGCCTTCCCGATGAGTGGCTGTCCTAAACGGCAGCGTTTTCATCCACGCCGGCTCTCTTTCCTCCACCTCGTCGCACTTCGCCAACATCACCCCGTTTCACCTTGCAGCCCGTAGTATGCGTGATGTGTCCATAATCTAGAATGGTGGCCTGGCGTGACAACGGCTCGCTTGTTCTGTGTGTGTCAGACGGTCTAATTTCTTACATGATGGTGCAGCCTTCGATATCCCACAATACTGTGAAAACAGTACACTTGCTCAAAAAGCGAACGCAGCCTGCAAGATTCGCCGAATGTACAATTCCAGTCCATTGCTATCAGCACAAATGCCTAGCTTTGCGTACGAGTCTTGTACATTGTTCGGGTCAGCCCTGGCCTATGTTCGTCGACCAGCAGCGGACGAGGGCGCCGAGATTTGAGCGTGCCGTCGTAATCTGCTTGGAGACCCATGTGATAAATTTTTGCGATCACTCGCGATGCCCCGATGGAATGGTGCTGTTGCAAAGAGATCGGTTTCTTTTTTAGGCTGGCCATGCCAGAGCGACGGCCGGCGAGGCTCACAACCAACGATGCCGCCCAGTAGCAAAGCTATGTGTTCCAGACGCAAGCTTTTTCTTCCGGACACGCGTCTCTAAGAGCTGTTGGAAAGACCGAGGTGGTTTGCGCATGTTCTCATCTAAGTGACATAAATCACTCAACATGTGTAGGCACCTAGTAGGTGTGTCTAGTAGATGCCGCCTGTTTTGTAGGCAAGAGCCGTACTATCAGAATCTCAAACAGCGCCTACCAGATGCTCTGCTGCATGTTAGATTCCAAGTCGAATTTGATGTGTTTTGCGCACTTGGACAGTCGAAAAAGTGCTCTATAGGATGCAGGCAGACATTATAATCTCCAACAGCGCCTAAAGACGCGCCCACCTCGCCCTCACACGACGTGAGACCTAGTCGTCATCATAACCGTTTGAAACCGCTCATTGGATTGATTTGGTGGTTCTCTGGTCATAAAAAACATTTCTGACATGACACAAGCAGTTGTTTTCGAGCGAAATGCATCGCCAGTGAAGCTGCCTGGGAGTGCCAGCACCCATAAAAACAGCGCGAACAACTTTATTAGCATAGACAGCTGTATAGACTGTTTCTAGAAATCGAGGCTCAGCGTCAGCTTCCACGGAGGGTTCCCAGTCATTGATTGAAGCATAACAGTCGTCTAGAAAACGGGCGCGGCAGGCCCCATAAGTACGCATTGCGGTCACCCGGACCTTACGCCGAATAATCTTATTTCCTGACACTTGCATGATTATATGAATCAAATGCAAGCAACACGCAGAATCCTGGGCTGCATCCAAGAGTGGCTGTTTTTGGCTGCCCAGCGCGCACTCAGAGTCAGCATTGTGGCGATAACTCGCAGTGCCACTCCTCCAGTCTTTCTCAATCTTGACCTTTTGCCCCTAATTCTTTTATCTTCACGTTACGTGTCTCTAGCATGAATTCGTGCAGTGGATCGATGTTCAGTCAGTCCTTTTCTTCGCGGCCATTCAGTGGACCATCGTGTGAGCTACATGCAGCTCTACCTTGTAGATTGGTCTTCAGAGCACTCACCACATAGAGCATGACGTGATAGGTGATATATGTTATGCTTACTAGTTAGTAGCAGTCAAGATGAGGGCCTTGATGCCGGCAAGACATTGGCAGTTAGACGTTGTAAGGTACTCGGTAGGCTCCATAGCTATGCATACCCCTACTTGATATGCGTACTGTATGTTCTCCTCATCTACATCTGAGATTTCTGCACTCAATCTCGTTGCCCTCGGCTAATCCTGCAGTGCAAAGTGGCTGCCTTCGCTCAACAACCGCCCACTCACCACCAATCAGTTTCCAACCATCGCAGCAACTACACTCGGTGCAGGGGTCGGCCGACAAACGCCAGTAGGCAGTCACGTGTACGCTAGTGGTACCAAGGCTAGAGAGCATATATCAACTGCCCGCAACCACGCCAGCTGCAGCTTTAATACACAAATCACCAAGCTCCACATCACTTCAGCCTCGAAAATTTCTTCTCATCAATTTCCAACTATGATCTTTGGCTTTCATCGCTTCGATGTTCCAATACACATTCACACATTCACGCTCGGTACTTGGCATGATCGATAATCACATCGATACATCACCACATCACCACATCACACTACGTTCAACACTTTGACGTCGCTACGTCAACATTGAATCACATCAAGCCTTGCTTCACACTTCCACTTTGAGCAAGCGCCTACAACCACAACATCACCATGTCAATATCATTTCATGCCAAACGCCAGCTACTGTAGCCTAGAAGCTCCCAAGGTATGCTTCTTATCCTCATCTCTAGCTCGCTAACAGGCCTTCTGATTTGATCAAGAAAACACAAAAAGTAAGTTCTTTTCTCATCTCAATGATCTGCATTCACTGATATCTTGCAGAAAAACAAACAAAAAACCTCTTTCTCTATTCTCTCAATCAACACCCTTGGACGAGTCAACCAAGTCATCGCCTGAACCAGTCTGCGATCGCCTCAGACTGCTTCGACTCTCCCTACCGACCGCGGCGCACAACAATGACCAGATCGAGTGGCAGCGACAGGTGAGAGTCCCTAGAAGATGTGTTGTGCTTTTGGAGCCTTGACGGCGAGTAGCTGTGTCAGGAGGATAGAAGGTCAATGGCAGCTTGTTTGCTAAACTTGGCCTACAGCTACTCTGCAGCCTTGCGCTCTCCACTTCCATACCACTGGCGGCCTCGCTGGGGCTCAGGTCAAGGTGGTCACTGTTTGTGGTAGCATCCGGTGTGTAAGAGCTCTGGATGAGATCCTTTGCCGGTCGATGGATTGGCGCGCACTCGGCTGGTCAGGCTTGGAACTTGAATGGTGGTAGTAGTTTTGGAGCTTGGTGGTCATTTGGGAAGAGGTGGATGGTCTTGGTCTGAACAAGGGTCTTCATGGTGCTGGTGGTTGTTTAAGGAACTGTATGAGCGCCAGGCAATGTTTCTGGTTAGCTATCATCGCTCATGTGGTTGGTCTTGGTGGTCATCTGTCACATCTTTCTTGATGATATCTTCGTGGTGGTAGTTTTTCAAAGGTTGCTCAGTTGGTAGCCTTGACTCAATGCAGTTTTTGACCATACTTACAATCATCTGCTCTTTTGACTTGTTCCTTTTCCTTTTTTTTCATTTAGTGTTCCTTCTCCATTTAGCTTTCGTGTGCGGCCTTCCGCATATTTGTGTCCTGTCTAACCTGTAGACCTGTCTACTGCGATGACCGTCACATGTATGCTGCAATAGTAGAAAGAAGTCTACAAGTACTACTCTAAACAAGGTCTATATAGTTTGTCTCAAGATGAACATGTACATGGAAGCACCACCAGCTCCTTTCCAACTTCAAATACCTCACCTCTCTCATCCCCGCATCATGGCGCACCTCCCTTCATCACATCCACCATCCACTTCCCGATTTCCTCGCTTTCCTCCGCGCGAGCCGGATAATGATGACCCATGTCCCACTTCCTGACCTCACTCTTACCCTCTGCCACTTCAAAGAAGCCCTCAATCAACGCATCCCCCGCCCACTCATACTCATCCTGCGTACCCACCACATGAAACGTAGGCGTCGAGATCTTCTTCTCCAACAACTCCTTCTTTTCCGTCTCACTCAACCCCGCAGCCTTCTCCAACTTGGCGATTACATCCTGAGGGAACAGCGGCGGCGGGAAACTTCCACAAATCACCACTCCGAACTGGAAATCGCACCACGCTAGATCAGAAACGTCCTCGCCTTTTGCCGCAAGCGCAGCACGTAGTTCGGAGCCCTTGAGTAATCCAGCAAGGACTTTTGTGCCTTGCGAAAAGCCAATTAGACCTACGACTCTGCCACCAGATGCGTTGATGCGCTCGACGGTGCTGCGGACGAGGTCCTGGACTTGGGGTTCCATGGCAGATGACGCGGTTCCGTTCTTCATCTGGTTGATTGAGACGGGGGTTTTGAGCCAGCGCTTGAATGGGCCGCAGCCTTCGAAGAAGGGGAGGACGCCCGGGCCAGCTTGAGAGGGGAATGGTGCTGTTGAGGGGAGTTGTTAGTAGGAGGATGGAGGGGTGTGTTGAATTGGTTGTCCACAATGGCAATGACAGGATGAAGAAATTAGGAGAAAGAGATGATGGTATACCTTCCATGCTCTCAGTTTCGAAGTCGGGCTTGATAACTCTGTTCAATCGCGCCAATTGTACCGTGTGTACCGTAGCATTGCTTCCCGAGCCGTGGAAGGCGAGGAGCGTGGGGTTCACCCCTGTATTGTTGTTGTCTGTCGCCATGATTGAATCGCGATCAACGTTGGCGTCGATGTGGATGTTTGTGATCCTGCACAGTCCTGGATTTTTTCGGTATACAAAGAGTAGTTGTGGGTGTTGTCAAATCGATCGTGATAGCAGTAGATATGGTGCACCGAATGTCGGATAGTGGGGCTGGCAAACGCTCTTTCCTTCCGCAAACCCACACACTCCAATTGAATCCTAAACTAGCTCCTTCGGTCGTGCCTTGATCCTAAAGGCACGTGGACGTGTCGACGCAAATTCCTCTTTTCTTGAAGTTCCTCCTAGCAATGTCGTGTGAACAATGTATTATGTTCAACTCCCAGCTCTGTCTTTTTCTCCGGTCATCGGATAGTTAGTCGCAGACCGTAAAACTCCGCAAGTGCTACAGGGGTGCCCTCCTTGTCCAACAAAACAGAGTGCGTTTAGTCTTATCAAAAGGTACTTCCTCAACGAGATTGGTGTGTGGGAAATTGTTGAGTTACGTGGTAAGATGAACTTCTGACGGGTTTTGCTTATTTGCAGCCCCCAAGTGGTGTGAGTCAGACGGCACGCCCACTGGCTTTCCTGGGTCTCACAAAATACGACTACATATACACATTCGTTAATTCAAAAGGTCTTAGATACTAGGACCGCTGTATTTGTACCCCGTAAATCCCACATTTGCGCCTTGCATGTTCCGCTAGAAAGATGTCGCAGAGAGGACTAACCCGACAAACACTTGGAAGAGACTGTGCCCCTCCTCTAAGCCGCAAACTCAAAATTGAGCTGTTCCTGACCGGCCCAGGGTACCGGCCAACTCAATCGACCCTTTACTCCTCCTCGTACTCTTACTACTCTTGCCTGAGCTCCCACTGGCCCTCGAACTGGCCCTAGTACGACTCTCCTGGACTGATTTCAGGATCTTGATACCTTCCTCGGTCCTACCGAGACGGGAAACAAGCGCAGTGTTTTCTTGTTGCAATTCGCCAATCTGCCTCTTAAGCAGCCTGTTCTCTTGCTCCAAAATGTCCGCCTGCTGTTTGTACTCGTCGCGTTCTCGTTGTGCCTTTGTCAGCTGGTTCTTATCCGCCTCCTTTTGTTGACGCGCGAGCAGTTTTCGTGTCTCTTTGGCACGCCGCTCCTCCAGTTTGCGGATCTCCTTTTGGTACTTAGTCTCTTGTTTTCTCTTTTCCTTCTCGTGCTTCTCGGTCGCTTTCTGTATTTCCCTCTCGGTCTTTGAGCTCTCGTTCTGCAGATCGGTTTCATGCTTTTCTCGTGCTTGCTCCAGCTTCAATTTCAGTTGTTCCTTCTTCTCCTCAATTTTCTGAAGTCCCTTATGGTGTGGACTGTCTTCTGCCATTGGAAGGGATTGCTGTGACAAAGTTGACGGTGTCGGTATGGATGTATCAATTGGAAGGCTTTCACGGGTCGTAGTAAACTGTTCAGCAGAAGCAAACGACTCGTCTGATGAAGAGGAACTTGAGGAGCTAATGGATTGTGTGCGTTGTAATTGGAGTGAGGTGTCGGTCTCGCCCGTTCGATGAGACATGTGCCGCTGATGTGAGGGCATGTCCGCAATACTGGTCCCTACGCCGGCGGTTATGCCGTTGGACTCTACCATGGAAAGGTTACGTCCGTTGTCATGCGTACTTGTTGTCTCTGCCGCTTCGTCCTTTTCGGCGGTCACCGCAGCGTCGACGCTGTCGTCTCTAGCGCAGGCCCAGTTGAGAAACTTGACAGCATCCTGGACAATACTACTAGGTACGTTTCGCTCCACCATGAAGCGTGGTATACCTCCCCCAGGATCACTGCGCGTGATCATGATCCACTCCACGGGGTTGGTCTCCGGATCGCCGTCGTTCATTGGTATCTCCCGGATCATCTCGATCGACTCGTAATAGCCCCGGACCATGTTGGTTCGTGGAGGCGCATCAGGATGAGATACAGGTATTGATACGACCATGTGATGTCGCGGTATTGAATCGCCGATTTTGGATGCTTCAGTGAGGCAAGTATCGGAGGTGATGAGTAGCGTGATAAACTCTCGCGGGGAGGTTGGGCCAGGAAATTGGGCAGAAAGCTGGTATACTGTGTGGTCGTTAGCCATGACAGCTTCTTCTTGATTTGATGCCTCCCGTACCTTGCAATTGACCTATGCCCTTAACTGTTATGTCCTCCAGTCTCTGGTCTCCTCCAATACCTCTCACGTTGCCCTCGCCAGGACCACCCTGAACTTCTAGACTTTCGGGAAACTCTCGCTTCATAGCACGCTTCCACTTTTCGAAGCCGAGCCCTTCGTGTACGCTGGTCCGCGCGAACCAGGCTCCATGCCTATCCTTGCCAGCCATCTTGAAGACGCTCATTCCTGTAGCGGCGTCGCTGTTGCTCAACTTCACAGGCTTTCCCCATGACTTCCGTAGCGCTTCGTGCTCTGGTGCTGGTGGTGGCCGGCGCACGCGGGAAATGGTAAGATCTTTTGCACCGGTCGCGGGTTGTTGCTCGGCTCGCGTGCGCTGCGACGACTCGTAAGGCGTACCATTGGGGGCTTCAGGTACAGAATTTGCGATCAATTCTGCTTTGGATAGTATGTTGGGTAAAAATGATTCGAGGTTGTCGGTAGGGACATCGCTAAACTCCTTCGGTCTGAGGCATGCGAGCGCTTCGTGGAGTTCCGCCATGGTGGTTATGGGAATGTTTGGAAGTTTAGGAAGCTATGTTGAATCGAAAAGATAGCGACGTAATGCGCCACGAGGTACGGTATCTAGACCCTTTGTGGCAGTGAATGTTCCGACGTAGCCGTGGTGGAAACTAGCTGGGTCCGGTGACGGTCGATGAGATCACTGCATGGCAATGATTAAACCGGATGTCAGTGGACATGAAGCAGTAGATGTTGGCCAATAATGACTAGGTTATAGTACTGCGCAAAACTGCAAGCCTGTTCACGCACACTGCAAAGCTTCTCATGCCTATTGCAGGTACGTACTTAGTTACACGACAGGCATTGTTGACGCAACGTCATCCCTGCAGGAGCTCCCTGCTCTTTCGCGACGCGGGGTCGCCCGCCGCTCCACCGACGTACCCTGCAGTGCCTGCATATGGAGACTTGAAGCTGGCCCTACGTTACACTAGCATCTGTTTGGGGAGGCTTGCGATAGCCAAGTGCTTTTCAGAGTTAGGTATAAAGGAAGATTTTATTCTACGCAAAGATTCAAAAAATAACGAGGGGTATTTCGCTAGTCTAAAGTGTTCCCACCACATGCCGTGAAGCAATCGGTCCATTCTATGTGCACATGCGATGCACCTCATCCACCAGAAATTATACAAGCACGTATAGAGCGCACATCTATTAATAGTTAGCAATGGCCAGTCTCGGGCGAGGTGAGGGCACTTACCATGCTAAGTCCCAAGATCATGCTGCACCAGAACAGCACGTTGTTCAGCAGAGTGCGGCCCCTGACCCATTTGCTCCGTTGAAGCATGACGATTGGCATTTGAAGCATCATCGCGATGAACCCATAGCCTCTGAACTTTCTTGTTATGCAGCCCATGACGAGCTCGTGTGCCAGAGCAGATATGAGGAAGGTGATGGTGGTAGCAAGGGGACGCGACATGTGATTCTTCGAGGCCGAGTAGACGTGTCGTCGAAAGAAATGATGAACGGGGATATTCCACTCTCTCTGTGGGTCGCGGTTAGTACGAGTCCTGCGAAGTGATGACGTGTTTTCTTACTGAGAACTCAAGCCAGTCGCAGCTGTTCCACCAGTCGGCATAGAACTGGCGATCAGCAAAACCTATACAAATTATCAGCATTCCTGGCAATGCCAGACGTGATGGGTACGACTTACGCGTGATTTCTGCAAATGCACCCAAGATGTACTCGAATATGACCAGGAAGACAAGTAGGAAGGTGATCATGAAAGGGAATAACAGACGACCAATTGTCTCGCCCAATATCAATGCAAAGTCCGTGGCGCCGCTCGAGTTGTGAAGTCGCACTGCCGATACGTCCAGTACAGGAAGTATGAACTCCTCAGCAGTAATGATCATAAGGAAGATACAGCCGAATACAGCAAGCGTCTTGTAGAAGACCTCCAACCAGCGGATCTTGGTATTCCTGGGATATTCCAACTCATAACACAGCGTCGGGCAGAAGAGGAAGTCGACAAAGTTGTGCAAAGTGAGGTTGTTGGGATACGAAACATGGCCCAGGGGCGAAGCCAGCTCGAAAGCAAGATCCTCCCGCAGCTGCTTCAGGTATTCTGCATTCGCAGCCTTTGGCTCGGGCTCATCCTGGGTCGGAGACTGTGGTATTTCGTGCAAGTGAGTGCGCGAGCTTGGATATCGCACTGCTGCCGCTTTGCTAGCTCGGTCGGGGTTGTCAAGTTCGTTCAAACGTCGTAGGGTTTCGCTGAGATGGCCGTTGTAGAACCTTCACATGGTTAGCTACAGACTATGAGGTTAAGTGCCTTGCGAAAGCCTACGAGTATGAGTGCATTTTCATGAAGATTGCAAGCAAATGCAGAGTGAAGAAGACCTGAGCTGTCCAGCTCCAGTCGCGAATGAACGGGTATCTTCGTAATAGTCAGTCTAGAATACATTATATTTGCGGGAACAGCATACGTAGTCCAGAAAGCAAGCCAGATTGCCTGAAGTACACTTTGGATGACCATACCAGACGTATGCCATCGGATCGAGTCCTCGTTGAGAAACAACCTTTGAATGGGCAGACACAAAGCTGTGCTACACGCCATGGCAAAGTCAACCACGCCAAGTTCAAAGATCTTCTCCTTGAACAACGCCCACTGCCTAATTTGCAAAGGATATCCGGTCTCGGTCAGGTTTCGTAGCATCGACGTAATGACCATGATGGCGAGTCCGATCCAGAACAAGACGAAGAAGCCGCGGAAGTCATGATAGTCGCTTTCTGGATCAAAGTGGGAGACGCGACCTACGTAGTCGATAGTAGGGAATATGCGCTGTTTCTGCTGAGCGCGTATCTGTCGTCGCGCGAGCGAGGAGGCATGGACACTAGGCGGGGCATCGGGGGGTATTGGCGTTGTTCTTCCACTACGAAGAGTTAATTCAGCGTCGACAGCAAAGATTCGGTCCAAGTACCTCGATACACCAGATCCAGGCTCTCGCAGCGAGCCATCCTTGTTGAAGGCTTCGTCGCTAAGTTGGGGCTTGAGCAGGTCGATGCGCGTGGGTTTGCGCGGTCGCGGCGCGTGGTACTCGGGATCCCCGTTATGGGGATTTGTGTCAACGGACGTAGACTCTGCCATCATGAGAAAAGACACATGCGCATGTTGCGGGCGCAAATAGTGGGAAGGGGGGCTTAAACGTGGGCAGCCCAGACTATGATCAGCAAACTAACAGGGTCAGAGAGTCTTGGTCAGATGCGGCAAAGAGGATGAGACGTGGCCTCCCGATAGCCGTGGCGCATAAATCAAGGAATGAATAGTGGCATAAGTGCCTAGATGTATGTGAAGCAATGCATCACATGCAATTACTGCGGCCGTGGCGCTCTGATACCTGGTGTACGTGGGACGGACCGTCAAAGGGTCGGTTACATCAGCGGTCCCGCGAGTCAGGCAAGCATCCCCAAAGGAGTCGCTGGGATAATCCACGGCCGCCTAAAGTATCCATGGGAGCGGATAAGTGGTCGTCGTCTGGCATGTTGATTTTACAGAAACCGGCTACATTGCTTGACGGAGAGCAAGTATCCAAGAAACGGGGCCTAGGTAGAGGAGTGAAGCCATCTCAAGGCGCAATCGTGGTCGGGGGCAGCTGCGACCGACGTCTGGAACAAATAACGGCCCGGCCAGCTGTAAGCCATAGCCAAACGTTGTCGACTATCAACACCTGCAGCAAGAGCCAATTCGCAAACACACCCGTGACCGATTGAAATCTCCGATTGACGGACGACACCTTTCACCCTTGCCACCCTGTTCGTGCGCTCTTCCATCGACCTCTTACGCAGTGCTCGGGTGGGGTCCAAGAGGCCACCACAATGGCTTCCTGTACGCCAAGCACCACGACCCCCCGCAGCTATGGACATGTGCTAAGGACATACAGTGAAGCAGTTCATTCGGAATGTGCGCGCTGCCAAAACCATCGCCGACGAGCGTGCCGTCGTGCAGAAAGAGAGTGCGGCTATCCGCGCCAGCTTCAGGGAGGAAAGCCACGATTCAAACGTGCGGAGGAACAATGTCGCAAAGCTACTCTATCTCTTCACGCTGGGTGAGAGGACGCACTTTGGTCAGATTGAATGCCTGAAGCTATTGGCCTCTCCACGTTTTGCGGACAAGCGGTTAGGATACCTGGGGACAATGCTGTTACTCGACGAGAACCAGGAAGTCTTGACTCTGGTGACCAATTCACTAAAGAAGTGAGACCCCGTCACAACTTTCGCTGTCATGGGAGGGCTAACGGAAATACAGCGATCTCAATCATGCCAACCAATACATTGTCGGCCTCGCCCTCTGCACCCTCGGAAACATTGCATCCGTGGAGATGGCGCGAGATCTGTTCCCGGAGGTCGAAACCATCATCTCGAGCGCCAACCCATACATTCGCCGCAAAGCCGCAATCTGCGCCATGAGGATATGTCGGAAAGTGCCCGATCTGCAGGAGCATTTCCTAGAGAAGGCCAAGTTGTTGTTGCAAGATCGCAACCACGGCGTCTTATTGTGTGGCGTCACCCTGGTAGAGAACCTGTGCGAGGCAGACGAAGCAGAGGATGACGAGAATGGCGTAAGGGACATCTTCAGGCCTCTCGTACCCAGCTTGGTCAAGATACTCAAGGGCCTCTCTTCATCTGGCTATGCTCCTGAGCACGACGTGACAGGTATCACGGATCCATTCCTGCAGTGCAAGTTGTTGCAGCTCCTACGAGTTCTGGCGCGCGGCGACGCTCAGGTCAGCGAACAAATCAACGACATCCTGGCCCAGGTTGCTACCAACACCGATTCCTCGAAAAATGTCGGCAACTCCATCTTGTACGAATCGGTCCTTACCATCCTTGACATCGAAGCCGATTCCGGACTGCGCGTACTCGGCGTAAACATCTTGGGAAAGTTCCTGTCAAACCGGGACAACAACATCAGATATGTCGCTCTTAACACCCTGATCAAGGTTGTTGCGGTCGAACCAAATGCCGTACAGCGACATCGGAACACTATTCTGGACTGCTTACGGGACCCTGACATCAGTATCCGGAGAAGAGCGCTCGATCTCAGTTTCACTCTGATCAACGAGAGCAACGTACGAGTGCTCATACGGGAGTTGCTAGCTTTCTTGGAGGTGGCTGACAACGAGTTCAAACCGGTGATGACCTCCCAAATTGGTGTTGCTGCTGACCGTTTCGCTCCAAACAAGAGGTGGCACGTGGACACCATGCTACGCGTCTTGAAACTTGTGAGTCCATCACAGCACACACCGCATACGTCTTACTGACACGTGACAAAGGCTGGTAACTACGTGAAAGAGCAAATACTCTCGTCCTTTGTCCGACTGATCGCTACCACACCCGACCTCCAGACCTACTCTGTACAGAAGCTTTACGCTGCTCTGAAGGAAGATATCACACAAGAAGGACTCACCTTGGCTGGTTCTTGGGTGATTGGAGAGTACGGAGACGCTCTACTAAGAGGTGGCCAATATGAAGAGGAGGAGCTTGTCAAAGAAATCAAGGAGAGCGACGTCGTCGATCTATTTGAGACTATCCTTGGCAGCAGCTATGCCGGCCTGATCGTCCAGCAATACATTGTCACGGCCTCGATGAAGTTGACCACACGATTGAGCGATCCTGCTCAGATCGAGCGCTTACGGCGATTGCTGCAACGATATGCTGCAAACCTGGACGTGGAGATTCAGCAACGTGCGGCCGAGTATGGAAACTTGTTCGGCCATGACCAAATCAGGAGAGGTGTTCTTGAGAAGATGCCACCACCAGAGATTCGCGAGGAGTCCCGCGTACTGGGTGAAGCGACCAAGAAGCGGCAATCGAAGATCGCGAAGAAGAAGCCCGCGCAGGCTGCAACCGAGGACTTGCTACTGGACCTCATGGGCGACTCTGGTCCATCTGCCGGTGTGAATGGCGCTGCCAACGGAACTCAGCAAAGTCAGGATCTCCTCGCAGACATCATGGGTGGAGCATCGTCACCACCCCAGACAACGTCTCCAGCACCACAGTCAAACGTCGCAAACATCATGGACCTCTTCAATTCCGGCCCTAGCAGCTCCCCCGCCCCAGCACAGTCTGCCGCACCGCCACAAGCAGGCTCTATGGACCTTCTTGGTGGACTCGGTGGTATGTCATCGCCGCCGCCACAGACTTCGACTCCTCCTGTGGCATCTGGTCCACCTGCACATCCGGTATATAACAAGAATGACCTCCAGATCGCCTTCCAGCTTAAGCGCGACGCCAATGCAGTGCAGCTTCTTGCTCGATTCCGGAATACAGGAAGCTTCGGTCAGCTCTCAGGTGTCAACCTACAGGCTGCTGTGCCGAAGAGCCAAAAACTGCAGCTTCAACCTATCAGCACGAGTGAGCTGGAGGGAGGACAGGACGCGACCCAGCAAATGAGGGTCACAGCCGTCAATGGTGTAAGTATTTCAGGATCTACCCTTGGAATCATCGCAAGCTAACAAAGACCTAGCCGCCGCCACCAAGACTAAAGCTTCGACTAAAGATCAGTTATTCAAGCGGTGCGGGTCCAGTAACAGAGCAGGTCGATTGGGCAGAGCCGACATGATCTTATGGCCATGTTTTGCAGTAGTGTCTTTAAGTAGCGAGCAGCATAGAGCGAATGACATACCCCGGCGATCATGACGTGCATACACCAGAAGGTCCAGCGCAACTTTTAGCCTCACAGCGTCTGACGACGAAAGTACTCGATAGCTAATTTCGCAACCCGTCCAACGTATCACATAGCTTGTGGAAATAAGACATGTGAAAGGCTCATCCTTGTCCATCTTCCGGCAGAGCAACATACTGGACGATCACAACAACGGAGGTGGGAACAAGCTGCTGCAGGATCGGAGCATGATGCGCCCGATGCGCTTGCGCTAGATCAACCCCCCATCCCCGGGACCCCCGCATTTTATTAGGGAGGCGCCGCATTTAGTAGCTCAGTCTTACATATCGTACCATGGTCCACAACAACAGCAACAACGTTGAGTGTTGGGTACCTTGTCCACTTACGCGTAAGGTTACAATATTCGCGTTGCTTACGATCAGTACTGCTCGTCCAGGAAGCTCGCCGACGATGCTAATCTCGAGAGTGAGAACTCTGGTGATCTACATTTCTAGCATACACAAGCGCTGTGTCAATACCTAGGCCATGCAGGACCCGTCACGCTGCGGTGATGGCTGTCATGCGCTACCAACACATGCATTATACGTTGAACCACTATGACTTCTTATTATGTAGTATCGCGCAAATCAAGGTTACGACGGATGGCTGCGGGACCATCACCTTCCTTTTTCGGCGCACGAGAAGGAGGCGACATGGGGGTTTATCGAACTTTCCATTTCATGGTTGCCCCTGGGGGGCCGGGTGATGGACTTGACTGGGATCATTTGAGTTCAGACGTTAGTAACACCCCAGTATTATCCATCGACTTCTTTACTTATATTCAAGGTCAGCCATTTGCATTCAGTTGTAGGCTGTACTAGTTAATCTTACCACAATGGCGCCCTTGGCTACATTTTTATACGGCACCGCTCTGTGCTGTTCGATAGCATTAGCTCTCCCGTCGCATGCAGTGCAGGACCTATCGAGAGGAGACAACCAGGAGCCGATAACAACCCCAGAGGAGAGGGCACAAGGTGTTGTGGATGCGTTCAGGGTTAGCTGGGATGGATACTACAAGTATGCATTTCCAATGGATGAACTGCTGCCTGTGAGCAACAATGGAAGTAATTCGAGGTATGTACAACGTCTTGTCAGGATGTTGTCCATGACAGTCTTCTCAAGCTCCCATCATCATGCTGACACCGGATCAGGAACGGATGGGGCGCCTCTGCTGTCGACGCTCTCAGTACAGCACTCATCATGGGCGAGAAAACGACGGTGAACCAGATCCTCGAGCACATCCCTACCATCAACTGGGCTGTCACCAATGATTCTGTGTCCCTATTCGAGACCACAATCCGTTACCTCGGCGGCATGCTTTCTGGCTATGACCTCCTCAAAGGCCCTCTCGCCCATCTCGCAGACGATGACGCCAATGTGGACGCACTTTTAACTCAGTCCATCAATCTAGCGAACAACCTATCTTTCGCCTTTGAAACACCGACAGGCATACCGTGGAATGTCCTCTACTTCAACAACCGAAGTAATGACGGGGATCTCGGCGGCCCTGCAACCCTCGGTACGCTGATTCTGGAATGGACACGTCTTGCTGATCTCTCTGGGAACCAAACGTACGCGGATCTTGCGGAGAAGGCGGAGAATTACCTACTGCATCCTTCACCTGCATGGGCTGAGCCCTTCCCAGGGCTGATAGGATCCGCCATCAACGTGACAACGGGACAATTTACCAACGCACGGGGAGGCTGGGTCGGCGGCTCAGACTCCTTCTACGAGTACTTGATCAAGATGTACATCTACGACAAGTCGCGATACAACTCCCTTAAAGACCGCTGGGTCCTGGCTGTAGACAGCAGCATCGAGCACCTAGCTTCACATCCCGAGCCACGCCCCGATATTACCTTCCTAGCGGCCTACAACGGAACCAAGCTGCGTCTTATATCCCAACACCTCGCTTGCTTCGACGGCGGAAACTTTATCCTAGGCGGCCAAGTGCTCGACCGCCAGGACTACATCGACTTTGGTCTCGAACTCGTAAACGGATGCCACGAAACTTACATCTCGACTGCCACTGGCATCGGCCCTGAGATATTTTCTTGGAACACGTCGGCGGTCCCCGCCAACCAAACTACTTTTTTCAACGAATCGGGCTTTTTTATCACATCTGCGGACTACGTGCTTCGTCCCGAAGTCATTGAAAGCTTCTACTATGCGTACCGCGCGACTTCAGACCCAAAATACCAAGATTGGGCGTGGGACGCGTTTCTGGCAATCAACGCCACGACCAGGGTGGGCAGTGGATATAGTGCTATCTCTGATGTCAACGTTGTGGGTGGTGGCGAGTTTACCAATTTCCAGGAGAGCTTCTGGTTTGCAGAGGTCCTCAAGTACAGCTACATGATTCATGCGGGGGATGCCGAGTGGCAGGTGGGCAAGAATGGGGTTAATGAGTTTGTGTTCAATACGGAGGCGCATCCTGTGAAGGTGTTGGGTGAGGGAAGCAAGTAGGTTGAGAGTTGGCGCGACATATTCCTATAGCATTGATGTAAATTAATGACACTTGTATTACGCCACACGCAGATGTGAAGAACGCGCATGATGATAACTGTATTGGCGATTGGTCGCCGGGTATATATAACACGCACGCACAGCGTATGTCTGCGAGCAAGACAGCGTGGCCTTATTCGAAGAACCCGCCGTCGCTCTCCTCTGCCTCCTCTTGAGCCTGAGCGCCAAGAGCCCTCCTCTCACGTCGGTTCTTTGCCTGTGCCAACTTCTCCTCTGCCTTTGTGTTCTTGCTCTTGACAGCGTGCTCTTTCTTCTTCTCCTGCTTCTTAGGTACAGGTGCCGGTGCGGTCGGCATAGCCTCCTTGCTGTTCCTCAGTGCATCCAATGTACCGTTCGCCATTGCCTCTTCAACAGTCCTCCACATCTCCACATCACCCTTTGGTCCACCAACCTCGCGGTTCGACTTGTCCTCTATATCCTCGTCCTCGGGCTCTTCAGATGACTTCTCCTTTTTCGATTTCGGGTAAAGAGAGGCGTAATTTTTCAGTAAAGGGTAGTATATCGCGTAGTTGACGTCGACCTCTGCATTATGGATTCTCCGTGCTAGATCCTGCTTCTTCGACTCGTTCTCCTCTGTCTGTAGCTCCTTCTTCAGCTTCTTTAGTATGCGGGTGCCTTTTTGGCGATCTGGGGCGCATTAGTGGTTATCCAATTTGTCGTGTGCGCATCGTGCGCAGGCTCAGACATACCAAAGAAGCGCACGTGATGATATTTTCCAATCATTTTGTTCCTATACGCTGCTTCCCGACTACTTTCAATCTTCTCCTTCAGCTCATGCTGGATTGCCTCTAGCTCCCTTTCCCTCTCTACTCGGTTGCTCGCCGACATCTTGTGGTCCCCAACATTGTCAACATGGGCGAGCAATCGCTTCAGATCTCGTATTCGGCTCTTGAGGGCATTGGTACTGGTGCGCTTGTCTATCTCGCTGGAGACGTGAGGTCGCTTTTTGAACTTCTGATTGCTTTGGCCAGGCTTGAAGGCGCGGTGCTTTTTGAAGGGCTTTCCAGCGGAGGAAGAGGCTTCAGAGGTTTCTGTATGCTTGCGCTTTTGTGACATGGTGGCTGGCTGCTGGATGTGTGTCTTGTAGGCTGCAGGAAAGTTTTGGGATGAATGGAAGGGAAGTTTTAGTGGGGCGGCAGAATTAAGGTTGACTGACCGCCTTATGCGCGCCAAGTCATGTCACGCGTTGGCCGTTCACCCATGGCTCATTTGGCTCCGCTAGCTCCGTATTGCCCATGGCGCAGCAAGACGTCTTGATGATCGCTAGCTCCAGCTATCCTCGGACCATTTCCAATTGACCCATGCGATCTTCTACTTCCTTCCGCGACTCTGACAAGCCATTGTCGCGAACGCGCGATCGTTGACCAGTAAGATGGAAGCAGCAATAAGATGGTCGCCGCATTCGACACGAGGCGATCCACGCTTTTTGATCATTGACGTGGCCGGCAATCGGCTGCGCCTATGTCAAATTGATGAGTTCAGTAAGAGCAAGGTGAAGTACAAACAGATATGTATTCGGGATAAACTGCCAAACTACACGGCTTTTGACTGGTCCAAGAGAGATCCCTGTGTAGTCGCCGTAGGGTCTGCCTCGGGGGAGGCCACAATTGTTACGCTTGACCCTGAAAAGCCCGAGTATGACTATATTCACTCCTTCTCTATTCGGCATCAGAGAAAATGCAACTCTATTGCTTTCAGTGCGAAGAATCTCCTGGCCACGGGCCTGGATAGAGTACGCAACGATGTGTGCCTCAACATCTACGACATGAACGACTCGAGGGTCACAGCCAAGGACGAGCCGTACAAGAAACTGGCAAGCTCAGAGGCGATTTCCAGTATCAAGTTCTTTAATGGTCAACCGGATACGCTTGTTGCGGGTGTCTCGAGGCAATACGTGCGCATCTACGATCTGAGAGGTTGGTTTACTCCAGCAATAGCAAATACCACCTTGGCTCATACATTGTAGATTCTAGCACAGCGGGAATTGCGCAGTTCCAGACTCGTCAGGTGCATAATATCGCTATCGATCCCATGGACGAGAACTACTTTCTCTCCGCTGGGACGGCAGGTGATCCTACTGTCACCGTCTGGGATACGCGCTTCGTCAAGCAACAGGGAGCGTCTACCGGCACTGCTAATAGCGGCGCTGTATTGGAATTCAAGCCTGTGGCGGACAATTCACAATCAGCATCCATCTGGAGTCTCCGCTATTCTGGTACCAAGAGAGGGACTTTTGGTGTGTTGGCCAACACGGGCGAATTCAAGATTGTGGAACTGGCTCAGCACTCGCATCAGCCGCTGGAGACTGCAGATACGCCTTTTGCCCGTGCATGGGCATCTCCTTATTACACCAAAGCATCACATCATCTGCGGTATCCGTCACATCACAAGGAGCACCGACATAGCGAGAAAGAGCGTGTTGTGGCGTATGATTTTATGACGGCAGGGAACCCACTCAGCGGACAGTGTGCTTTGGCACTTCATTCGAACCGTGAGGTGGAAGTGCTCAAGGTACCAGCCACGCCCCCGCGTCTCAATGTGAGTGCGCTAGAAGAAATCTACAAAGACCGTACTTGCATTGCCAGGCCGACACCGCCACACGGCACAATAGCAGAAGACTTGATTGAGCTGCAAAACAAGGCGCTGTTAGAGAAGTTTGAACTGGAGCAAGACGCCACAAACAACCTCTCCGCCAGCATCGATAGACTGAGTCTCGTTGCCAGCCAACAGAGTCTTCCTCTCCTATCAGCAACACACCCAAGTCACCACATGCACGAAGACCTGCTCAACCTAGCCTACCCAGATGTCAAGATCCCACTTTCCGACTACCTTGCTGTTGTTCAAGCACCCAAACGTCGCGTACAGGAGGGCTACGCACTCGACTGTGCAAGGAACAAAACCATTGTATCAAACGACCCCTGGCTGGTCGACGTTTGGACACTGATCGACCGAATGGACGCGCTTGCTGCAGGTGACGGCATGGTAGGCAACGGTCTTGATCTCAAATATCTGGGCGTGAGCTCCATCTGGGCCAACGAACTTACCATGTATGATGAGCGCCTCATTGATCCCAACGCAAAGACCAGCCAAGACATGTTCAGCGACGCAGTCAAGGATATTGTCAACGCCATGGAGTTTCCAGCCTTTGAAGGCGTAGCAACAGAGTACCCGCAAAACAGGCAACTATGCCTCAGTCTATGCGGCTGGTCGCTCGATAAAGCAGGCGTGCAGCAAAGCTGCGAAAAGCTCGTGGACAATGGTGAAATCTACAAGGCCATTGTCCTAGCCGTCTTTCAGGGCCACAAAGATATCGCTCTGTCTCTCCTCCGCTCCACACTGCATGCCAAAAAACTACCTCAAGACGACATTTCCCTCGGCGCCGTAATCGCCTGCGCATCACCCACCTCTGGCGTCTCAGCCGCCCAGCGCGAAGCATGCGCCTGGATGGCAGACCTAACGTCCGATGCCTACCTAAAGTCACTACTCACCTACTTCATCACCGGCGACTGGACCAGCGTAGTAAGCATGCCTCAACTCTCACTCCACGACCGTGTTGCCGTTGCCCTAAAATACCTCCCTGATGCGTCCCTTACTACCTTCCTCGCCCAAACAACAGCCTCTACAATCCACACAGGCGACATCTCGGGGCTCCTCCTCACCGGCCTAACATCGCGTTTTCTTGACCTCCTCACAGTACACATATCACGGCACCCCATCGCCGGTCTGCAAACCGCCGTGCTAACCCTCTCCCGCGCCTGCCCACTCTACATCCAAGATACGCGCTGGCCCCTTTGGAAAGACATGTATCTGGAACTACTCCAGCAATTCCGCTGTTTCCTCGAGCGCACCCGCTACACCAAACAGCACAATCTGCTCAGCGTGACGCGAACGGGCAAATCGGCAAACAAGCCGTTTCAACCCTCGCTCACCATTCGCTGCCTCAATTGCCAGCATAACCTCGCGCTGAGGAAGGATCCGAGGAGTAGCGCGAAGATGCGCTTGTTGCCGGTTAATAATGCGAGTGTGGAGTCGGCTTCGCATCGGGGGGCTGGCGGCGGCGGTGGTCCCGGTGGTGGCCAGCAAGGTAAAGCGCATCATTCATCGGGAGGAGGCGGTCTGGCGTGTCCGAATTGCGGGGCGCAGATGCCACGGTGTGCGCTGTGTATGTTGTGGCTGGGATCCCCGGATCCGGCGCGCCAGGGCGCATATGAGCAGTTGAAAGATGAGGATCGGGAGAGTAGGCTCATGGTGTTTTGTATGACGTGTACGCATGGGTTTCATGGGCATCATGCAAAGGATTGGTTTGCGAGACATGCCATGTGTCCAGTGCCGGATTGTGGATGCATGTGTGGGCTGATGAGGTAATTCGGGTTGGGGGAAGTGCATGTAGGCACATTGGGGCATGGGATGTCACTAATGAAAGATGGCATATGGATGATATGAGAGATAACCAATCTGTATTGAGTGGCAATGCGGCATTGATGCATATTTGCCCACCGTTTACGTCCATCCTATAACCCCCTCTATCCCGCCTGAACAAAACTCCTAGGAAACACATAAAGGGTATAATCGTCGCAGTACAGCGTCTCTCCAAGGCCTGCCATTACCATACTCTCCTTTTAGCCTGAAAAGGGGAGAGAACATGCTTCAGGCGCTAACAATGCGGGAGATAGCTTACAGCGCCAGCCCAAACTCCATGTACATGCAGGTGAAACGATTGAGAAGACCAAAGCTTCCAGCAAAAAACGCTCAAATACTAAGACAACAACTGTAGCTGTCGCTACAGCCTAACGCCACCAACTGGCAGACGCGGCACAGAGACTCTTTAATCTTGACCTAACATCTCGCTGTCGTTGCCGAATTCGTCTTCCTCATCAATGGCCATGATGTTCGCCTGTGCCGTGACCACCACCATGTTGTCGCCGTCTTCATCGTCGTGATACATCGTGCCGTCATTGAACGCGTCCGTGTCGCGGTCGACATCGTCGCCACCGCTGGAGTTCATGAAGTTGCGTAGGCGCTGGACACCCATGCCGCTAAAAACACAGAATACGTCGCGCTGATGTTCGTTGAATTCGGGCGGTGCCTCGCGGCAGAAAGCAAGTAGTTCGTCACGGAGGAAAGCTTGAACACCTGTAAGAGAGAGATGTGTCAAGCGTGGGCAGTTGTTTAGAAGTGCGTGGATGCCCTGTTCTTGTTAGCGGAGAAGTTAGTGTAGGCGGTGTGTACTTACGGCCAAGGAAAGGTTGGTACAGTAGCTAAGATGCACACGCTCGAGTACACTGGGTGCAATGGGTCCGGAGGAGCCGATCTGTTTCGGCTTGGCAAGTGCAAGTATGCTGCGGTCGGTGATGGCCGCACATTTGACCAGACCAATGCGCTTGAGTTTTGGCAGCGCCGCTAGTTGCATGACGGAAGCGTCGGTGAGAGCGGTGCAGCAGGCAAGATCGATGTAGCGTATGCGATTGCACAGCTTGACCAGCTGGGCCACACCGACATCTGTGATGCGGGAGCAGTGTCCGAGGTGAATGTAGTGGAGGTTCTTGCCCAGACGTGTTATGGCCATGACAGCTCGGTCGGTAATGTTGCGGCACTTGGCAAGGACCAAGTTGCGGAGCCTAGGGGCAGCGTAGACTATCTTTTGTACTCCGGAGTCTTGTAATTCGCCGCAGTCGGTAAGATCGAGGATGCGCAGGCAGTCGTAGGTGGCCTCTGCGGGCAGGCGCAGGAATGCTTGGTCGGTGATCTTCCAGCAGTGGGCCAGGCGTAGCTCGCGGAGGTTGGGGCCTTCTGTGATGAGGGTGGTGATGGACGCGTCGTCGAGGTTCTTGCAGTCGTGCAGGTCGATTTCGAGAATGTAGCGGCAGTTTCTCGCAAATGCAATGATACTCCTATCACTGAGTTGCGAACATCCATTCAGCTTGAGACGCTTCAGATGTCTACAGTTCTGGGCAACCGCCTCAAGCGACTCGTCCGTGATCTTCTTGCAGTTTGTGATGTTGAGACCCTGCAGACGCACTGCGTGCTGGGCGAGTGCGTACATGGTTTTGTCGGTGATGGATTCGACGTTGGAGACGTCCAGGGCGAGTATGTATCGGTTTCCCTCCAGCATGGCCTCCAGACTCAGATCCGTCAGCTTGGTGCAGTTTGTAAGAGTCAAACGCTCAACACGCTTGCAGCTTGAGAGCGGCTTCAGGGTGCCATCGCTGACCTCACTGCCCAGGGCGGACAGATTCAGGCGTTTGATCAGGCTGCTGTAGTCGAAGAAGCTATTTACAGTCTGAACGGTGTGGATGACGCTCTTGACGTTTGACCACTTGTTTGTTGATGGTCTATGCCATAGCAGGCCCACGCTGTTCCCGGCCCACGTCTTGGACACCAACATGCAGTTCTTGAGGTCGGCGGGGGACGAGAGTTTTGCGAAGACGGCAATCATGAGTTCGGCTGGCAGGCGCGAGATGGGCGAGACACGGTTCTGCTCTTCGATGGCGCGGCGGCGGGCATCATCATCCGAGTCGGGCGACACTGAGGGCGCCAGCGATGAGAGGGAGTCGTTGGACTGCAGCATAATCGAGTCCTTGTCGTCGTCGAAGCCGCGCTCGGGCGACGTCGAGGCGGAAGAATCGGAGCGTGAGTCGCTGGCATCCCGGTCAGGTCGTCGTGAGCGCGCAATGTTGCCTTGTCGAACGCGTGCGAGTTTGGCGTGTTCAACCATGGCAGCGGTTGTAGTGGAAATCGCGGTGTCAAGTAGAGGGTGGGGGGGCAGTAGTTGTGGGCGGGCGTGGTTATGTATGTCTAGGGCAGGCTGCACGTCGACGTGATGTATGGCGGGCGTTGACTATGTATGAGCAACAGTCACAGTGCGGATGTTGGCAGTGAATGGTAGCCGAAACACGTCGCTTGGCTATAAGTTATAGGAAAGAGGCGGGCGACAACACACGACAGCTCACAGTCACAGAAGGGAAAGAGGAAAGGCTCCCATCCGTCTGGGCAGTGACGAAGTGGGTCGCTGTCCATGGTCGCATCCCGCCTAGGTTCTTCCCTGCGCCTCCCCTCTTTCTAGACAGCCCAAACACGCCGTCTGCCCTTGTCCATCCGCTTTCACGGTCTTTTGCATGGCCTTTACCTGACTGCACGACCTGTCGGAACCACGGCAACCTTCACCCCCGACCTCTCCCTTCTGCCATACAACTGCTGGTCTTAGCCGCGCCCGTTTTCTGACTCTGGGCATCAGAACCTATCAACACGACATGTACAGGTTACCTGCTACCCCGCAAGCAAGGCTCGCTCTTGGCATGGCATGCTGTTGATCTCATATGTAGCGACGGGTGGTAATAGTGACTCTTTGACCCCTCATGAAGCAAAGGCCAATTCACAATGCTATGTACTTGGGTCGTCTGCATGTCCAGATCGGCAGGGCAGTGCTCTTGTACCCATCTGACGACACGCAGACGCCATTTCCCAACCGCTTGGTTGTGTCAAGCAGTGGGTTAGAAAAAAGCAACACACACGCAGGGGCTGGTGCTACTTGGACCATGATAAGCTTGTCCTCGTCATACGTGCCTTTGTCGACATTTCAGGTCAGGCTTGGTCGAGCAGTGCTGGGGGTGCTAACAGCCTATGGACCGTTGCTAACACATCTGTTCTGGCACGATCCCGTGACAGAGATAGCAGTTCGGCTCCCTAGTCGGGCGAGTGCCCCTGGTGACATTATCAGACAGGCGGATAAGTTTCAAACAACATGGGCGACCAGCTTCTAGAAGGCGTCAGAGTAGGGCATTGATGCAGTCGGCATCATCCTGTCTCGAGCCCAGACTGGCCAATGAGGAGGTGAGGAGTGAAGGCACGGCACTTTACCGAATCAAGTGCGACAGCTTGGCGCCCTATGAGCTTGGGCACTGTTGCTTTGGCCGAGTGCGTATGGGTAAGCTAGAGTGGGTGTAGGTGTGTGTAGAGGGTGTGTAAGAAGCAGAGGATGCCCCGAATACAACGTGGACGTCCTCAATGTGCTGTCGTGACCCATAATGTCAATAGGCCCCATGGTGACGATGCAAAGTGTGGCTCGCCCATGCGGCCCCAGTAGCAGGGGTCCGTCAACTATACGATCACAAGCATCTCCACGCATGCCACCTTCACTCTCCCCCGACAGTTCCCTCTCCCTTCTCGCGCCAAGGATCCCGTTCTGCCTGCTCTTCTCCTTCTCGATGCGCAAGATATAGACTCTCTATCGTCCTGCACCGCAGCAGGCTTCCTCACCGCCCATCATGTCGTCCGCTCGCTATGCGCCCTCGGCCGCCCATTCCATGGCCCAACAGGCCGCATACCGCGCTCCAGGGCCCATCGCCGTGCACAATGCCCCTCCTGGTACCTTTGCGCCTGGAACAAAAGTCCAGGTGGGCAACCACCGCGTCACAATCGAAAAGTACCTCTCCGAGGGTGGCTTCGCGCACGTCTACCTGGTGCGCGTGCCCAAATCCGATAACGGAACACCAGAGACGGCCGTGTTGAAGCGAGTAGCATGTGCGGACAAAGATGCCCTGGCCAACATGCGGACAGAGGTGGAGACGATGAAGAAGCTCAAAGGGCACAGCAAGATCGTCACCTACATGGACTCGCATGCCTCGCAACTAAAGACGGGGGGCTACGAAGTCTTTCTGCTCATGGAGTACTGCTCAGGGGGAGGATTGATCGACTTCATGAACACCAGATTGCAGCACAGGTTGACCGAGCCCGAAATCCTGCACATCTTCTCCGACGTCGTCGAGGGCGTGGCAACCATGCACTATCTCAAGCCCCCGCTCCTGCACCGCGATCTCAAGGTCGAAAATGTCCTCATTACCACCGTCTCGGGCAACAAGATATACAAGCTTTGCGACTTTGGCTCCACGGCCCCACCAAGGCCGGCTGCTACCACGGCTGCCGAGGGGAGGCTGATCGAGGACGACGTGCAACGCCACACCACGCTACAGTACCGCAGCCCAGAGATGGTTGATGTATACCGCAAACAACCAATCGACGAGAAGAGCGACATCTGGGCCTTGGGTGTGCTCCTGTACAAGCTGTGCTACTATACTACACCTTTTGAAGAGGTGGGGCAGATGGCCATCTTGAATGCCTCGTTCAAGTACCCGGCATATCCCCACTTCTCCGATCGGATCAAGAAACTCATAGGTTTGTGCAGCCAGACTAATCCAAAAGCATAGCTGATTTCAAACAGGTTCAATGTTGCGCGAGAACCCACAGCAGCGCCCGAACATATACCAGGTCGTTGCAGAGGTCTGCTCGATGCGCCACCGAGCAATTCCTATCAAAGATGTATGTGTGGTATATTGGCTTGAGTTTTATTTGCTAAGGCATGTCAGATCTATTCTGGCAGAACGCAATCCGAAGACCGACGAAACCAGCAACTACCACCTACCGAGCCCCAGGTCTCTTCACCACCCCCTGTCGTGGGCCTACAACGGGTTGCGCCTGTAGTGCAGGTTCAGCAGCTTCCGGATATTACACCAATGAGGAGAGGAAGACCTACCGGTCCAGCGCAGCAGCCCCCAGCAGCGAAACCAAGTCCATCGCCTATGCGAGGAACGGCGTCCGACCCCTTCGCTGCACTCGACTCACAGGATGTACAAGTCAGGCGTGCGGCTGCTGATGAACTCGCATCCCGCTTCCCTTCTTTGGACGAATTTTCCCTGTTGCACGATCGGGGCCAAAAGTTCGAATTCGGCGATGCACCTGCGACTCCCGACCCCATGACCAAGCGAGTCACAGAAGCGTTGGCAGATGAGGCTTTCGCAACAACTCCTGTATCCAAGGTTGACTCAAACCCAGGGGTGAAGCCTTCTTCTACTGTTTCCTCGGCGGGTATCTCCAGAAGTACATCGCTGAGAAAAGCGGCGCCCTATGATGCAAAGGATAGCCCTCGAGGCTCCAACACAAACATACAGTCACCCATTCCACAACGTGTCAACATGGTCTCTACTGGCGTACAGACATCCCCGCGAGCATCTCCTGTGTCGGCCCAGCAGAAGTTCCCCGATGTCAACAACCGGCCTATCTGGAAGGTGCCCTTGAGTTCAAACCACAATCGAGCTCTGAGTCAGCCCCGGGCGCCTGAAAAGACACCAGGAAGCCCTCTAAGCAGCAGCCCGTCACTAAGACCGGAACCTGGCTTATCTGCACGGCCTTCGTTCGAATCTAGATCGAAGTCTCAACTCAGCATCCCAAGATCTCCTGCATCCTCCAGGCCATCTTTGGAAAGCCAGCGTCCATCCACCATGGAGCTTGGCTCTGCCATCGACCGCTCGAGATCTGCCAATTCCAATGCTCGCCCAGTCAGCATGCATCTTGAGTCAAACCTTGACTATCTTCGCGACCGAGAAATGGCACCCGGTCGTAACTTTGAGGCGCCATCATTGACCCGTCGTCTAACCTCTACCGCCATCGATGACTCAGAACCTGAGGAAAAGAATGTCAGGTCAAGCATCGACTTTCTCCGCACTATCGAGCAGGAAGAGCATGGTCATAAGCACCGCCGAAGCAGCTCGCCACGCAAACATGGCAAACGCGGCAGCATTACCAACATTGTCAAGGGGAGATTTGGCGACGCTTTCCGTCGCTTTGAATCAACCGTGAAAACACCCGAACACGAACGTGAACAGCCACCACTGACACCCACTGACCAATTCATCGATCACAAGGGCGGCCTGACACCTATTGCCGGCTCCGAAGCTACCGGTGGGCTGAGCGACGACGACCGCAGCTTCGTCGATGAAACACAGGACCTATCGCCAGAGATGCGTCGTGAACTTGAAAAGCGACAACTGGCCGAAGAGGAGCGTCGCGTTGAAGCCGCAGCAGCAGAGTACAAGCAAAGGATTGCATCTCAAGGACAAGGGAAGTCACAGGGCGGCCCATCCAAAGCCTCCACGATCCAAAGCCGCGTCAAGAATCTTTTAGATGAAAGCAGCAAGCCCGCAGCTGCCAGTCGCACAGCTGAAGGCTACGGCAAGTACACTGATACCGGCAAGCCTTTACCGCTGCGGCCACAGGACCAGACCGGTGCACGTCAACCCCCTATGATTGCCCGGAAGCCCGTAACAGTCTCACAACAATCTCAACAAGCGGCGGATCTCTTGTACGCAAAGCCGTCCTCTATCCGCCCCAACATGCCACCGCCTATCCCCTCTGCTTCGGCACCTCCAACAGTCAACGGCCGCAACCCCTCTGGCCCTCCGCCTCGCGCACCCAAGCCAAAGGCTCTCCAAACAGGCGGCTCTGCCACAACCCCTGGCCAAACATCCCCTATCAAATCCAGCAACCCCGCACTTCCGCCCAGAGACAAGCCATTGCCAACTGCTGTCAACGATGTCGCCGCGGAAGAATTTGACGTCGACACGTTCAGTAAACGCTATCCCAGTCTAAGCGGCTTGGAAATGGTCGAGACCGAGATCCCGCGACGCACTGTTAGGGATTTGTAAACGTGTGTACATGTACGTATGTGTGTGTTGGTATGCAATGTGTTGGCTAGCGCACATTATATGGGGCCTGCGAAATAGCGACGTGGATCCGTAGGTACTGTGCAATGTTTGGAGGGCCTGTGAATGTTGAGCCTATGGTGATACTTGCACAGATACCTCGGTCTTGTTGTTGTCGTCTCTTACTCTTATTTTTATCCAATCTTTTGCGCTCCCTGGGAATCTTCAAGTAGTCATAGCAGCATCTTTGCATAGCATCATAGCGGGGTTTTATTGTTTCTTGCAAGAAAGCAAGGTTTATTCGACGTCGCGTCGCGTCCCTGTTGACTAGATGGCGGCATCGGAAGAAATTGGGTCATGTAGATGCCATGTACCGCACAATAGAATGAGATTATCAATGGAGCTGTTGCTGGATCATTCATTGTTTGCTTTGTGATGGTAGGTCCATGGAAATGATCACAATGTGGGGTACTGCCGAGTATCTTTTTTTTCCAAAGATTTTCCTTTCTGCGAACAAAGTCTCTCCCTGGGCTTAGAATTGAGGACACTAACATAACGATCCTCGTTATGCCTGATCGGCAGATAGGTTGTTGATATCAATGGAGCCATCAATCCCACAGACGCCTGTCATAGACGATCAAAGCTACTCACACGATTGCAGCATCACATCAAGAGTAAAAGACGTCGAGATTCAGTCAGTTTTTCTTGGTATTCTGGCGATAATAGCCAAGATTGTCCCTTATAAATCCTGCCAACCCATCACACTTGTGATCTACATCGCCACCCGTAACCCCTTCAAACTCCATGCTATGCCCGAGGTGTATCCGAACCGATGCAGTGAAAGGAAGGTTGTGTGAGTCAGTCGTGTTGTCGATGGGTGACGTGCTCCGGATGAGGCACGTTTACTGCTCGGTCTGGAAGTAGTTGAGGAGGATGCTGCGCTCCTGCGACTCCTCACCCCAGTCCTTGACGACAACGCAAGAGCAGTTGACGACCTTGCGGGGGTTGCCCTCACGGTCAATTTGGCCTGTGAAAACTCATTAGCTCCCATGACACTGCGAGAGAAGAAAGTGTTGGCAATGCGCCTGGGCTTCTTTTGAGTCCTCAGCGCAACACCACGGAGGAAAACGTACAGAGACCGGCCCATTCGCCAAGCTGCTTGCCATCGGGGACCTTGATGAGAGGGATCTTGTGCTCGGAGCAGAGCGCAACAACGAGCTTCTTGTATGCCTCCTCCTCGCAGGCCTCGTTGAGCACGCACATGTGCGCCTCACGACGGTCGAGGGCCTTGGAGGCCTCGCGCAGACCACGGGCAAGTCCGTCGTGGATGAGAGCGAGCTTGAGGACACCCTTGAGAGCCTCCAGCACGCTCATCTGGCCCTTACCACCGGATGCATCGGCAGAGACCTCGACCTCAGCGGCCGCGCTGACTTGGGATTTGGTATCGTCTTCTCCGTCCGACTGTTGAGGGTAGGTTAGCCATGTTCAAAGGCGGCGGGGTAGTGGCGTTGGCTTCTGAGCTGCTCTATTCGCCATTGCGACGACAGAGCTATGGTTTGAGGAAAGAATTGGGACTGCATACCATGATTAATGATTTCTATCTGTCGGGTGTTCCTCGAAGAGTTGGTGGTGATGATAAAGAATAGATTCGAAAAGTTCCCCGGTTCGCCGAGCTGAATTTGGCTTGCCAAGGTGTGGGACCGGACGGCGACTAAGCGAGACGTCACGTGATGTGGTGATATGATTGGAGCAGACGGTGGTGAATATAGTCGCAATTGACTTGATATCGCTATGCCATCAAGAATCGATATGACACTCCGGAGAATATACTATCTATAACTTTCGTGATCTATGTCAACAGGCATGTATCCATCACAACACCACCTACTTGATACTCACGCACCCTACTGCACTGACGATACGAAGCCTGATTTATGAACAATCGATATCATCATTTCTCTATATATTCCACCTCTCGACATGGCTCTAACACTACTGCTTGGACCTGCCCTGGCCATGCCCCCCAAACATACATCATCCTCCTCTCGACCATTGCTGGTCTGGACATCAGGCGTCCCGTCTTTTTAATACGATTAACAGAAAGAAACACTGGCAGTTTGCCATCTGGATTTACTCATAGAAATGGATGATTCCAAGTCTGATGGAAGAATACATACGCTGACTCTACTGAAGGTGGCCAGAAAAGTAGCAGAAAATAACACTAGAATATATCGCTGAACGCTATCAGCCCAGGTTTGCGCAAATATGAAAGCGACTTGAAATATAACCACCAAGCTTAGAGGGTACGCCAGTTACGCCGTACATTGAAGGAAACCCGTCTTTGAACATAGTTGGTATAAGGAAAGATTGAAAAGGGTACAAAGAGATAAAAGCTACATGACAATGCAGCTGCAGCCCTTCTTCTCCTTGGCCTCCTCCACTGGTTCGGGCACCCGGGTGACTGTACGCTTGGGCTGTGCGGGTTCGATTGGAGGGGCCAGCTTTGGCGAAGGAGTGCGGTCGGGACCTTGGGGTATCGTCGGGGTTAGTTTGTAGCCACCTTGTTCGGGGCCTGGAGACCTGGCGGTATTCGTGTCGATCTTCTCAAGTGACGGAGACTCGTCCTTGGTAGGGCTTGGAAGGGGCCAGGTCTCGTTCTGACGCGCCTTTTCGATGGCGATGGGGTCCAAATTGGCCAGCTGCGAAAGGCGCTTGTCCGCCATTTCGTTGTCGTTGAGCAGTCGGAAGTCCTTGTCGTACATGGAACCCACTCTGCCTTCATTCTCCCACTGCTCTTGCTGCATTCGCTTAGCATGTGTAGGGATGATTTGTTGGTCCGGCGGTAGACGAGGGTCGGGCTTGTACATGGATGCTATCCACGGAGCCTCGCCTTCTGGTCGATGGGCGGTAGTAGGCCTCGTGATTGACCCGCCGCTTGTACGAGGACGCTTGGGAGGTGAATTGCCTGATGTTGCCCGAGACTTTGCTTGAGTCTTCTGGGTACCGGTCTTGCGCCCTGCAGTGGTCGACTTGGCTGGTGCCTTCTTTACGGGAGACTTCTGGGGAGATTTTGGAGGAGTCCAGCTGCCAGTCGAGATGTTGCGTCTGTGACCGCCTTCTGGGGGCGTCCTCTGCCTTCCGTCGTCATCAAGCAACGCTTGACTGCCCACACTGCCACTGCGCACACGTGCACCCATGGCACCGATTGCATTCTCGCTCCAGTTGCCACTGTTGCCTCTGGACCTTGACAACGGCGCATCACGGTCCGCCAGTGAAGCAGGCACGGGTATACCGCTGGACTTGGGCAGAGGAATGCGAGACGTACTAGGTCTCACGGTGTGGCCGCCTCGCGAAGGATGGAAGTCGGTGGTGTCATCTTGATACTCCTCTACAGCCTCCTCGTCTTCAGCTGGTATGGTTGAGATGCGTTTCCGGGGCTCGGTCGGCTCGGTGAGCTCGCCGTCCTTGCTCTGCTCGGTAGATTCCGAGTTTGTACGGACTCGCGCACGTCGGGTAGCGCTTTGCGAACGACTGTTGGACCGACTGTCGCGTCCTACTCTGAAGCCGGCCTCCTCTAATTCGCGGGTCTCAATCTCCTTGAGCTTGTCCCGGTGTATCCAGGCGTTTGCGTCATACTCGGGTTCTGGACCAGCCTTGACGACCTTCTTCTTGGCCTTCCCCTTGATGGAAGTTGGGCCTTTCTTGGTGTTGGTGTTGGTGTGGCTTTTGTAGTACTCCAGCACACTGTCCTGGTCCGCGTTGCTAGCAATCATGTCCCCGCTTTTTTTCTTGTGCAGTTCATTCATTGGGGCGGGCGACAGCTGTGAACGGGCAGCGTCCTGCGAGTCCCAGGTGGGTGAGCGTACAGGCTTTGCGAAACCGTTGGCTTGTGACGTGAGGGGCTGGCGGGAACCGTGGGCGGCAGCGCCGTATTCGGACATGTAAGACTCTTGTTCGTAGGACTCTCTCTACGGCGGTGGTCAGCAAGCTGTTATTCGCAACTGGGCCTTGTTAGGGGCGTGCAGCCGTGCTAGAGCCAGCGGATCACTTGGCGGTCAGATGAACCATGGAACACATGCGCAGTAGTGCATTTAGTGCAAAAGCATACATCTCATGAGGCTCGCATGAGGCAGATGCAGCCGCAGCGGCACGATAACTGAGAGTGGTACATACCAAGTTGTTGACGGGCACAGCAAAGTCCCACGACCCTCCGGCGCCGTGAGAGCTGCTTGGGGGCGTCAGCTGCTGGACTGGCACTGATGTCTGGCGAGCCGACGCTAGAGTAGCCATGGAAGAGGCTGCAAGCACACAAGGCGGTCTGACCTATGACGTGCGCGGGAGTGTCAGGCGGTGCGAGCGATCGTCTCGGGACTGCGAGAGACTTGGGTGACGTCGCAATTTGATGTTTCGAACCAGAATGCAGAGAAGGGGCGAAGGCCGGGAAATGACTACCACCGCCGTTGGAGGATGGGGTAGTAGTAGCCGCACGGGAGCAAAACAACCTCCTTAATGCGGAGCACTTGTAGCTATAAAAGAAATTCCATGGGCGAGAAGGAGACACGACGTTGGAGTGGAGACTGAGGTCGGAGGCTGTGAGGGGTGGTTTGCATGCGCGTTGCAAGCAGCTTCCCTGCAGAGGGACAGGCGACTGACTGACGGTGAGTAATTACAAGGGAAAGATAATATGAGTAGGAAACGAGGGACAAGGAGAAGGTTAGCAGTCGAGTCGAGGACACGGTCGCGTGCTGAATGGCCAGCAACTGCAATGATTCGTACAAGAGTCGCGACGGGATCAAGGAGCCCTGGGGAAGGAGGATTTGGGAGTGATGGTCTAGTCGTCGGGGAGAAAGTTGATTCGCGCTTGGCTGCAGGCTGCAGGCTGCTCGGACCTCGTCTAATCTGCGGCGCTACCAAAGGGGGTGGTGATGCTTCACTTCATTCATGGGCCAAACTCCTGGCAGAAGCTGAGCTGCTGCACCGCTACACTGACGGCTGCAAACAAGCAAATACACGGCGCCGTCGTGTCCCACAAGCTGCTGCTCCCGTACGGCACCCCATATCATCTTCATCTCGTCTGCCTCGTGTTGACCCCCCTCCACCGGAGCATGATGCGCCCGGCGGGTTAAAGTCCGAAGCACACCCATGGCCCAAGTTTGATTGTTTGTCAACCTTGTGCACACGGACTGCCCCATGCACAACTGTCTGGACAAGCTTCCGTCCTCCTGCGCCTTTCCCGTTCCTGACTCCAATCGTCGCCGGCAACGGCTTCCGTCCGGCCATTATGGGTATAGGCCTCAGTCTAGCCGGCTTCCAGAGACGCGTCGCCTTGATCTCGGGACTTGGTCTGACGTGTACCTGAGCGGCCTGGGGGCTTGATGGCTTTGATGGCAATCGACATACGTCGTCAATCTCCATTCTTGTCATGATTAAGCACTTGAACATGTCTACAAACTCGGCATGGGCCATGGCCGTTGGACCCACTGTAAACACCCAGCGGCCGGGTTAACGGTGCAAAGATGATATAGTTATAGTTCAAAATATAGAAATAGAAGCGCACGAGCTTCGAGCTCGACCAACTCTACCAGCCAAAAGTCTCGTCATACCAGAACACGTCATGGCCCCTCTTCACCCATACCTCGACGTTCTTCTTTGTGTCTTCTGTCAACCGTTTTGGTCCACAGCAAATCACTGCCGTCCGCATACCCTTGCTCAGTACCTCATCCACCACCTTGCTGATATTCGGCCTTCCGCTCTTAACGACCATGCCTTTTCCTGGCTTCTCCATCTGCTCCTCCATGCTCAAGAGTTGTTCGTTTTCCTGCATCTCAATCGCCTCGCCATGTTCGTCATCTGGATCAACGGCGAAAACACCAGATGCTCTGGAATTGACCTGCGAATCTGACCCTGGAGATCTCGTGACATAAACTTCGACGTTAGGGGAACTTTGTAGCATGCCATTGCCATTCGCCTCGATCCCTGCATTATCGCTCTGCTCGTCATTGGGGACAGAAGCTGGAAGCGTTGCCCATTGTGTCTCGGCAAGATTTCGGACAGCCCATATGCACCGAATGCGGGTGCCGGCAGATGTGGTGTTGTCCAACTCGAGCATACTCCGGTAGATGGGGATGATGAATGTTGCACCAACGCCACCAGCTACCAGGAGCACTCGGTCGTACTCCGATAGGTTGGGTAAGCGGGTCGATGCACCATATGGCCCTTCGAGAAGGAGCGGCAGAATGGGTATATCGCCGCCTGCAGTGGATAACATTGGTACGTTGCTGCCACCCTGAGCTAGGTAGCGCGCCAGGTCCCCTAGATATTTTGTGTTCCCGTTGAGTGTCCTTGCAACCAGTAGTAGCTCCTTGTCCTTGGACGGGAGAGAAGCGACCGTGAAGGGATTGGTCTTGTTGATCATGAGCCATTGATCGTACCACGAAGGGGCTTTGTTCCCCGCCCACGGTCTGCTGAGATACACATGCTGGCCTGGCCTCCATTTGAGCGCGTTGCTATCTGTAGGTAGTGGAACACGAATCTGGACCAGAGTGGTGCCAGGGAGGAGTCTGAGTGTTCCCCGATACATCTTGAGACGCAGGCCCCGGAAAACGAGATGTAGAAAGTTTACCGCCATTACTTCGTACACGTAGACGCGAATATGTGCAACATGTAGGTATAGAGGCACAATGATCAAGTTGGCAATAACAATATGGGAGACGTAGAAGATGCGGTAGTTCCTTCTTCGCACAAATCCAAGGGCAGTGGTGCTGATGGTGGAGAAGAGAAGAATGCTGGCAAGGCCCCATATAACGTCCCAGTCCTTGATACGCTTTGCTATGAAGCCGGTCAGGATGAAGAAGTTGAGATACAATACAGCATGGAGCAGGAAGAGAAGGAATGTAATACGTCCCAGGATCTGATGCGAAGCCTTGATCTGTTCATGTGAAAGTCGTGTCAAATATTGCACTGGGCTGTAAGGTGCCCTCATAGCCAGTAGATAGTGAATAGGAAGCTGCGATGCGCCGACTTGTCCGAACCGCTTTGTGAGGTGCATATAATCTGTAGACTATTAGCCGTGTGGGAGACAAGTAAAGCTGGGAAGTTCACGAACCTTTGCCTGTGTCTGCAATGCAAAGATAGAACAGCCATACGGTCCAGATAGTCGCACCGACCCATTCTCCTCTTGTTCCCCACCTCCAACTTTTGATTACATCTTTTCGCATCCACCACAGCATGTTATCACTAGCGCTCTTGGTTCGTCTCAACCAGCCCAGTTTTCCACCCGCGCGCTTCGTCAATGATGGCGATTTGGGCTGATCGTACGTCAATCCGCTCTTCAATACCCAAGCTACAGCAAAGCCGAGCTGGAAAAGCGCAAAAATGACCAGGACTGACCATTGTGCAGCAAAACCGTACCTGTCTAGAACCTCTCGTCGTTGATGTTGCTGTTCCTTGCTAAGGGTCTCGAAGGAGTATCCGAATGCCCAGTATCGATCGGCTTTCACTTCGAGATGGCCCTCATGGCGCCGAAGAAGGTCCATTTTCGAGGGCGACGTTTCAAAGTTGTTGGTGGTTCTCTAGCACATGCCAGTATGCGCAACAGCTCTGCTTTGCGATGGCCGGATGGCACCGGAACACTCGAAAGCGCTTGTGGTTAGAAGTTATATGTGGAAAAGAAATGAGTAAATACAGGAGTTTTATTGAGGTTGTGGCGGTGATGAAGTTTTCTCTTGACGTTGTGTACCGTGCTTGTCACAAGTCGGTGTCAGTATCGTTGACAGACAATCAGGCCTGGGCATCGGACTCGGTCGCAGCGGCAGGACCACCAATCGGGAAAGCCAATTGAAACGTGCTCAACGAGTCGAGACGCGACGTGTTCAGATCTCATGCGGCTTAGACCGCCTAACTTAATGCGTGCGCAGTTGCTGACAATAAAAAGCTGAGCGTCAGCGTGAATAACGATGCGCGTATTCAGGGTTCCACGTTCCTGGGTCCCGCAGTGCGGTAGTTAACGGGTACCAGTAACCCCACCAAACTTGGCATCGACCCTAAGTCGAAACCCAGGTGGCATGTGGCATGTGGCAGCCGTCTGCAGGTGCAAGCCGTCCCGTCTCCTAAATCGATTACCACTGCAGGAACATACGTGATATCATGGCCGCCACTTCCTCCAAGACGCCGATCTGGCTTGACTGTGTGTGTATTTCGTGCCATCATCATCTTCAAAGCTAACCTACCAAGGACACAGGACATGATGTGAGTCCCCTTGGAAACACCTGCCCACTGATTTGCTCATCGGCGACCTTAGGATGCATATGCCCTTCTCCTCTGCGCGCACGACCCGCGCGTTGAGTTGCTTGGTGTGAGCACCGTCCACGGCAATGCCGCGCTAGATCAGACAACCTACAATACGAGGGCCATCCTGGAGGCAATCGGTCGGCGCGACGTCAAGGTCTACTCGGGCGCATCAAAGCCCATCGTACGCAGTGCCGTCCACGCTGCCGATATTCACGGTACCTGAATCCTCAGAAGATATAACCAACACCGACTGATAGCCATAGGCGAGTCGGGCCTCGATGGAGTCACCCTGCTTCCCCAGCCAGTCGAGCCAACAGCTACCGATGTCGGTCATCTGGAAGCCATGTACCGCGCCCTCATTGCCATGCCACCGAATACCGCTTGGCTTGTATCAACTGGTACACTGACCAACATTGGACTGCTGTTCCAGAAATACCCTGATCTAGCAGGGCATATCAAAGGTCTCAGCATCATGGGAGGCGCTGTCGGTGGAAGCTTCACAGATGCTCCAATGGGAACCGTCAAAGGCGAGGGTGAAAGATTTGGCAATTGGACACCATATGCAGAGTTCAATGTATGCTCTCCTTGGCTGCTATGCGATTACCTTGCTATAAGCTGACCTTGTATAGATATACGTGAGATATAGACTTGTGACTGACCAAGAAGGATACTGACGGGCGCAGTGCGATCCGGAAGCCTCCCACTTCATCTTCTCACACCCCGTCCTGAAACCTAAGACGGTGCTGATCCCACTCGATCTGACCCATCAGGTCCTCGGTACAAAGAAAGTGCGGCAAACGCTGCTTTACGGAGATGAGGTTTGGGATCCCTCGTTTAACAAGACCGACTATACGCCCTCAGCTTTGCGTGCCCTGTTTACCCAGATCATGTCGTTCTTTGCTGGAACGTATGCCGAGGTGTTTTCCATTACTGAAGGGCCGCCATTGCATGATCCTCTCGCTGTCGCTGCTGCCTACAACCCAGACATTTTCGACGACAATGGCGGCGAACGCTTCCAGGTCGGCATAGTTACTGAGGGCATCCACTCGATCGACCAGACGCAAGTCGGAGAGCTCGGCCGGACAAAAGTCACAAAGCTTCCTAACGGGGAAGGTGGCTGTAGGATACCCCGACATGTCGATCTTGACCAATTTTGGGGAAGCATCGAGAGCTCAATGAAGTGTGCCGTTGCCGTCAGCCCCATGCCAAAAGTATCGATACAGGATCTGGAAAAAGCCGGCGTGTTCAACGGCGTTGAAAAGCTAGTTTGACAGGTTCCCAACGCAGTAACATCCAAGAGTGACGTGTATAGAACATAGATACTTTGATCCACAATCTCAACACTGGCCTAGCTGACGTGAGAAAGCAATTCCGGCATCGACGGGATTTGGACATGACCGAAAAGTATCCCATAGAAGAGCCTGGTTTGACTACCAATTGCACTCCCACCTTGATTGCGACGTACTGTCAACGCCGCGCATTTGCTGATATATTCTGGTTGAAATGCGCACAGAGCAAGTATGCTAAGCTTGGCGGTCCAATGGTCAAGGGTTTCCGCTCCCCTGGTTTCTTGGTGTTCTTCGCGGGACAAGAAATCGGGACGTCGGCAGCCATTAACGGTCTTCTGTCTGCATGCTAAGACAGTTTGCATCCTCCCATGCGCCCGCCGGTCTTGGAACGGAGATGGGTGCATGGCAGCCGTCATTGCGCTGTGAGAAGGGGCGAGAGCACTGTGGCTTGTCCGATGATTGCCCGTAGAGTGGCTGTATACATAGTACGTAGAGCAGAGCAGTACTTGTGTCCGCGCGTCGCTCACAACGTCGACGTCGCAGCATCAAGGTGGAGAACAGGGACAGCCTGGGCTGTAGCACGTGCTCGCCATGTCCTGAAGATGCGCGCTTTGCCTCGAAATTGCAGTGCTTTTTAAAGACCAAGGTTTATAGTCATGGTATCTTCCAATATGTTCAATGTTCCGAAATGAGAGTCCGAAGGGCCCGATGATGTGGTAAGTGTCTGGGAAGCCAGCGGTTCTTCTTGGTCGCAGTTCGAAACATGCAGGTGTGAAGAGCCGAGGCTGACTGGCAAATGCGGAGAAGACTGGGTATACGAGCGCGATTTTCCATGATCTGTGTCGCGAATCTCAGATTCGCAGTTAATTCGGGCCATCTACTTGATGGTACGCGTCTTGCAAGATGATGGGGTTGCAGGACAGGTCAATTCTGGTACTGGCAGCCAGCTGAGGATACGCCCTCCCATAAGCTTCCATGACAGGTATGCACAGCCCGGATAGAATAATCGCTCAATTACTTGGCTCTTCACATGGTGTTTGACTAGACATCTTGGCGACGAGCCAAGAGTGGAAACATGGATGTCCCGCCCGCGAACTCTTCACGTGGCGATGGGTTGATACGTTGAGTCTGGGGCTCGGCCAGGGGAGGCTTTGAAGGACTCAACACGATGAGATGGGCGATGAATACGGCGATGGGGTACGTAGGTACAGTGTGAGAGAAAGCCGCAGTAGGACCGGCGCAAAAAGCAGCGTCATTTCATGGGTGCACAGCTGGTAATGAGGCATGCTTAGACCCAGCAAAGGAAAGGTCCATTCGGAAGGCGACGGTATCGGACGCGGAGAGGTCTCGTTACAAGCCGTTAGGCCGCAAGTCGATCAAAGAAGCCAACCGACAACTATGCAGACGGCGTGCGGCTGATTGAGCAAACTGGCTTTCCCATGGCAATGGGCTCAACGGCCATGACGGCTGCCAATGTGCCTGACGCGATGGCGTAACAGGAGTGCAACGAAATTGGAGACTGGTGCCAATTCTTCCGCTCATAGTGGCCAAGGGCGTCCAAGAACTTTCCTCCCGCGCATGATTGTTTCGGTTGTGTCGCCGCTCGTGTGCGCCCGGGGGGGGGGGGTCGGGGGAGTCGGTCGGGCCGGTACGTCGCAGTAGACGCACCTCACACGACAACGGGCTTGCCCAAGCAGCTTTCTGGCCACGCATGCACCGACGACGTCTTGATCAAAGCAAGCAGCGCAGCCATGAGGGTGACTTCAACCTTGGAACATGGTCATACGCACGCTGGAGGCTGGAGCGACTCGGCATTGATGGCGCTGGGCCAAGCCGCCGGCCAAGGCGCTAGTGGGGCAGTCGAGCCGTAAGCGCCAATCATGGCAGGCACTTGTTTGGGCCCCTGCAATGAGGCAGTGCTAGCCGGCCTCGATGTCTCCCTCTCTGGGCGAATCTTCGCCCGCCATCGCCCAGTCCGCCGCGAAATTCCGTAAAAGCTGCACCTCCCCCCAAGATTCCAGCCTGGGCGCCCTCTCCTCTCAGACCTACTTTGCTCCACGACACTTGCCCTTGCTGCCCACCGTTATCCACCTTGCGATAACCATTGTCGCACTGAGCTGTTTTGACGCTCTTGCACTTGCACTCCTTTGTTCCATCACCCCATCACCACAACAACTTTGTCTTTGCCAAGAATGAGCGAAGTTCAGAATACCGTGCCCGCCGCGGCATCAACTCCCCAACAACAGCCGCAAGGCACTCCTATTCAGCAAAATCCCCCAACTCCCGCTTCTGTCGCCGGTGGTTCGGGCGATCAGCTCGTCTGCCAGTGGCAGAGCTGTGGCGATCGTCTGCCATCCGCTGAGCAGCTCTACGTAAGTTGATCCATTCTTCCAAGTTGCGCCCTGCATTACGGCGGCATACTGTATCAACCATGCGTATCATGTTCCCAGTATACTGACTGCTTTATAGGACCACGTCTGCGAGCGTCATGTTGGTCGCAAGAGCACCAACAATTTGAACTTGACCTGCCAGTGGGGTAACTGCCGCACCACCACGGTCAAGCGCGATCACATCACTTCTCACATCCGTGTTCACGTGCCGCTGAAGCCGCACAAGTGCGATTTCTGCGGCAAAGCTTTCAAGCGTCCTCAGGATCTCAAGAAGCACGTGAAGACTCACGCCGATGACTCCGTCTTGCTCCGATCACCTGAGCCAAACCGCGGAGGTCCTCACGGCGCTCAAGGCTACCCAGGCCAGAACGGCAAACGTAAGTACCCCCCCTCACATGACTTGTGCAACTTCAACCTTGTCCAACTCTCGCTCCATTCGTCTCCCCTCAATATCTAACGTGCTACTACAGTGGTCGCTGACTTGCAGGCGCTTGCCGCTACAGCCAACGGATACCAGTATCCCGATGGTGCGCTTGGTCCCAATGGCGGCTACGGCCAACAGCATCCGGGTGGTGCTCCAGCTGGCTTCTATGGAGGACCTCCCCAGAACTCTGCCTATGGACCAGTCTACTATGCCGTGAACCAGTCACAGCAGCTCAACAACGACTACGAAATTAGGAAGCGTGCAGCTTACGACGCTCTCAATGAGTTCTTTGGCGATGCTAAGCGCCGCGCAATTGACCCCACCACTTACTACGACGTTGGCCAGCGACTAATGGGCCTCCAAGGCGTTCAGCTTCCAGTTCTCGGAGGTGGCGGTGGTGGCTACCAGGGTGGCGGTATGTCCGAGTACGGCGGCCACGGAGGCACCATGGTCGCTCAAGCGCAGCACCCTCCCATGCACCACCCCTACTCATTACCGCTCCCCAACCTCAGGACCAAGAGCGATCTCCTGAATATTGATCAGTTCTTGGAGCAGCTACAGAGCACCGTCTATGAGAACCCCAACCACGCCGCAGCCGCAGGTATTGCTCATCCCAGCCACTACATCCACACTGGCCATGGTTACCGCTCCAGCAACTCACCACCGGGTCTGTCCTCCAGCCACTCGCAGTCTTCTCATGCCTCTGCCATTGGATCTACTACTGTCGAGACTCCCGCTTTGACTCCAGCCTCCAGCGTTCTTTCATACGGCTCGCAGCATTCTCCTGGTGCATCGCATGGAGTCTCTCCATCGTCGCGGTCATCAATGAGCAGCATGTATCCTACCCTTCCTTCAGTCAGCGCCATGTCCGACATGTCCACTGCTGCCCCATCTTCAGGGCTTGCACCAGCATTTGACAACGACAACCGCCGACGATTCTCTGGCAACCTTCTGCAAAAGGCTGCTCCAGATCGGTCCGCGACTGACTCAATGGATACTTCAAGCGACTGTGCGTCTCCCAAGGACCGTGACTCTGAGCAAGACAGCCTGCACCACAATGTCAACCAACTAGCTCTCCACTCACCCAAGGTTGACCCCGCTCTTCGGTCACCTAGTGTGGCTTCATCCTCTGCCACGGAGACAGGTGACTCGTCTCAGCAATCTTGGGTTGAGAACATCCGAGTAATTGAGAGATTACGAGCATACCTCAAGGATAGGCTCGATGCACAGGACTTCTCAGATGACGAGGAAGACGTCAAGCATGAACACGAGCGCCGCATGAGCGATGACGATGCTCACAACTTGTACCCGGTATTACGTGCTGTGCAAGAAGGCCGAGAGTAGTCGTGGTGTCGCCACGAGGAGGTCATGATACTATGCGGAGTTTAGGTGGCAAGTTGGCGTCAGGGAGTTCTTCAGGAACCATGGTTGGCACTGTCGGAAAGATGGTTTGGGTTTTTTGGGTGACACAGCGATGTCTTCTTTCTGTTCTTTATACGGTCACTACTAGGGATCAAGCCTTCATCGGCTGGCTTCGGTATACGTCTGTTAGTCACAATAAGCATTTTCCAATTGTTCAATACGTTTGCGTTTGTCTCCTTACCAAGTGTGGTGCCCTTTCGTGACATGCTTCGCGGTGAGACATTTGCGTAGACGTTGGTGTCATGCTCGTTATCAATTGCCAAGCGCGTGACCAACTTACTGTAGTTGGCTTCTAATCCCCCACACCGGACCGTTTTTAGTCGTTGGTCCGAGTCGGACATGGCCTTTCCCCACGTTCCCGTTCCCATCAATCCGTAATAGCGGATTCTTGTTCCCTGCGTTTAGAAGACCCACTGGATCTGCGTGCGACTCCGTTGCAAGACATCAACTTATCATTACCCCGAAATACTTTGCGTTACTTGCACGAAAAAGGGGAAGCTGTGTTGCTTGCTTATACACAGCAAACGTTGAATATACTACAGCGAGAGTCAATCAATAGCGGGCAGCAAGAAACAATGGCGTACGGACGTGGAGGCGCAGGAAACTATTACGCTGCTCAACAGGAGAGTAAAAAGGCTGCTGAAGTGAGTTTCAACACGCATACTAAAAGCTAAATACGTTGGCTGTACTAAAAAAATGTCCAGGACGTCGAGGCCAACAGCGCCAGTACCACTACACAAACGTCGCAGTCCCCAGCATCAGCAGTCCCCTCCAACGCATCGCAAGACTATGCGCACATGGGCCGTGGCGGCTCAGGCAACTGGTATCAACCCAAGGAGTTGCAAAAAGAAGGCACCTTCACTCAAGCTGTGGACGCGACCGCCATACCCACGTCTTCCAAACCACAGGTCAGCACGCCATGGCATCCCGAGGGCCAGGAACTGCCTGTCGCGAGGAGCGGACGAGGCGGCGCAGGCAACTTTGTGTGGAAAAGCGAGGAGCAGGAGAGGAAGGCGAGGGAAGACGAGGAAAAAAAGAAGGAGGAGTTGAGGGTGGAGGCTGAGAGGAGTGTGGAGGCTGGGTTGGCGAAACCGCCTGGTGCGTTGCTTGGGAGAAGTACGAAGGAGGTGTGAGGGTTAGGTTACTACTCCTCGTCTGTTCCAGTCAGAATTCGTCTCAAATTTAGCAGGCGACCGTCCTGTTCGAAGGGGTATTAAGATCCCATAGACTGATGTAATCTTCTATCATAAAATGTGAGGTTCATCTAGTCTGTCTACTGCGTAATGGGTAGAAGCCGCAGGGGCCCGAGGGGGTAGAGTCGTCAAACCTGAAGGACGGAAATATGCCCAAGTCTCTGCAACACGTTTTTTAAACTAGCTGTTTGACAAGTCAGATAGTACTCAAGAATAGTACGGCGCTACAGAGTAGTCTCGTGTGCCACATGTACACCATGACGTCGCTGTCTGTTTAGGATGGGTGGGTCCGTGCAGTTTGTTTATCCATGCCCTAGTCGATATCTCGCACTTCTCTCCCCACCTGGAAGCCAAGTCCAAGCTCCCGCCCGACTTTGTATTCCAACACTGGTCCTCATCTTTCTTCCCGACAATCAACTGACGATATGGCGCGTCGCTCTGCTCGCCTGCTCAAGGTATACGCTCAATCGTTGCTTTTCCCCGCGTCGTGTTTGTTTACCTTTGCTAACGCTTTCGTCTCCTGTAGCGCGAGACCACGCCCGATGCCTCTGCCGACGATAGCTGGCACACGGCCTCTTCGCCTGGCCTGAAGCTTCCCGACCTCCCAGAACTGCCAGAACTGCCAGAGCCCGGTATGGCCAAGACACCATCAAAGGCCTCCGAGGGCCTGCAGCCGCCGTCCAGGTTGCCGCAAGCAAAGACAACTGCGACGCCGACTGCGACTCCTCACAAGAATAAGGCGCTCCTCGCAGCCGCGAGCCAAACGCCCAAGGACCGTACGCCGATCAAGCCTGCCGGACAGGAGATGCATCCGGCGCATCATCGCGCCAGCACAGCCAAGGTCCTGGACGAAGCGCGCTGGCTCGGGTTCCAGTCGCTCGGCGCCCACACCGCACCACCAAAAGCAATGGGCCTGGCCGGTCAGGGAACGCCGTCCAAAACCCCGGTGCCTAGTGCTGCTACTACCAAGCAAGATGTTGGGTCGTCGCCCGAGTTCCGCTTTCGCTTCAAGTCGCCACTTCCTGCGTTGAACAAGTCGGCCCAGGATGAAGCTACTTTGAGCCCCACGTCACGCAACATTTTGAGAGAAGCTGGCATTGCGGGTACACCAGGTGGAGGGACTCGCGCCTTGTTTGGCACCAGCGAATGGTCTTCCAAGGACGATGTGTCTCCCCAGCGCAAGAAGGCCGAAGCCAAGGGCAAGATGGCGCGCTTCAGCGATGTACACATGAAGCAGTTCAAGAACATGGATTCCATCGCGAACCACGCTTCAGCCTTCCGTGCCGATCCGAGTCGGTTCAAGCCTGTCGTAGGCCCATCCCTGAAGAAGTCCAACTCGAGGTCGGACCTTGCGAAGCCCGAGACGAACAAGCTCAAGCGCACACAGTCAAAGGCGGATCTTGCCGAGTCAAGCACAAAGAGCGACATTGGCTTGAAGCGCACACAGTCCAAAATGGACCTTGCCGGTCCCAGCGCCCCTCGATCTGAGTCGACCACCCGCATGCCTCCACCTGCCCGCAGTGTGCGACCGGCCTCAAGCGATGGCGACAGCAACCCGGGATCGAAGCGCGTCAAGCGCACAGAATCCGATGATGCTGCTACAACTCGTCCTGCGTCTCACGAGAGCAAGGGCAAAGCTCCTGTTGTTGCTGCTACCCCACGCAAGATCACGTCTCAAACTGCGCTCCCTCGTGTAGCCGCTCGGCTGATGACGCCCACAAAGTCGTCCATTGCTCGTTCACAGAGCGTCCAGACTATGAAGACGACCTCGATGATCCCAACCTTTGCAAGAGGGCCTTCTACCAACGCTCTTGCCAAGTCACCGTCCGCAAGTCGTCTGCTCTCTTCGCCGAGTAATGTTAGTCACTTGCAGGCCATGAGAGATGGAGCGAGAGAGAGCCTTCGCAAGGTATGTATGCTTACGAGAGTTGCCTCGTGTCATCACTCACATTTCCTAGGCAAGCCATAATCTCCAGCGCGTTCGCTCGATCCTTCGCACTCCGAATCGCAAGTTCTCGCACGATCCCAGTAAAATTGCAGCGGGCACCCATATGTCACCTCCTCCAGTTTCCGACTTTGACAAGGGTTTGCCTGCGATTCCTGCGACTGCACCCGCCAAAAAGCATGTCAACTTCTCGAGTAGTACTCTAGAGCGCGCGTCCCATGATGAAATGGGCAAGTCACCTTCGCCGATGAAATTCCGGGCAGGCAGTGAAGTCCCTCCTGGTGCAGTTGTTTACCCTACTCTAAACACTGACATCCCGGAACTTGCTCAGGAGGTCGATACTTTGACGGCGTCGCCTTCACGGCGTCTCACCTTTGGCGGCGCGGCTCCTAACCACCCGCGTTCGTTTTCATTCGAGTCCAGCAAGACTGTCAACTTCGGTATTTACAAGTATCGTCTCTCACTCTGGTTTTTACTAACTGTCTTTAGGCCCTATTTCAACTGGTACCATCCGCATGGTTCGCCAGAGTGATGCTCCATCTGGCATTGAAGTCAAGAAGCGCAAGCTAGACACTGTTCAAGAGACGTCTGACAAGGAGAACGATGGACCCACCGAGGAAGATACGCGTTCCGCTAAGAAGATGAAGCATGCGCCCGTCCCAACTCCGAAGAAGCCAGCCAGTGCAAGCAAACTATCTGGTCACACCCCAGGACGTCGTACGAACGGCATGAGCAAGTCGAGACTCGCTTTCCTTGCTACGCCTAAGCGGAGCAAGGCCTAGGATGTACCACAGAAGTTGCGATTCTGTTTGGATGCGGACGTCTCCTATTGCACGTAGCGAGTTTCCCGTAATCCTAGGGCGTTGTTCTTGGGGATATGTTCTCACTCCATTTTCTTTTCACTTCCTGGCGCCCCGGTTATAATGATTGCGGTTTCATCACACGAATTACGGCATTTCCGTTCAGTCACATTTCCTGTCTTGTCTTTCTTCTCAAGTCACTGCATCTGGGGGTAATATCTGGTAGTCTTGCACGGACATGAGCCTTCGGAGTCGCATGTATCCAATGGGTACTATATCTGGTATCACAAAAAGTGTCCTAACAGCCAGGCTTTGTTTGTTTCGTGTCCAATGAAAAATCCAATGTATGCGTTTTATCCATAACTGATGCATAAACCCCAAGTGTCAGTGATGTGGCTTGCAGACGTAGTTTCTGCTAAATGATGCAAGTAGAATTTCGTTATCTGTATGAGCTTTTGAAAGCGTTGTGCCGCTAATATAAATCACTTGACACCGTAGTATAAAAAATCGTTGTAGGCATCAGATACACTTATTTGGAATAGAATATATACCCACACTGTCGCTGCCAAGCATTTAATGTCACCCCGGTGAGGGCGCGAAGGAGTGGATGCAAAGCTGACTAAGCTGCTAACCATGGGTCAAAGGCTCGCGCGTCGCTCGGATCTTTTCCGCAAACGACGTCAGTTCGCTCATACGTTTGGCCGATCTATCAAGCAATTCCCAGCGCGCTTGCAGCAGCCCCCCACTACACTCACAAGGACTTTTTGAACAGCTACTACGTCATTCGAGTACGCGTCGGACTTATTACGCCCTTGCTACACTAGCAGGGCGACTTCCAATACACCACCGTGGCGTCGCTGAACCATCCAGTTGACGAATTGAAGAACTTCTTCAACTTCTTCAACTTCTTCAACGACTACTCGCTCAACCACATCGCCGAGTTCATTACAACTCCTCGCTTTGACGACCCAACCTTCCTTACCACAGTTGCTATTGTAGTCGCCTCCATCGTCGCGACCATGTCTTGGTTCTCTCGCACCGGCGGAAACTGGGGCGGCCGCTTCTCGCCGTTCGGGCGCCCAGGCAACTCGCCAAATGCTGGTGTTGTGAACGACTCGGACTTTTCATACATCACGAATGAGGACTTGCGGAGAAACGGCCAAGCGCAAGCCCCCGAGATCGTGGACTGGGACGACAAGAACCCGGAGCGAGAGACGGATGTTCTCATCTTCAAGAACGGGCGCACAAACTACCCCACACATTTCCCTGCGCATAGCATACGTGATGGAGATTTGAAGATTGGCACGGTGCGACAGGCCGCGGCAAAGAAGTTGGGTGTGGACGACCACCGGCGGATACGCATGTTTTACAAGGGCAGAAATCTGAAGCACGACGAGCGGACAGCGCGAGAAGAGGGACTACGCGGCGATGGGTCCGGTAGTGAGATTCTGGTCACTGTCGGCGAGACACCAGTGGGTGGACACGCACCCGGATCCGAGAACGCATCACAGCGCGCCTACAGCGACGGAGAAGACGGGGAGGATGACGACGATGACGACGTCGACTCGGGCGCAAACAACACAGGCAAAAAGAAGTCCCGCAAGCGCGGCGGCAGGAAGAGCAAGAAGAAGGGACCTGCATCTGGACACGCGTCCGGAACGTCGACACCGGGCTACACCACCGCTGGTGCTGGTGCCGAATACCTCCCCATCCCCTCGCACATCAACGCTGGACCCCGCCCCAACTCTGCGCCTCCCCCAGGTGCCGCCAAAGCTCCCGAGCCCCAGACTGCCATGGGCAAACTCGATGCCATCGCCAGCAAATTTCACACCGAGTTCGTGCCCATGTGCGTACAATTTATGGCTAGCCCACCAGCGGACAAGGCCAAGAGGACGTTTGAGTACAAGAAGTTGAGTGAGACCATCTTGACACAGATTATCTTCAAGCTAGACGGCGTGGAGACAGAGGGCGATCAGGATGCTAGGTTGAAGCGCAAGGCGCTCGTCAAGGAAGTCCAGGGCATGTTGAATAAACTGGATGAGGTTGGCAAGGCTGGCTAGATGTTACGATCAAGAGACTATTGTGAGGGATGTGTCCAGTTGTTAATGATATGGGAACGGATATGTACAAACTTTTCCTTGCCGGTTCAGTATCTGTCTTCCTCTTCGTTGAGATTGCGTGGATGGGGAGATTTGAAATTGATTGCATCATGCGAACAACGGCGCAAAGTCTGCATAACAAAGTATCTGTCGAAACATGAATTAGCAGTCTAAATAGAGATCCACACTCGACTCGTGAAGAAATGCTAGAACTCCCTTCACAAACTTGTTGCTTCTTATCATCGTTAGATGTAAAAAGGCGGCTTACTGTACTTGGTACACATGTGAACGTGAAGGAGACTCTGACTGATTCATAAATAAAGCGTCCTATTATTCGTCGACGAACCTGCCGACAACAACGCCTTTGTCCTCGTCCCAGCATGTCTTAGCAAGAGAAAAGCACTCTTTCCCCGAACGCATTGAAATTTCTTTCGCCATTTCTTTTACATATCCTTCATTACTTTGACCTTATGAAGTCAAAGGAAACGGAAAACACAGAAAACTATAAAGCGGGAAGATTCCTCGTAACAGCTTTGAAGCGTGGATTCAGCTCGCCGGGAAAAGTCCAGTTCAATATCGCAAAGTACGCCTCACACCAAAGCCTCAAGGTCAACTAATTCCATAAATAGGGCGGACTAGGCGCGCGCGGTCCCTTTATTTGGGAAGTAAGCAGATAGAGATGCTAGTATCTTGCCGATTATTACGAGGACGACGTATCTAATATTAATGTCAATGTGTCTAAAGACTTCCGTGAGAAACGGTAATCGGACTATCAAAACACAAGAAACGTTTAGGAGTCTGATTATGCATGAAAATCGGATTCGCATATAGCTTAATTGTTGGTTGGCTTTGCACTAAGTGCGAAAAGGGAAACAACGATAACTAGGAATGCATTCTGTTTGGTGGTAGTTCTGATTGATTGTTGCGAAGGAGAACTATGGAAGAGCTAGATATAGGAGGTCTGGTCTGAGCGCTGCTCGGACGCTGCGGTCAGTGCGCCTGCTCGCGTGACCGAGATCAATGCGGCCGATCGCGTGGCTGAGATATCGTTGATATCTGTGATCCGACATTAATGGTACAAGTTAAGAGTTTCTTGCCAGCCTAGTAGCTAGCCGTTGCCAGTTAATCACTAAGATCTAGCTAAGGAGGCTGCTAATTTCCGATTTATCTTTAAAGCCTAAGTCATAGTCCGTTTGTTTCACTGCTCGCTCCTTTGAATAATGTATCTTGCTGTATCTTCTAACCTAATCTCTTTAGGGGCGATTTAAACCATCTTGACTTCTTGGTATCTCTTGTGACAGGACTCTAAACTACAGCCTGTGTATCTCTGCTCCCAGACGCATCGAGATGCTGACAGAGTTGTGTTGCAGAAATACAGATATTAGTATCTTTATCATCCTTCTCTTTCTGATTAAGTTCGTAAATAAAATCGCTGACAGAGCTGTAGGTTAGGGTAATCGGTAGCACTACCACCATCTCTACCGTAATCATGCCTGACAATATTATGTCACTTGTACAGCACCTGTAGTCTAATAACTGTAGTTTTTCGTTTGCGTATCCCCAAAGCCCACAACCTAGCCGGAGCCTTTTCCCTATTCGATCACAATCTTTTTCTGCACAGTGAATCTCTATCGATGTAGTCCTTCTCTGTCTTTTCCAACAAGCGCAACGAGTAGGTTCATGTTCATATATAGTTATGGGTTTTTTGCCCTGAGCTATGGTCAGTCTGTGTCGACGACCTATCTCTTACTACCTCATCAACCTCTCTAAAGAAAAACATAAGAGCACTGCAAAAAGAGATAGCTACACTCTTTGCCAAGGGAGAGCAGCTAGACATTATCTTCGACACATCCAAAACAGAGCTAATCCACTTCACCGCTAAGAAGGAGAGGATGGAAAGAGCCCTCATACTCCCAAACAACGACCGGATAGAACACAAAGACACTGTCAAGTGGCTAGGTATCTATCTAGACAACCGACTATCATTCAAATCACATGTGTCTATACGTGTAAGCCAAGCCAGACAAGCTTTCTACAGGCTAGGAAGACTAGCGAACATTGAACTCGGCCTATCAACACACGCTATTAGACAACTATACTTAGCATGTGTAACCAGCGTGTCAGACTACGGAGCACAAATATACTGGCAAAACCAACCCTACGCTACAAAGAAACTACAGTCACTACACAACCTGGCTTGTCGAAAAACACTAGGAGTGTTTAGAACAGCACCAACAGTCCCTACAAGCCTCGAAGCGAGCCTACTACCACCAACAATTAGGCTTAACTCAACTATCCGGAACTACGCAAGCAGAGCAAACCTGCTAGCCAACACCCATCCAATTGCAAAGGCAATAACTCGGATCCAATCAACTAATCTCCAACGCTCAAAGAAACCAAACCAGCACAGACAGCTACAAACTATTACTAACGCAATTCCTAAAAACAACAAAAGAGACACAGAGCAGACTATCCCATACCGGTTTAGGCCATGGGATACTCTAAACTATACCGTAACAGTCTCTCAAAAATCCAAAGAAGAGGAGGCAAATGCGCACCAAGCCTACATTAAAACAAGGCTAGACAATTACACGACAATATACTCAGACGCCTCGCAAACACAAGAAGGAAAAGGAATAGGAGTTGGGATAGCAGTCTACAACTCAACTCAGCAAGAAATCTACTCAGAAACAGTTAATATCGGACAATACCAGCTAGTCTACAACGGCGAACTAGAAGGGATCACACGAGCATTCGAATACGCAGCAAAGAACGCTACAACCGACCAGGAATTTGAGGTCTACGCAGATAACCAAGCAGCAATCTACAGGCTTAAAAACCTATCAGATAACCCAGGACAGCATTGGCAACTCCGATGTCTAAAAGCGGCAAATACGATCCGACGAAAACAAGCAAACATCCACCTACTCTGGGCACCTGGACACACAGATATAGTTGGAAACGAAAGAGCAGACTACCTAGCAAAAGAAGCAACCAAAGAGGACCCCAGATCAACAACAAAGAGCATTGCCTACCTAGGCACGACAATCAAAAGGATACAACAAACGGAACAACGCCAAGAGTATGAGAAATACAAAGCAAGAGCAACCGCTCTAAACAAAGCTACCTACTCAGCCAAATACCCTCTTAAAATCAGCAAAACCATCCAAATGCCACAGAACACGAAAAGAGTAACCTCTAGCGCCTTCTACTCTCTTAAGCTAGGACACGGATACTTCAACTCCTACCTAAAGAGATTTAAGAAACGAGACTCTAATCGCTGCACCTGCCAAAACATCCAAACGCCAGAACACCTACTACTGTACTGTCATCTATACAAAGACCATCGAAAAACGCTCCTACAAACAATCAAACATCGCCCAGTCACACTACCACTACTACTCCACACTAGTATAGGTATAGAAGCAACCCTAGCTTTTATCACTAGCACCAGAATAGGAACAAGAAAATGGTACCTAGGACAGCCACCAGAAGACCTACAGAGAGACACTGTATAAAACTAAAACCACAACCCTCTCCTTTGCCACAAGAGCCCGCTGATACATCTCTTTCTACTTATCAAACTGCTCTTTAGCACCTGGCAACAAACAGATACAAGCTATCTTTTGTAGAAAAGCCAAAAACCATATTAGCGAACCATACCAGAAAACCATGTAAATTAGAAAAACCAAGATAGAACGGCCTTCGGCCAAAGTCCTACATAGTCTCTGACTGAAAAAGGACTCTAATGGGATAATAATAATAATAATAATATGGTCAGTCTGTTTGAGAATAGACATCACATCGATAACATCTGCTCATTTATCCATTCCTCCAATCCTTTCCACATCACGCTCTCCATTTCCCTTTCATCCAACAACCCACAAAACCTGCTCAAAGCCTCGCAACGTTGTTGGATTCACTCTTCTTTGTTCCTTATTCCACCACCGTTTGATTCTGCGACGATAGCATGCGCAACCTTGGCTTCGCAGACCGGGCACAAATATGGCGGCTGTCGCACGTAGTCCTTCATTATGGCTGTACTCTGCATATTGCATGCGTAATATACATAATGATCAAGGCCAAAACAATGTCCAAGTTCATGGGAAACTGTGCGCGCAAGGCGCAAGAACCATAACACCTGCATATCCTGCGCAGCGGAGATAGGGGTAAAAGTCATTGCAGCGATGACAGCTGCTCTCATCGCACTATCTCTACTCAGTTCGTTTTGTTTCTTCGTCGCGCGTCTCGCTTTGACACCTTTAACTGCACACAAGTCGTCTACGAACTGTTTACAATGACTTAGTGGCCACATGTGTTCTCCATCAATGTCCGTATCTCCGTCGAGGACGGGGTTATAACGCGCAGTTTGTACAACAGCAACCCTACTCCCTCCATATGCTCTCCCGCAGCAGAAATGATCCTCTTCTCACTCATAGATATCGTGATCTACCAACAACACCATGGCGTACGCATCTTGCGGCAGTATTGTCATGGCCATGTCGAGTATGTCGTCGAGATTGAGTTGAGCGGAGAAAAGCAAATCTGCGGGCTGGCGGACACGAATCCGTGTGCATCGATCGGCTTGTGCAAGACCAACATATTTGGGGACGGTGGCGGGTTGCCAGGTCGTACAGTAATTCGAATGTCCCAGGTGTTCCAGACTAGGGGTTCAGGTAGAACACGTACGGATATGTTGTGATAAAAGGCTTCAAGATAGGCCCTGAACAAGTCCACGTCTGGGCTTGTTGCGACCGCATTTCCCTTTCCCTTCCTTTCCCCGTTGGCTTTGTCCAATCGTGCATGAATGAGGTTGCTTTCCTAAACTGAGGCGCGCGAGCGATATACAGTGAATTTCTCCCTGTCTTTGGCAGCACCTTGTTCCTCTCCTTCTCGTTTAGCCAACTCTTTGTGCTTTACGGCGAGTAGTCAGGGTCGTAATTGAGTTCATCATGTAGTAAAACCAGAGGCGGTGGAAACGTATTGTTGGAGTGATTCGTGAATGTCTCTGGCGCTCGACCAGATGTCGTCTCTGCTGCTGCATGTGTTGTTACATCTACCTGCTCATAACCGGCTAGTCTAGCAAACGGGGATGCGTCGAGTTGGAGCGTGGTGTGCTTGCATGTCATTTTGGATTTGTCAACGGAGCAGATCAAGTAAAGAAGAAATTTAGCTGAATGGAGATAGTGATGAGAAGTTGGTCGCTTGATCGGTCGCCGTATTGGTATTCTGATTCATGTACACATATCATTCTTCCAACGGCGACTCGCGATCTTGGAAAAACGCCTCTTTAACGACGCGCCTCAACTTGCAATTTCCGTTTCGCGCTTTTGACTGTTTTCAACTTGGCCGCCTTGTCATCACCACAAGGGGTCATTCCGCCCCCAGTATAACAGACTACCACCAATCGCCAGACTGTTGAAGATACCAACATAGTGACCTGCAATCTTTTCCTGCGCCCCATAGGCCCTAACAATAACTGTGTCCGCCACTGTCGCGACCAGACCCGCCATGACTGCGACCCCCAAACTCCGTCTATCTCTCAAAACCAGTCCAAAGATCGCTAACAGAATTCCGTTCTGAACGTTACGCGCCGCTATCGCTACGACAAGGGCTTTCTTCGTTTCCTGGTCCTCTTCGCAGGTGCTTTCTGCAGGCGCACGCTTGGCAGAAGGTGAAGAGGTGCTGGAGTCGCCTGTAATGGGAAGTCCGTAGCCGTCGGCGAAGAAGGTAGGATTACGTAGGCCCATGATTCCGAATGGGACGATTTCCAAAGTTGCAATGAAGAGAGCGAGGCATTCTGCTGGGGGTGGAAGGTGGTGAAAGAGGTTGCGCGTTTGAGTTGTCATTCTGCCGAGAGTTTAACCGTGTGAGAGTGACTACTTGTAAGGATGAAGAGAGCAGAATACTGAAATATATACGGTAGAAATATACGTACGTACATTTGTTGTACGTTGAGTAGACTGGGCCGTCATTTGCTTCTATTGGCTGATGCAGCTCGGACTTCGGGTCGGGTGCGGGGATGCAGGGCCGACAGGTCACCGTTGACAGCATGTCTGTAGCATTAATATCATTCTTCACGCGCCAAAGAAAGAAAGAAAATATGTATAAGTTGTTAGGTGTAATCTTGCGGCACAATCATCTCCTGGAATAGACGAAATTCGATGACTGTGTTACGACTGTCGACCGTTGCACCTCGAACCGACTCCGGCGAGCAAAGACGAAAGGACCATGTCGACGGAACATATTCGATTATCTAGGAGGTAGAAGTATCTTGAAATGGCGGTATGGTGTGGGAAGTCTGTGATAGCATGATGTGAATGTGGGTACGGGTGTTCTTGTAAAGTCCCCGTTATAATGTATAATCACCACGTGATGGATAGACTTTACCAGTACATGTAAGATCCAACTCTATTTGCGAAAGTTTGGGAGATTTCTGTTTGTTAACACGCGGGTGAGTACCAGGGTTACTGCTTCCGGATCGCAGACTTATCTACTAATAGACAAACCTGCCACTTCAAAAGCTGAGCAAATGATAGGTTTATTACACAAGCGTATACGTGAGAAACTACAGCATCTGCAAAGTACCCATGAGATATCGCCAAGCACTCTGAATGGGATTGCGAGCAGCAGAGAGCGCAGTGAACCAGGGCGAGAGGTTCGCCACCCTTGGATCGCACTTGCCGTTTACATAACACTGACCAGCCGCCCCGCTTGTCCACCTTCACCTGCTCTGTCGAGCCAAAGTAGTTAGGCTAGAGGCTCCCCACAATCAGTACTCAAGAGGCTCCAGAATTTTGACGCCTTCACTCACCAATACTTAAGCTCACCACCCCCGCCTTTCTTCCTGCTCCCCACACATCTCCGTAACTTAGCACGCCCTACTCAGCACGCCCTTGACTAAGCGCAAACTTCTCGGTCAACATTGACTTGGGAAGGCAAGCGCGCCCTTACCCTGTCCGCGCCCTAACCAAACAACTGCGACACGTTTACGTCAAATCCAGACAACCGGCGACCAGCTTTGCAACGATTTGCGCCATGTCTAGCGGTGTTAATTTCTGGGCTGCAGGCAACAACCGAGTAAAGTCTGCCTCATCGCCTACTCCAGCCATTGTTGAGGCTCCACAGAAGCTGAAGTCGGACACTATGTCTCAGCAGAAAAAGGGTCTTGTCCTGAGATCGATGAAGAACGGCACTGCAAATGGCGACACCAATGGACCCAGCACGCCCGCTTCCACGCCCAACGGGAGGAAGACTGACTGGGCGGACGAAGAGGAGGATAGCGAGTTCCTAGCTCAATTCACCAAAGATCCGCGCATCACTACCCTCGAGACCACCATCGTCCTGAAGGATGAGCGCGTCAAAGAGCTTGAAGCAACGGTAGTCACCAAGAATCTTCGCGTTGCAGAGCTAGAAGCTGCAGTCCAGGATCGGGACCACCGAATCTGCAATCTCGAGGCTGATTCCGACGACAAGGAAGTCCGCATTGGAAAGCTTGAAGAAGCAAATCACGAACAGTTCCTCCAGGTGCAAGAGTTCCTTCGCGATGTCGCAAAGAAGGATGAGCGCATCACTGTGCTTGAGCACGAGCTGAGCCAGAAGGCAGCCATCATCCTCGACCTTGAGTCAAAATCCAACTCGGATTCTCAGGCGTCTACCAACTGTAAAGAGGTGGCCATCGTCGAGAAGGCAAAGACTGATAATTCGATCGCGACTAAGACTCCCGAGACTGAGTCCGTCCAGGACCACAAGGAAGTTGAAGTTGAGAGAGCCATCTCAGACACATCGGTATCTGATAGCTTCGAGATTGTTGAGGCATATAAGCCTGAGGAAACCACCAAGGAATCCCCTGGGGGTGTCACAGAGAAAGTGGCATCTTCCATTGATACCTCGTCGGAAACCTCTCCAGCGAAGGCTAATTCTCCAACCCATTATGTCACAAAGGACACGCTCAAAGTTGTGCCACCCGCCCCGAAGCCAAAGACGTTGACCTTTCCGATCGACTTTTCCAAGTACGCAAAGAAGCCCGCTGCGCCACCTGCTACGGCTCAACCACAGTCTCCGCCACCCATGGATAGTAGGAATGGGCACACTACGCCTTGGGGCCGGTCCGCGAAGCAGGCGCGCGTCAAGACTGATGCAAAACCAACCTTCAATCCATCGGCTGATATCCGTCAAATGTCGTTGATGGAGCGTGCTAAATACGCAAATGGTCCAGAGGTCGCTGTGAAGCTTGGGGGCATCGAGGTGATGACGATTCCCAAGTATCTCCTCATGCAGTGCTCGGTCAAGGCCCTTGTCTACTTTGAGGCCAATCCAGATGCCACCTCTTGGGATTTCCCCGCTGGATACATGGATGCTGACGCCGCGAAGGTGTGTCTCACCTGGATGGATGAGATGACCTTTCAGGGCCGTGTGTACAGTATTAATCTTAGTGCCATGCCCAACCACGACAAGAAGAACCTCCACATCTGCCGTGCCGCCCGTGTCATGGGCCTTAACAACACCTACGTGGGTCATTTCACCAAGCAGCTTTGCGATCGTATCCGCAACCACGAGGTTTCGTACGAATTCATGGATATGGTATGTGAGCTGGTCTATCCAGAGAACGACCCCATCTTCGACTGTCTGGCCAACAACCTGGTCAACCAGGTAAAGGTTAGTGCGATCAAGGACATGACTAGTCTTGAGAAGTTGATGGCCAAGCACGCGACGCTGAAGGGCAAGATGAGCCACATCGAGCAGATGATGGCGAAGCGTATGCGCAAGGCCGGCGGTTCGCGTGAGGATAGTCAGTACGGTGGTAGCAAGGAGCGTCGCGGTGGTGGTGGGAACAGGGGTGGACATGGTGGCAGTGGTGCGCCCTCCAAGGCCTTGAGCCTGTTCTCCAGGTCTCGCTAGGTCTTGGTAAGATGTTGGGGTGTGAAGTAGATGGGCGCATGGCCTAGCAAGTGTTTTGGAGCTTACAGACGACGCGAGCCATGGGCCAAGGAGTATCGCGACGGATTCGGAATATCTTGCAGACGTGGGCGATTTGTGTTTGTTTTTGTGACCACACCTTACGGCGGGGATGATATAGAGCATGGCGATTCTCTTTGTGCTTCATATGGCGGTATAGTAAAGTTTAGTATCGGGACGTGTCTCTAGCCATCCATGGAAAGACATGCATAGGAGTATAATGGGAGAATTTTCATCATATACATCAAACACGTGTCGCTTCATGTGACTTTTTGTGTGACATTATTTCATATTCTGATCTACTGTCTCTTGCCGAGCAAGCTTTGGGTGTTCGAGTCTAGTCATCATGTCATATCATTTCGCTCTCTTAGCAGCGGCACTCAACCCCCTTGCGACTAACACACAGATACTTGACTCCCTTGTACGGCGTCACACCACTGCCCAATCCTTTGCTCCTCTTCTGGTCGACATTGAGGCTTTCTACGCGAATGCCACTCGGTAACCAGCCCTTGACCGAGAAACTGAGGGTTGCGCAACTGGGCATGAGGACTTTGTTCGCCTGCTTTATCTTTGCGTCTGCATCGGCGGACTTTAGAAGCATGGACGAAGCAGCAGGTGCGGAGGAGACGAGAGTTGATGCATCGTCATCGTTGTAGTCGTATGTAGATGTAGAGAAGGAGACAGGACCGCCTACGTCAAGCGCGTCTTCAGAAGACGGGTCGTCTTGCCCTATTACTGTGCCGCGGAGTGTAGCTGTAGCGCCGATACCCCCACCGCGGTCTTGGGACATTAGACTACTTATCTCGCGACTGCTGATGCGCCATTCTATAGCTCGGTCGCCAGGCGCGTATCCTGCGTCGCCCGTACCGCGTGCGACGCGCATGTCGATGATATTCTTGACGGTAGAGGGGAGAGGGATGTGGATGAGCATTTCTTCGATTACGGGTGCGGCGGTTGTACCTGTCTGCGAGGATGTGCGTCCAAGGCCGCTTCGTCCGGCGCTAGGTTGGGATGATGCGTGGGATTTGCCGGTGAAGCGAGGGTTAAGTTGGAGTTTGACTTCGAAGTCGGAGCCGCTTGAGCCGAGCGATGGGTGGACGGATACGGTAGCGGGTATGTTGAGTTGTGGACTTGCATTCTTCGCTTTTTTGTCTGTCGAGAAGGCGTCCAGAGCAGCAGAACCCAGGAGATCAACTTCATATCCCGCCAGGACGAAGCGGCCATCCGGCGGTACAAAGGATAGCTCGCCTGGCCGGGCTTTCCACTGATTGAGTCTGACACAGGGGTGGAAGACAGGGAGCGAGACGGCGTTTTGTATCCCACCCGAGCAACCCAGTTGTAAGAGTAGGTCTGGGATCCCAGAGACCTTTGCCGTAAAGGCGATGGTACCGTTTGCCATTGCGGCTAGAGGGCGACCAGAAGGTGATAGGGTGACTTGGAGCGTCTCGACGATATCAACGTACATCTCGTTGCTGGTATGCCTGACATTCGCTCTCCTCCATGGCACTGGCGAGCTTGTTTGGCTTGAAGTTTGTGATGGACCTAACCTGGGGCTCGGCCTTCCCCCCAAGCCAAAGCCAGCGGAAGACGGAGCCAGCGAACTGGGCGTCGAAGACGGCAATCCCACACCTCCTAGCAGGCTCTTGAGTAGATTCGGCGCTTCAACCACATCTCTCAATGCGTTTGGCTCTGTGTTCGCGATGATGCCTCCATCAACCATCTCACTGAGTAGCTGTGCAACAACATCATAGTTTCCCTCAATCTTACTCGCTATCAGAGGTGATCCTAGAAAGTCCTCGAGTACGTCGGTAAGGCGGTGGAGGAAAGAGAGGACGGCGAGTGGGTCGGTGTCTGCTGAGGCTGGACAGAGGAAGAGCAGTTGATCTTGTATTATGCTGTATAACAAGGTTGGCGGATTGGTGTTGGGCAGGTAGATCAACGGGGGGCGTGGGGCAGGATGTGCGAGGTAGAGCGGAAGGAGGACGGATGACGAGGGTGGGCGGTTGAGATATGTGTGTTCGAGGAGAGGTGTGCTGGTGTTGTTAGCATGGCTTGCAGCTCCATGACAGATGTATCCTACTTGTGCTCATCAAACATGTACAAAGCCTCGATTGCGCTCATGGTGAGAAGTTGCAGCTGCTACCACCAAGCATGCGCGCGCTGGGAGACGTGAGGTTCGCGTTGTGGGGCCCTTTTTGGCGGGGAGCTTGCGCGACTAACATTTCCCTGCATAGCAAAAGCCCCGGTCGTGAATTATTGAAACGCTATATCTGAATGCCGTCTTTTCACCAACATGGTACAACGAGATTCTGAATCGCCACCACTTCAGGCTGCAGTCAAACTGGACAAGGCCGAGTTTGAAGACTGCACGCCCTGTCGCATAGTCGGTATTTCCCCTCATCCAAGCGCATCGCCTCATCTTCTCCTATACATGCTAACCTGACGATAGGTAGCGCAACCTTTGTCGGCCTCGGTGTCTTCACCTATGTCTCAGGACACTCGCAGATCCGCGCAAACGAAGCCGCGATACGAGCTAGCAAGAGCATCTTCGGAATGAGGAGTAGAGGGGCCGCCATAACGGGCACCAGCGCTGTCATGGTTGGGTTGGGCATATACCGCTGCTTCTCCTGAACAAGGGAAGGAATCAACTGTGGTTAGCATGTCAACGAGGTAGCACATGGTCACATCACACGAGCATGTCCGTCGGGTCGAAAAAGTATATGGTAGAATTGTCGGCTAAAGCCATGAAAGTATATCCTCTAGTCTCCTTTGCTCGCTCCTATAAACTCCTCCAAGCTGGTACATGGTATCTTGGTAAACCTCGAAGAACGAATCGAGGTATATTCCCCTTGAAAAGCCAAGAACACCATATTGATGCGTCTATTAAGTTTGCTCCTCCCAATGCATAGAAAATGATCCACTAGCCCTCTGCGCCTCCTGGGTATGATGCAAGTCGTGATTCGTCGAATTAGAGTTTGTCGCCATGGTTCATGCAATTGGACATGTACAAGCTCCGTTAGTGAGTCGGCTTAAGATGTGCGCCCACGCTTGGGTCCACCAGATGACCCGTCTCGTCGGTCGTTGGAGCCGTCGACATTGAAAAAGTCATTCATGAGCCGTCGCTTTTGCCCTGCGCCATTGCCGAGTTGAAACAGGTTCTGAGCGGCGGATCGTTGTAGGTTTCGGGGCGTCGCGCGGTTCGAAGGGCGACGGGGCGTAGGGAAGGCACGGCGAGCGGCGGCAGATACATCCGTTGAAGCATTGTCGTTTGTTGATACAGAGGGAAAATCCTGTGGCGCAGAGAACTGGAAAATGTGGTGTAGGGGCGACATGTCGGCTTCTGTCGTCGTGGCTTCCATTTCAACTGGTGAAGGCAGCGACTCGGATCGCTGTGATGTTTCCGCCACAGACTCGAGCGTGTGTACATCGTCCATGCCAAGGTTTCGCTCCATGATGGGGGAGGAGCTTCGGGCGCGCTTGTCGTCCACGTACTCGTCGTCGCTATCGCTGCTCGATTGTTTAGGGAGAGCACCGTCCAGCCGCTCTGTTGCCCACTGGCGTATCCTCCACCCCTCGCCGTCACCCACACCCAAATTCTCCCTGTCCAGGAAGCTCAAAAGCTCGTCGAGAGCTTCTTGGTATCCATCGGCCCGGGCTTTGTCGAGGTCCGCCAGGGCCGACTTGTATAGATTGGTGACGTTCAGAGCCGCAGTCCGGAACGACTGATGCACATCAGGCTGTCGCCTCGCTTTGGGAAGCGACTTGTTAAGGCTGCGCATCGAGTCCATAGTTGGGTGCACAGCTGGTAGAGGTGCTAGCGTCGTGCAGTCCTTGTTGGGCGTCGGTGGGCCGAAGAAGGCGTTCCGTGGTCGCCGGTGATAAACGATGGTAGTTGGACTGTGTCCCGCGGAAATGAGGTGATAAATTCGATGAAATAGGGGACAGGCCTGTCACTCAAACGTAATGTGGCTATGACCGTTGAGGTGTGCTTTCAACTTCCGTGGTTGACGTTACTCTCTTCCGCGGGGTCGGCGCTGTCACGTTTCTTCAGGCACAAGGCGTAGCGCCAGCTGTTGGCTCGTGCGGCCAACCCTGGGGCGACCTTCACCCAATGCAATCACCGCCCACCCTCATCACTGCCCTCGTTTACTGACGATTCACTGCATTACCGCTCGTCTTCCTGATGTCTTCTCCCATAGAACGCCTCCCTGTTGAGATTTTTGAGCTTATCGCGACAAATCTTCGTTTGCCGTCGTACAGGGCCCTGCGTCTTTCGTCCCGACGGTTGCAATTGCTCGTGCATGCCGCTTTTGCCAAAGACGCTTTCTCCGAGCTGCACACTACCCTCGGCTCGTGGTCGATTGATCATCTCATCAAGATTGCAAGCCATCAGCATCTCCGCAATGCCGTCAAAGCCATTCACGTTCGGCTCCTCACTCATCTTGACTACGAGACCTTAACTTCCATCACCCGCCTGGGCATCTTCCCGCCACCGAAGCGCTTTCGTAGAGTGTCCGGGGTAAGAGATGAACACATCACCAATGAATCTGTCACGTACGACTATATAACCGGAAGCGAGTACCCACAGCGATTGTATCACGGCCTTGTTCAGGCTTTACGGGGATTCCCTAACCTGAAGGTTATTCGCATTCGTGCCAAGAGCTATGAACCGTTCCAGTGGCGAAATAACATGCCAGAAGGCGACCAGTTATTTCGCGCCAGGTGCTTTCAGACACTTCTCGATGCCATCATTGGCAGCGAGGTAAACCTAGAAGAATTTGCCATGACCAAGGCTGGGTCCAACGCCACTCCCCACAAAGGCGTGCATTTGTCATGTTCGGGATTCAAGATACCCCCGCAGAAACTACAAGCTTTACATCATCGTTTTTCGCATCTTCAGTCGCTCACCCTTTCAGTCGATACAAGTTACAACACCGATAAACGATTACCCGGATGGGAACACGCAATCACTGACTTTATCACTACCGCGCCCAAGTTACGGAATCTGACATTGAGTCTGGACCGCATTTTATGTTTGTCTCATTATGGTGTAGCCATAGTTCGATCGCTGGCATCTTCGTGTCGATCACGAGAGCTTGAACAGTTTCGACTTCACAATGTTGCGCTGCATGGAGATGACCTGAATAAACTCATACGAGCACACGCTGCTTCACTGAAAAAGGTAGTCTTCTCTGATATCCAATTGCTGTGCGGTGATTGGTCTTCAGTTTGGGATGTGTTAAAGGAGTGCGAACGTCTCAAGTTCTTGCGACTGTTCGCGCTCAATGGAGAGAAGGCACCTGTAAGATTTACTAGGCGATATACAGAACGCCCAAATATCACGCTGGATGAGAAGAAGAGCGATCGGTCAATGTCTGATATGCTGGACGACCTCATCGTCAGCTGCGATGCGCAGACCGAGCCCACAACGCACAACATTAATGTCCATCATGAGGATGGACCATAGGCAGCAATTTCACGAATAAACTCTTCTCACACGAGCCGAAATCATGAGCCCCAGCTTTACGTATGCCTCTCTTGTGATTGAATACCAATGTGTGGCTTCGCGTTGCCACGTGCGCCGTGTTCCATGGTACGCGGTGAATATCAGGTTGACCCATGGTTGTGCGTGCGGAAAATGTTGCTACCACGTGTTGTTAATGTGTGTGCTCTTAGGGTGATACTGCGCTGTAAAGGCTGCTGCCTTGCATCAGTTGTGCATGTATACTTCCAAGCTTCCGCTTTAGGCACGATCACCTCTTCCAAGGCTATTCTTGAATCAACACTGGTTTCTCCATCGACCGACCTTGAGTAGCGCTAATAGCGAGAACACTTCATTCGATTCTGTCAGCGCCGATCACGCCAATCACAGCATGGCACCAGCAGCCCAACTATCCAAGGCCGATCTCAAACTCTTTCTACAGCAACTACAAACAAGCTCCACCGACGTAGCGCAATGGAATTCAATGATGCGCATATCGCTCGTCCGTGGAGGACTCATCGACCTCACCATTTACGGCCGCCGTATAGCATCAACTCCCCGCTTCGCCTTGATGGCTGTCTTCCCAACCCTTCTCGCATTTTTGACGGAGCACCTCCGTGCACCCGCCGTAAACTTCAAATTCGATGTACCCAAGGCGCACAAGCGGGGAGAAGCATTCCAATCGCAGCTCACTTCAGCAAAGGAGAAGATGTCCGATGTGCAAATCAAGATCCACGAAGCAGCGCTCATTGAGATTGCACAGTGGCTCACCGCACTGTGCACCCCGCACTCAAATACTCTAACAGGTGCTTCACTGGCTATCGAGACGTGTATCCGCTTCATCTGTGCGAACATACTCGGCTCTCCAGAGTACGTGCAGCACTTGACCAACAAATTCGTGGAGCAGTCTGCCAGGTCTGCACTCACTGCGACTGGAATGACTGAGCTCGTCAAGTCCTGTCGCGGTGAGGAAGACGCCTTACTGGTCGGCCTAGCCTCTGAGCTGATTCAGAAGAAGCTCGACAACCAAATCAATCCGAACGACCTACGCGGATTTATGGCAGCGGATGGGAATCAACTCCTCAAACTGAAAGTCGAGAGCTTGGAAAAAGATATGGAGCTTGGACATTTCGAGACTATACAAAAGAGTGGCAAGACCGACAACACCATTTTGGGATTTGAGGATGATAGTAAGGCGGCAAACAACCGCGTCCGCAGCAAGAAAAGCAAGTCTAGGGTTTACGAGGTTACAGGTGGTATTGAGGTGGATGGTGATGATCAGGTCGTCGAGATTGATGTAGATGGTTGGGAGATGTTCCCCAGTGGCAATGAGAGCAGTTCGTCGGCAAAGAAGCAGAAGATCAATCACAAGCGTGCCGCTAGCGATTATAACGTTGCTGAGTTGGTCTAGTAAGCGGGGGTGACGTATATGGTGTCTCTATGGAAGCCGAACTATCTTCTTTGTGATCGCCTGGATGGGCGTTCGACTAAACAGATGAAAATTGAATAGCCGAGTTTCAAAATTGAACGATATTGCACAGCCACATCAGATACACGTGTGCAAGAATTCAGCCCCTCGAGTGACAGACAGAATAAAGTTCTGACAGATACTAGGTGGCTAGCCACGAAAACGCTCATCGACAGGCCACATGACACTACATGTCAGCTCTTAATCCGGAGAATTACGTATGTGCAGTGGCGTCACTACGATTGATTAGGCAAGTACCCTTAGATTTGGCGGTACAAAGAGTTGGCGAGGCAATCTTGGTTTTGTGGCACCTGTTTTTCCTCGGCACTGACGAAGAGATATTCAGGGATCCTGTCAACCGGCCAATGTCTTGCCCTAGAGGTCAGGGGCTGATAGATATGGTGTATGTGTGACAGGGTTACCGGGTAGAAACGTTAAATAGACTGGCATAGTCAAGCATGTATGTATTGATGAAAGTCAGCAACGCAGACTCTACAACATTCATGGCAAGTACATGCTTAACCGATTGAAAGAGAGACTTGAGACGATCTATACGTTGAGATATGCAACGGGGAGAAGGAAGCTTCCTCGTGGACTTGTAGCTATTCCGACTCCTCAGGCATGAAGATGGTGAGACATCACATTGGATTCAATGAAACGCCACGAAAAGACTCCACATGCTGTGGCAAGATAGGGTATTACGCCCGTAACTATCTCTAGATAACAAAGCCTGATACTCAAGATGGCTAAGAAACAGTGTGGGCACAGCCTTGGGATCGCCGCTCGCTTGTGACTATACCTCGCTAGCAGACTCCGCAACAATCAATCGATTGACATGATTGATTCCTATATAGGTTAAAGAATTACTTCATTAGGCAGCCTTTAACCTAGATAGGAATCAATCATGCCGATCCGATTGATTGTTGCGGAGTCTGCTCGCTAGTAGGGGATATCCAAGGATCCCCACTTGCGGCATTTCACATGTTACCTCGCCGTTGGTAGTTCCAAATCCGGACACTGTTCATGTGGCGTGACCATATCGGAAGTTTTGGAGGTACGAAAAAGGCACCTGCTCTTCGTTGTTTCCGGAATAGCCACACCCCAGACCACAAACGGGAACGCCCCAGACCCTGGCTGCTTAGCATGTGGGCACCGGTGAAAACCCACCGTTCCAGAACGGTAGCTCAAGCACCAGAGCCGAACCTAATCTTTGCTGCAGCGACAATCTTCCCCCCAGAGAAAGCTGAAGGGTGTGAGATCTGCACGCATGCTTGTTTCCGTCCAATCGTGTGCGATGTATAGTGATGAGATGGTTCGGAGAAGTGGGTAGCGGGGCTGACCGGCGTGTGGAGGCGCGAGAACGAACATGGCCCAAGCTGGCGGTCGAGGTTCCGCATGGCTATCACCCAAGTACCTGGAACAACAAATGCGCATCTGCGTACCGGTAGTCCTGGGTCTGTATATTGCTCTTCATGTGCGCCTAACCCCGTGGCTACTGTCGAGGCAGGTACCCACACCACGGCAAAGGCGCATGAGCTAGTTAGCGGCTAAAACTCTGGATTCTCCGCCCGGTCTAGTTAGTTACAGGTTTCACGTTAATCTCAACAACAACAACAACAACAACAACAACATCGCTCAATCGTACTGTTACACATACACACACACAAGTACCAGGAACATATCGGAAAATAGTACATTCCAGTGCAACTTCGGCTCTCCAGGGTCATGTCCGGTAATTCTGCATCACCATGCCGTACACGTGTCTTGCATAGCGGGCCACCCATGGGTCGATCTCGTGTCGGAGCTTTTTCACCGACGCCAGTCATCAGCGGCTCGCCAAAGGCTCAAGACCAGCGCCCAAGACTGGAGATAAGGTTTAGCTCGCCTGTCAGCAGCTGAGCCCTACGCAGGCCACAGTATGCCACCGTGCCAGAAGTGTTCAACGTAAGCGGAAGTGCCATTGTTCCACCACGACTTAGTCCACCAATGCTGCCGCGTGGAATAGTAAGGTTGTGTAAGTGGAGACAGCAAGGCTCCGGTGAAAATGGAAACAATACATGGGCATGTGTGTGGAGAGTGTGCGGGACTGGCGGGTGCGACGGCAGTCTAGTCAATATTGGATTCTGACTATGCTGACGGAGCTTGGCGAGGTTGACACCATGTAGCGTGAGGGTGTAGTGCTTGACTGTCGAGGGGCAAGTTAGAAGCTCGTTTACTACCGAGATCCACAGTGCCTTTCAAGGTATCCTAGTCTGAGTATACGATAGAGTATATATATCGCTTTGCTTATTCTCTGGTCTCACTTCAGCATCGACCATATTACAGGCTTCGACCACAGCCCCTTGGACCCTTCACTTCCATCTTTGACTGTCATTACCTTTTCCATACACATCTGCATAGAATATATCTCTACTTCCCCAATATGCGTTTCTCACCAGCATCTTTCCTTGCTCTCGCAACAGCACCAACCTTTGCCCTCAATATCTGGCCCCGCGCCTCCAGTTGCCCTGCAGTCTGGACCAAAGTTGCCGCAGAACTCCAAGCAGACTTTGCCGGATGCACCGCAGATGCCCACCAAAGCATCCGCTCCAGCTTTCATGACTGCATCAATAATGGCTGCGATGGCAGCCTGGTTCTGACCGACGAATGCGGTCGTGCAGAAAATATGGGCCTTTCGAAAATCTGCACCAAGATCCAGGGTTGGGCCACCAAATATGATGTTGGTGTTGCCGACATGCTTCAGTTCGCCGCTGCTCAAGGCATTTCCGCCTGCCCTCTCGGACCAAAAGTACCAATCCTCATTGGGCGTAAAGACAGCAGCGTTGCGGCACCTCTGCACAGCGTACCAGGAAGCCGAGACCCTCTGGACTCTATCCTAGCCGCATTCAGTGCAAAGGGATTTGACGGCAAGGATGTCGTTGCATTAATGGGCACGCACAGTGTCGCCTTCCAGTTCTTCGACGACCCATCACAGGCGGGAAAGACTCTGGACAGTACGCCTAACGTTTATGACACCACATTCTACAAGGAGACCAAGGATGGAACAGCGCCGTACACGCTGCAAAGTGACAAGCTTCTCTCAAATTCGAGCCAGGTATGTTTCCCCCTGTCCCTTTCTTCCCCAGATTCCCACTCACATCATCCACAGACTGAGAATGCTTGGAATTCCTTCATCGACAATGGAAATGCGTGGGCAACTGCTTTCGTTGACGCATGGGCTCGCTTTGCTGTTATTGGAAACGACCCCAGCCAAATGGTAGATTGCTCTAGCTTGGTTCCTGCATCAAGGGCCAGCAAGAAGAGGCAGGCTGCTGTTGCCGCATTCACCAAGAAGATGAGTGCCAAGTGGCGGTTGTAAAGGGGTAGCCAGGGTGAGATGCGGTGTTTTACGACAGGGATTATGTCTGCGTTTACGATGTCATGCCGGTTGATCTTCGTATTGGGCGTTACCTTTGTCCTTTTCTGGCATTTTCGGCGTTGTTCCGGCGCGTCGGCATTGGGGGATCAGCGAGTGCGGAGAAAATCCTCCTTTTCGTGTAAGATTGTTCGCTTAGCTAGGATTAAGTTGGTTGCCGTCTTTCCTTCTAGACCATGACGATCAGATTCAATATTGATCTTCACATCCCTGTTGTCGTTCCAAGCACCTCCGTGTACCCTCAACGTTGACGGTCTGCTTATTCTGGATTAGTGTGCTTACCATAACACTATTTCGGGACCATCCCACAGCGTATCTGACAGATGCTGGGTCATGTTACAAGTGAGCCGGCCAAGCGGGTGGTCAGGATGTTAAATTGTACAAGGGGCTGGTACGACGGACTTCATAGAACGATAAAAATGCTTGTCCTGCATGACCTGGTCGTTTCGCGAGCGAGCTGGTGAGGCTGATGACTGCGGAATTGCCCATCGTTTGCCACTCACCCATGCGCAGTACATCCGCAGATCCCGGTCGGCGGCCTTGGTGTACTGTATGCCGATGTCTGACTACGATGATCGTCCACAACGTTGCACTGAGCGTCTCTCAAGATACCTTCATCTCACAAAGAACCACCTGATTAGGGTAATGTGATAGAAAGCACTGGACAATAGAACCGTTGAAGATGCATTTGGTAATTCTTTCCTCTTAGGGGTAGACATAAGAACGGTGAGCAGGCGCCAGGTGTTCTAAATAATGACATCCCGAGTTTTTGTTGTGGAACAAGCCTGTCACTTCGCGAAGACCTTTGGTCACTTGCTGGACTGTAGTTATTCTTCTTAGAAGAAAAAAGAAGTCCTAGTATCGCGCATGACAATCACTTTCAGTATAGGCAGACAGGTAATATGCGTTCTATGCACGATCATCCAGCAATAATTGATGTCAACCGTAAACGCATGTCACTAGGGTTGTCCTTGTCAATGTAAAATATTTGATTGAACATCGGTGATTGTTGGGACAACACGGATTAGATACGTTCCAGAGTGAAAAATCGATTGCTCTAAGATCAGAAAGATCGGAAAGGTCTAGTATTTGTACATAGTCAGCCGGATCCTTGGCTCGGATCCGGAGTCTCAAAGACCCGATCCAGTCACATGATCACCGACGTCCGACATTGATTCCATGACCGCGAAAACATCACTTAGTCAAGGAATAAATCAAGTTATATCAAAAGGGTTGCCATTGCGAAAAGAAACATCATTACAAGAATCGAAGTCCCCCATCTAGGAGGAGTATATATACAAGGGACGAGTGAGTTTTCATCATCACGTCAGTGGGCGAGACGTTCACAAGAGAGCATCAATCATGCGGCGCATCTTAGCAGCGGTCTCGCTACCAGCTTCCTTCTCAAGCATAGCAATGAAGGTTTCGAGGGTGTACTTCTTCTCACCGGCACCGGCACCTGGCGAACCAGAGGAAGGCGCACCAGAGGCAGGGGCACTAGAGGAAGGCTTGCCAGAGGAAGGTTTGCCAGAGGAAGGCTTACCAGAGGCAGGGACACCGGCAATGGGCGCAGGAGAAGCTGCAGGGTACGAGGGCTGGATGGCAACAGGAGTAGCAGACACAGGCTCAGCAGCAACTGGGGCAGTAGATGTAGATGCGGGAGCCTCAGGAGAAGGAGTGGGCTTGGGCGCAACGGGAGAAGGCGAAGGCATGGGGCCCTTGCTGGGACCGGGTTGGTTGGCTTCAGGCTTAACGCATTGGAAGTAGTAGGGGTTCCACTGCTTGCACTCGAGACCACTAGCACACTGTCCAGCGCCCTTGTAGTTGATGCCGCCGCACTGGTAGTATTCCTTGATGGGACCCGAGGGCTCAGATGTAGCACTGGGACGGACGGCGGTGATCATGGTCGAGAGGGTTGCGGTACCAGGGAGCATGGTTGAAGTGCTGTTGGCGACTGGGTATGGAGCAACGCTGGAAAGCTGAGGCGTTTGGGTAGGGGCAACCTCGGACGAGATTGGGGCAGGCTCCGATGTAGACATAGCAGATGTGGCAGCTGGAGAAGAAGAAGCCTCGGCTGGGGTGGCAGAAGAAGGCGCAGCCTCGACAGCGGCACTGGTGGAAGATGGGGCAACGGTGGAAGCCGCGGATGTCTTGGAAGCGCTGCCAGGAGCGGGAGCGGCCGGTGCGCCGGAGATTTTGCCAAAGTCAAGGAGCTGGGGCTTAGCCTCAGTACCGCTAGCGATGAGAGCAGGGCCAGGAGCGGGGTACGAGTCGAGATCGGCGTGAATAGAGAAGCCAAGGCCGGGACCACTCGCGATGTAGGCCTCGGGGAATTTAACACCCTTGGGCTCGAGAGTACCGCTTCCAGTAACGGTAAGCTGGTAGCAGGTCATGTAATGCTGGGCACCACCGGAAGGGCCAGCAGCGTGGAGAGCAATGGCCTCAGCACGAAGGAGGTAGTCACCCGGAGCGATGTCCTTGGGAATGGTGAAGTCCAGCTTTCCGCCTACGCAAGCGTCAGAGAGGTATCATGCAAAGAAGAAAGTGACATACAGTTGTAGTTTAGGTCCTTGGTGCCCCAGAAGTCGTTGTCTCCCTGGGTAGCCGCAGGGTTCTTGGCCCAGGTGTTCTGGTAGACCTTGAAGAACTCGCTTGAGCCGTCGGCAGTGGAGGCATCCTCAACCTTGGACATGTATGCGAGAACGGGTCCCCAGTGTGCACCTCCGATAGCCTGCTCGGTACAGTCACGGGAGTTGTGTTGGTGCATCTCGATAGTCACTGTGTCGCCAGCCTCGAAGTCACACTTGCCCTGAGCAGCAGCAGGGTTGACATTGCCTGTGACTGTTAGCAATGTAACAATAACAATTCTCTTTGGCACACTGACATTGCAGGGCGGTGCCTGTGTAGCTCTCGACAGGGCTGTTCGACGGGGGCAGCCTGGCGCAGGTGCTCTCGAGATCTTTGCCGTTCTTCCAAAGTTGCTGCCAAGTGGCATGGGCACTGGCTACGGCCGTGATGGCGGAGAGAACAGCTGCGGTCTTCATGGTGTGTATGGTGATGTGAGTAATGATGTTTCTAGCGATGGACAAGTCGACCAAGCGACAAATGAGTGACTGAGAAGAAAAGAAGGAATGAATGCGGAAAGAGTGGGTTGAATGAATGTTCAGCGCAGCTGCGGTGTCGACTCAAAGCATGGTGGGATGAGGGCTTATATCCTACCAGCGCAGATGACAACGCAAGCCGTGAAGCCGACGAACCGTTAGCATCTGCATACTTAGCCGTTTCGTTTACCACCGGCCGGAGCTAGAACGCAGCGACAGGGCGCCATGTGCCTGGAGCAACATGCGTATAGATGAACGGAGGAAGGGTACCTATACCAAAACCAGGTCTGTGGGTCTGTTTTGACATCTGACAGTTGGTAGCCGTTTGGACCTGATTGGTGGATCATATCCGATGGCTGCAGGGTGTGCCATGTAGGGCTTAGTGACGGTTTGAACACAACTCCGACGACATTTTACTTGCATTGCAGGGGCATTCAACGTTCCTTCGTTGATGGTTGGCAATGAGATAGCATGGACTTCCAAGTCTCGTCCGATGCTTTGGTCATCTCTTAGGCGTGGGGTGCTCAAGCATCAGTAAGTTGTCGACTCGGCCGTCTGTCGCGGACTGAAGATTCTGTTACCGGAGATGACAGCTTCATAGCAATAGACTGCAACGGGAGAATTTAATGATGGGATCCTCCGTAATCTTACATGTCGGCAGGCAAAGTGCAATGCAGGTCAAGTCGCAGCGGAAGCATCCGCTCAGCGCAAACAGTTCTCACTTGGCTGCACCGGCCGGTTTCTGCAAACAGACAGACAGTCAAGCAGCAAAAAGATGTGACCCTGTACTTGATAGTTCGTGGTGACGCGGAAATTGTGCAGGACGAGAGAGAACATGTGGGTGCCTAGGTGTTTTGCGCGCGGCATCACGTTGAAACGCTGGGCGGGGCGCGTCGAAACAACATGTGCGTGATCGGTGCAGGGATTAGAATCAACACTGCACACGAGGAACAAGAGAACATGCACGCTGTGCGAGGCATGCGGCGTGTTTGGAATCGTTGTTTTCGCAAGCCGGTGGTGCAAGAAGGTCAAAGGCTCAGCGGTGGTTCATGTAGATCAACGGACCGACCACAACTCGGCTATTCCAAACAGCGGCTATGACGTACCGCTCTGCTGCGACAACATCTTCATCTGTCGTTGACGATATCCAGACCAAGCACAATAAACACCTGTTCGAAAACGCAACAAGTCGCGCGTAATACCTGAGCAAAACTGGAAATCGCGGCCACTGTGGCTTTTGCTGCCAACATAACCACTGCTGACTGCTGAGAGAGGCCGAAAGCTGCTGTTGCTTGTTCTATTGGGTTTGACCGTGCCGTAGTAGTGGTAATCGCACACACGCAGGGACGGGATAATAGTTCTGCCGGTCGTCGTCGATGTTACGATACTGGGGATGATGCTTGAATGCGAAATATCGCCTCATGTGCGCTATCAGGATTATGCCGTACACCAAAGTGGTGCCATCCCGAAGGCGACAAGGCAATGGCCTAGACCGGTTCATGTGCGATGACTTCCGGTTGGGCAGCGAAATCTCAACGCGTGACGTGTTGCAAATGTTACTACTGTTCGCATTGCTTCAACGACGACATGGGAGATTCGCAAGGTTTTCGTTGAGGCACACGGGCAAGACCTCGCCAACCGACGGCAATGTTGTTGCTAGCATGCAAGGGTAACTAGCCGATGTCAATACATGACGCAAAGACAAATTGTTTCACGATTTTGTTTTTTTCCGCTTTGGATGACGCGGGCGGAATCATCATCAGCGACGTTCTTGGCTGTGAGCGCCACTATAGCAATGTCGGTGGCGTAGACGGGAGCTGGCAGATGGGTTTGTGGCGGAGGGCTGAACGTGTATAGAACCGCAAGCGCAAGTGCAATGCAGCCACAGAAGCCATGCACTTCAGCTCCATAAGTATTTTGAATCGATATATGCAGGTACAGACCGGACTCGTGCTTTGGCACGGCAAAGTGGAGCGAGTGCAAAAGAAAAGCAACCATAATCCCGAAGCCGCGCAAAGAGCCATGCGCCCTCGTTGTCGAGAGAGGGTTGGCATGCCGCTCGGCAGGAAGCGCTGTGAAATCGTGCTGGCAGTTGGCCAAGGCTAGCATGATGCAGTTCGCTTTTCTATGCTGCGGCATATCTAGGACTCTACCGGGCGACCGTTTGAGGGGGACACCAACGCCAGCGATCATATGGCCCTCTGGGACAGAAGATGTTTTGACGGGAAACGGGAGCCGTGGTGATCGTCACATGCTCGGGTCGCCCCTTTTGATGTCGCAACCCGTGCGCAACTAAAGGAACCTTATCTCCACACCCACGTCTGCACGCGAACTACGTCGGCCTCCAGCCTCAGCACTCTGTATGCCTTCTTGCTTTGTTACGGCAACGCCATTGACATCCCCACAGTTCAAGGGGCATACCTTTCTACGCGTACACGTCGCTTCATGACGACCTTCTCTGAATGCCGAGTGATTGCACGGCTACCACGGCATCGCTAAATTTAGCTATCATCTCAGCAATCTCAACAATTATCGACCAAGTTCCATGGCTTGATTGGTACAAGCGTTGCACTACGATAGCTGCCGGGAGAAAGCACGCCAACTGCAACGTCTGAGAGGTACCTGTTGGTGCTGCCTGTCAGGCACGTCTCCGTGCACCGCTACACGTTCACTCGCGACCGCAAAACGGCACTTGGATAATCTTCCGGTCGTGTCTCTGTGCATGGCCAGGACCCAAATCACGACCAGCGCTAGTTACCTCGTAGATCGACTACCAGTTATGGTGGCTTCCATGCCAAGTGTTTTGTTTCTACTCCTAGCAGTCTCGGCCTGCCGCCGCGTAGAGCAAGCCTCGAGGCAGTAGTAAAAGAAAATATAGCCCATCTCGGTTGTCTGTGCCACTTTCTGGCCATACCCACAACGGCAAGACCTGGATCATACCATAGCCTCGAACTTACTGTCTCGAGCGACACTAACGATGCCATGTCTCAAGTCCATGCTTTGTTTCCTTGACCATGGCTGGCCCTGGGTGAATCGATACCCACCCACCAAGACAGCTGATCGGAGCCTTGCACGGCCCCAGATGTTTCCATATAGATATCCTCTTTGACATGCAGTGAATTCGGTTGCAGCGCTTGTCATTCCTTCGTCTTGCAGTAGTTTTTGTTGTAGTGCCAGGAGGTAACGACATATAATTCTTTCTATTTGTTACCATCATGGTAGCGTACGCTCCCTACGTTGCCGCTTCGGCCTCTCTTTCATCTGTCCTCTTTGTACCAACCGCATCCGAGTCCCTCTGTCAGGTAGTCACTGCAACTGTCACTCATTACGCTACGGCCCGACCTACGACAAACGCCCATGGACATGGTGGCCCATACTACAACCCGTACAACGATGCCCCCCTGCCGTACGAATGGCCAGGAACACCATCCAAAGGCGAGATGTACCCTCCGCCTAAGCCCTCCACCCCTTACGCCTACGGTGGGCCTGCGAAGGATGCCTACCGTGAGCCATGCTGGATTTCCAAGGACATCAACAATTTGATCTTCATCTCACATGTGAGCAGTCCGGCAACTCCCAGTGGGTATGCTCGACTGCCTCGCTTC